GGATACTTCCCCTTCCAAAAACTGTCCTCAGAGGAACAAGCATGGAGCATACCATCTTTATTATGTCTAAGGTTTAGATGATGAGGTCAGCAGGGTGTATTTGACTTCTGGTTTACTTGCCGTCAGTAGAGTTTTTATTCATTTTAGCTCTGCCATAGTCACTATACTGTGAATGTTGAGATTCTTAAAACAGAATTTATTCATGTATCCACCGAATTATACAACTTAGACTCCTCGCTGTTACAAAACATGGGGGGAAATTCTGACACATCTGATCTGAAATCAGTTTATGAGACTAAATTCTTATTAGATTAACTGGTATTAAAACTATTTGTTACATGTCTGACAATAGAAAGACACAGAGTCACTGCACTTCTTTCAACTGCCAAAATGACACCACCGAAAGATTTCAGTCCTCCTGAAAGAGATAAAGGTCTGCAGATCTTCTGATAGCCCAGCCATTTCCCGTTGACTTTGTATCCCTCCACGTCTTACCTGCTTAGGAACGATTTTTTTCCCCCTCTCCTTTCTTCTAACCTTTTCTTTCCAAGCCCCACTCTTTTTTGTCCTGCCCACTCCATCTGTTATCTCCCAGCTGGATCTTTTTTACGCTGCACTGCAGATGCCTTAGCAAAGATCCAGGCTGGATGAGTCACCCGCTCACAATCTGCTGCCACGAACCCCCTGCAGGCGCCGGCCCCTTCAAAGGGCCCCGACGCCGTCCCCTGGCCCGCGTGGACGTATGTCCGTGCACATTCACAGACACACGGAACACCCTTTTTCTATAGAGCTATGTGGAACAAAGTTTACAAAAGAAATTGTTCTTAAAAATGTCTTCAATGCCTGTTCATATGTAGTTTCACTGCAGATTCGCTGTTGATTAATAAGCGGAAGGGAATCTGTGTAGCTCTGATATTAGTAGTCAGCGCACATAAAGGGGAATGCTCATGTCAAACCGAGAATGACTAGGAAAGTAAAGCTGCAATAACCACAGCGAGGAACATACCCCATCCAAACCTGCTAATTGCTCCCCGATTCCTTACTGCTAAACGTACACAGAAGGATGTGGACCCCAGCAGTCACACGCGCCCACAGGTAGCTACAGGGACAGATCTTTTAGGTCCCACATCAACAAAAGCTGACATTTCATGCCGTTTTCACATCTGTTCCACTGTGCAGCCTTGGCTCGGTTTTACAGCTTTCACCAGCGGTTTTCTCTGTGCCAAACAAAAACAAGTGAAGAGATCATTTCTGAAGCATAACAGGAGGTACAGTTAACCGGACCACAGGATGTTCTGGGGAAAAAGTGTCCCTGCTTCATTTCCAACTGTGTGCTCAGTTCATATCTATTTTACTCATCATTGGGATTTAAAACAAACCAAATTTGAGCCATATGGTGCACGATCTGCTGCCCAGAACGTCACTGAAAACACAACTATGACCCCAAAATCTGCAACCGAATCTCAAACTGTTGCGAGCTGATTTTTTAAAAAATGTTAGCCTTTTTGTAAATGCAATATGCCAATTATATGGTGAGTTTGGCGTTCTAAAGATGGCATTTAAAGTAGAGAAAACACCACCGGCTAACCTGACACGAAAAGAATAGGATATGCCCGCAGAGCAACCTGAATTAAACATGCCATGCAAGCAGACGCTCATCCTGTGCAGACGTTTTCTGTTCGTTTCTCATGTTGTGATAAAAAAACAAACATATCATCCTGCGATAACTCTCAGAGACCCCTCCTGCCCCCCTTACTATGGCATATTTTCAAAGGTGTTTGTCCTCCCATTACTGGCAAACTCTCATCTGCAACAGAACATGGTGCCCTTAGATTGTCCACTGAACCATCCATGGACACTGGAAAAAAATAAAAAATGACATCACGTTTGTACATGCACATGATCTCTGACAGTCATGGGGAAAGGATCATCTGCTTCAGGCATGAGTCATTTGACTGCAAGTTAAAGTCTGCATGTGATTTAGAAAAGCAGCCGCCATTACCTTTGAAAGTATGACGCACAAATATGTACAGAATAGAAGAAGGAGCAGCAGAAATGCATGCTAGCATGTGTGCGCTTGGTAAATATATAAATCAATTCTACACAAGCAATTCCTGCAGCAGTTTCAGCACACAGATCCCTCATGCTTGGCTATTCTTGTCTTATTTTTTTTTAATAGCCCAAGCAATACAAAGCAAAGGAGCTTGATGCCCTTCAACGGAGGAATGTGGATGTGTGTAATAAATTACCCTGTGACCTGTGAGAGAAGGTGAAACTGAGGCTGGGAGGGAGTTGTGAGGGTGAATGTAATAAAATCTCAGTAACTTAAAGGCACCGTGATTTTTTTACGAGCAGTTTCACCCAGCTATGTCCACAAAGTCAGTAATGAAGAAGTGCTGCAAGATAAACGAGGATTTTCTGCCTCTCAAACAACAGATTCTGAGCAAAGCCAATAGCATCTGCTGGACATTCAAAAGACTAAATAAATATTTAGAGAATAAAATGTTAAATTGATGAAATGTTCCAATTCAAGGATATTCAGATTTAAATAATAAAAAACAGAGATCACATCACTGGAAGCTGACACCTTCAGTCTTCAGCTCTTTCTGTCTTGAGCAGCTGAACTTAAAAACATCTAAAATGACCAACTAAACATAAAAGTAGTCGTTTGGTTTATAATACTCCCTCCTATCTGTACAGAGTCTTCACAAAGGAAATACATAAAAATGACTTTTCTGCTTGTTTCATACAGAAATGCGCTTCTTCAGACCCCCTATGTTATTATTACAAAGTCCTGGTCCAAAACCCTTAATCTCCTGATCCCCACCCCCTCCTTGACTTGTAGTGGGAGTCTTCCTAAAGAGTAGTTGGACAACATCAGTGGATATATCTTAGAGCAAGTAGCCAGATTGCAGATAAGTCTGTGCTTGGATTAAAAGCCATGAAAACCGAGCGGTTGAAGGGAGCCTTCTGCCACTGGGAGTCTGGGGAGGACGGCAGTGTGTGTGTGTGTGTGTGTGTGTTGGAGGGTGTGTAACGCTGAGGAGCAGACGGCAGAAGACCGCAGAGGCAACTCGCTGGGAGCCTGGAGGCTGAGATAACCACGCAGGGAATAGGCCTACGACGAAGACAGAGCCGTGAAAAATCTACAAATATTATTTTCCTTGCATGTTTCCGCTCTCAACAACAGCTGTTTGTGCTCGAACCCTCGGAGCCAAGTAACCGGTTGTGTGTTTGCAGAAATATAAATCTAAACGCTCCCTCTTCTCTCTCTTTCACAAACAAACAATAATACATTCAAAGCTGTAGGAAGCTTTGCAGAGACTGAGAGGACATTCTGCTAACCGATGACACAGAAGCAACACCTCTGTGCATGGCCCTGGTTCTCCTATCTGATTACATGAACATTGGATTAAAAGAGGAAATATAGACCAGATGATAGCATAACTGGAAATGTCTATTTTTCATTTTATTTGTATCTTTTCTCCAAATGCGTAAAGTGATACAATGCCCTCAAGTATATCACACAGCTTTGGCTGTGATCCATGAAAGGTGCTGGACTATAGTCTTGCATATGAGCATCTTAAATGTCAACCGAATTATAAATGAATAATTGGGGAATAAATTAACTAAAAATATAATCCTAGACTCAGTTGGCGCTCTCATTAGCACTCTGCTGGTATATGTGAAAACAGGGTCCAGCTGTCACACACTTCTACTCTGTTCCTATACAATCGGGTATTTCAAAATCCACGGTACTGTTAGTGTAATCTGTATCAAAACAGCATTTTCTTCCATCTCAGTAACAGGAGGAATGAGGCACACTGGTACGGTCATTTGTGGATATATTGAACGAGGAAGGAGCCAAAGAAGCTTCCTAATGATCTGGCCTTCAGGTGTCTTGCTTGTTTGAGGCCTGAAGCCAACTGTGAGCATGACTGTGACTCATCCTAACAAATGTACACCCTCCCCAAGACTCCTGTCCTCCCAGCTAGCACTGGAAAAAAAGAGTCACACAGAAGCATGGAGCTGGTGGCGAGCTGCAGGCACAGATCTGTCAGGGCCTCTGTCAGTATCTACAGCGCCTGCCAAGGGAAAGGCTTTGGATTGGTGCAAATAACTCTGCTGGATCCAAAGCAAGTGATGGTCAAACATAAAGGCATAGTATTAAAAAAAAGATGATCAAATATTGAGAGGGGGTGTGATAGGAGGCCCAAAATGGGTGGGATGGTTTGAGGAAGTTTGTAATTAACCTTGGACTCAGCTTAGACAAAAACATCTGTGAGTCGGCTAAAGGACAAAAAAAGGGGGGGGGATTTAATTCATCCCTCGTATCCCACAACTTGTATAATAGGCGATAAGTGCTTTTAGAGGGCGCGGAGGTCATGGCGTGTCGATGCTGGCAGATTTTCGTCAAGGCGCATTTAATGATTGCATAACGCTGGACGCGTCGGGGTTCCCGCTGCGGTTGGCCGGGAGTAACGCCGGTTTTAAAACCCCCTTTTTGTCCGGGGGACAAAACTTGCGCATCGTGAGGTGCTCTGGTGGCTCAGCGCGCGGAATGTCATCTGAAGGGTAACGGGAGGAAAATGACATGTCCCGAAATCACCAGCAATCACACTTTTGTGCCATCTGCCTCCCCGAACAGCCAGGCAACAGCCAGGCAAGGGGTTGTGGTGTCACCCCCCCACCTCCCCACCACCGGTCGTGACGCTCGAAAGCGGGGTAAACCGACACGGGACTCCGCAGACTGAAACGTGAGCGATGTGTTATTCTGTTGCTGCAATGCTGCACCACGCCAGTCCCCCCTTTTTTTCCTCCAGATCTCAGCACCAGGACAGCGCCGGGTGGTGCGCACAGCTCCAGATCCGTGCGTTTTCCAGCAGGCCATGCACCAATCACCCATCGATCCCGACCCATAACGGTGTGTCCGAGCTGCAGAGTGACCCCCTGTAAGAGGGGGGGGAAACTGTGCTTCTCGGGACACCGCGTCCTCTTACCTGAGTGGCTTTGTGGAATTGCTTCTTCAGCCCCGCCACAGACATGGTTGCTACACGGTGTTTTTTTTTTGTTTTTTTTAAATCGCCGGTCAAGAGAAGCGACGCTCGGGTGTGAGGGTGGAAATTCTTACGGCCCAACCGAATTGGTATCGACGGTCTTGCAGCCCTGACAAACCCCAGTCTACGCTGGTCTTCTCCAGAGGGATCTCCTGCGAGAGGAAGGCTGAGTAAAGAAAGCCCCGATCAGACTATTGGATGGCGAGCCCACATGTCTAAAGCCGCGCTGACGTCGGAGCCTGCTCGCGTTAAAGAGGCAGCCCTCGTCACCAAGGATGAACTCTGTGCTCTCTAATCTAAGCCGGTTTCAGAGGAGGACTACGGGGACGTCGATCTCCGTTTTAACTGAAATTAGCTCGAATAAATCAGATCGAATCTAGCACTGAAGGCTCAAATACAGCACGATAGTAGCAGGTTCCTTTAAAGGCTGATTGGCACGTGGTGATGTGCTTTCCTGGCGATGTGTTGCCGACCTCTCACCAAATCATTATCAACACTAACGGCTTGTAACGTTTGCATTTGTGGCTTCTTTGGACGGTTTTATATGGGAAGAGGCTCTTGATTCTCCCTGAAAGTTCGTGATGGACACAACCCATCAGCTTCCTGGTCGATTCTGAACGTCCCACCGTGGTGCGATCACACGTTTGCGATCCACTACAAAATGTAGCACTGACTATCCCGTAGTGACACTATATTGCTGCTATTTCAGGGGGTGATTTCAGTTCTTAAGGGGATTTTATTGCCTTTATGAGAGACTCGGTGCCTGTCCCTCTGAGAGGCTGCTGGACCACACGCCCCATCTTCAGCACCCTGGACAGCGCCCGTGATGGCGGGAGATGGATGCTCCACTCTTCTGTTCACGCCTTCTACAGGGCTCCACTCCCATCAAATACACATGTAATCTGTCCAAGTGATGCATACACACGGGCTCAGACAGGAATGAATAAGAAATTGTTGTATCTCCTTCCTGTGTTCCCACTGCTTGGGTGGGGGATCCTTTTGAAAGCGGCCTGGTTTCAAATGAAAACTAACGTTAGGCACTGAGTGAAGCAGAGGTGCATTTGCTGTTGTTGAGAGGGCTCTGCGCATGAGTAGCCGTCCTTATGTTTTACTGTTCATGTGTGTTTATGTCGGTGGGACCTCCTGGTTAAATAAACAATGAGGAGAAAATGACAGCATAAGTGTGTAAAAATAACCTAGAGAGGGATACAATAGGGAGAACAGCACAGCAAAAAACAAAAGAGCACGTCTCCCTCATAATGACGTGAGCGACGTGTCTGTTTCTGCTCCATTAAGCAGGTGATTATTCTGACCTTGAAGCTATTCTATCCGTCTTTATCTTATAATAGCATGCCTATTAGATATACTAGCTGATACAGTAGGTGTTTGTGTTTGGGATTTATCTCCCAGTGTCGCCATGTGTAAGATAGGGAGTTGGAGGTCAGAGGCCACTAAAATATTTTTATCAAACACCGGTTTGGCACTGAAAGCAGCATAAATATTTACTGGTTAGCCACAAGTCAATGACGACAGGATTAGGACCTGACGCTTATTTTTGTTAACGGCTGAAAATGTAATTCCATTTTCCCTCTGAAAAATAGTTCACACAATTCATAATGGACATTTGAAGAACAGGCTGCAGAACTTAGAAGTCATGTTTGGTAAACCTTAGGTGACATCTGCATGTGTGTTTTAATGCTCTCCATCCACAACAAAAGCAGTGAGAGAATCACGTTTCAAAGCATGACGTCCTCTGTGTCGCAGAATGCTGATCATGGTTTGGTGGGGGAATGATCCAGGTGCAGGACCGAGGAGGGAGACATAGGGATTGGGGAAAAATCTTTTATTTTATGGATAACAACACAAAAAGGCAGCAATTGCTGGATAAAGCCTGAACTTAAACTTGGTGAAAAAACCCAAAACAAAATCTAGAAATAATAAAACAAGAAACCAAAAAAAAATAAAAGACCTGAGGCAGAAACCATGGATGACGTGACAATGAACTGGCTATGACTATGAACAAAGACAGATGACATGGTATTGATGGTTGACAAGGTACAAGAACAATCCACAGGGTACAAACGACAACAAAGATCTGTCACAAGACGAGGGGCAACGCAAACTATAAGTACACATGAGGGCAATGGGGAACAGGTGAACACAATCAGGAATCCTGGAAGACAATCACACTGGTGACACATGATGAAGGGCAAACGAGAGGAAAGTTCCTTTTCAAAATAAAACAGGAAATGACAAGATCAAGACATGACAAAACAAAACCAAAAACCTCCAGGCGTTACACCCTGACAAGTGCCACCTGTTAATCTTGGGAGCTTAGTGGTCTGTAATGCCATGGATAAAGTAAAAAAATAAAAAAATCTGCCTTGGTCCAAAATTGAGTGGTAAACAGTTTTTTTCAGGATTAACCGCTCACAAAATTACCTCACCTGACATAACACAAGAAGTATCAGGACAAAGGGCAAAGGACAAAAATCCTCTGCAAGATACTATGAAGTACATTAGATTAAGGGTAAATTATGCATGTTTGGTCTGATGCATGAAAGCAGATGCCCATCACAAAGGTCAATAATCAAAGCCCTGCATCAATGTGTAGGATTAATGTGAATAAAGTCTGAATAAAAGCTAAAATGTCTCCAGCACAAGGAGCACATTCATCAGTGTGATAGCAGTACAAATTCCAAAGGGTTCTTGGTCAGAGAGAATATAAGAACCTAGAGTGGTGATTAAAAACAGGAAACTGGAAGATATTCATATATGCAACAACAGTGTTAAAAATCAGAACTATGAATCAAGTATTTAAATGACTTTTCTTAATGAACCTTTTAAGACCATTAGAATAAGAATAATGTATTCATTAAAAGTATTAAGGAGGGCAGGAAAGGCAAATCAGGCATTATCAAAGTAAACAAAAAAAGTTTAGACTGCTTATATTCACCAATATTTTCTGCTGACACTGAAATAAATTGATAACGTTACTGGCGCCATCCTGTGGAGAATTTGAATTCTTATTGAAAGCCACAACACACACAACACTATTTGAATACACAAATAGGGTTGTTTAATAAGATCAATGAAATCTTAATATTTATTATACATTAGAAACTAAATCTATCCCACACAGCAACACCCATAATAAGAATATCATAATCTTGAGTTGCTACTTTTTTTCTTATAAAAAATAATGAACAGTGAGTAGGATGGGGGGGCAACAAAACGAACAAAACAAAATATTACAAAACACTTCTATTATAAAAAAGAATATTTTAAAAAAGAGTGTTTTTTTTCTGTCCACAGCCCTGTGCGGTCTAAGCAGAAACAATAATGCTTTGCTGCCATCTAGTGGTAAGAAATGATGCAGCAACGGTGATGCTATAAAAAACATTGGCACATCCACGTAACTCATTTGTCTGAAGGGATCTGTGAATGAGACAAAGCACAGAATTACTGACACAAAAATGCACAAAATAATGTCAGACCACGGAGGGGAAAACAAAAACACCTGAAAAAAAAAAACTTGTTTGAATGCTTCTTATTGACCAACAGAAAATGGGATGAGTGCAGTCATTTTTCCTGCTCAGCGATCTGGGCAGGTGCTTTGATAAACTGTTTGGTCCCACAGCTCAGTGATCTGTTTGTGTTGCCTGAGGTAGTAAACCATTTGTCTTAGTTCATGAGACAGTAAACTTCCTCTTTACACCCCTTTTGTTACTGTTGAGATTCCGTTCAATAAACAATTGTTGCATTGAACTTTGTTACTTTAATCGCCTCATATTTGATCCACATTATTTGTTAAAATTTGAGAAGCATGAGCATATCTCTAAAGGAGTAAAAAAAAATTATCTACCCATTTTCTGTGAAAACTGGGCCTAAACTGCAAACTTGAATAACTATGTGTTTCAGCCTCTGTGAGTCTAGAGTCTTTTCTCTGGACTGGTAAAAAAATGTTTTATCGGGGATTACAGCAAAAATAACTGATGTAAATAACACCAATAAAGCCCAAGTCTGTGCTGAGAGGCCTTCTCCATTGATAGGGTTTCCTTTCCAGTTGTTTTTTTGCAGTTATTTTAGTGTTCGTTGTCATGGTTCTCTTGCCCCATGGGACCTCCATTAAGCTTCAGCTTCTCACAGCCAACTTAGGTGTCTGTCCTACCAATCTTTGATGTCTCAGACTTAAATGAAAAAAGACAGGCCCACATCACATCATTCCCACCACCACAAATCACGGCTGGGATGCCAATTTCAAGCTGATTTGAAGTGGCTTTCTGATGTGATTAGTGGTCAGGATAACGTTGCTCTCAGCCTGAACTTAGCTGGACTGAGATATGCTTAAGTCAGCCAGTCAAAGTTATTCCTCCTCATTGCTGAGCTGGTGTATTCATGGCGATTTGTCTGTAGAATGGCGATCACATATCTGACAACTCCACTGGTTTTAGCTAGATGTGGTTCATCCTGTTTTAGGGTAGTGGGCCATTTCCCTTTCCCCCCCATCCAAATGAACAAAAAGTGAACAAATGTTTCAAACAGTTGGAATCTAAAACAAGATGTAGAAACAGATGGAATGTGCACCTCTACCCTTGTTCTTTGGGATATTATTCAGCCTTGTCTAAATGCATAATTTCCTAGAATCAATTCATGCTGAGATTCTGCTGAATGCACAGTGATTGAAGGTAATGAGAAATTGGGCTTGGCTTTAGCAGATAAAAAAACTGCAACTGTGATCTTTGCCAGATTTAAACTTTCTTCTCCAAAGGGAGATGGCAGGCAATCACGCAAAATGCCCCCTCACAGAGCTTTACCGAGTTAACGTTGTCAGTTAGAATTATTTGAGTTGATATTTGCAGCAGCTGACATCGTCTCCTTTTTTCACATCTGGAAGAGTCTGACGAAAGTCCCTAATTCCCTTTCCTGGTACACTAAAAAGTTAATCTGTCATCTATAGCTCCTTTAGGTAAAAAAAAAAAAAAAGAAAAGAAAAAAAAGCTCTGCTCTGCTCCAGGCATCCTCTACGATCAATAAATCTCTAGAAAACTGTTGGTTAATGTCATAAACTGCAGCTCTGTTCCATTGTCCTGAAAGATGCCAGGAAAGGTTACGTGTGTGTGTTTATTTTTCATCATAATTAAAGCACTTGAATATCCTGTACCTCAGGAAAGCTGGATTAGTTCATTTTTGGTAAAGTGTCTGCAGGTGCAGGGGGAAAAAAAAGGCTGGTTCTGAGCAGATCAGGGGTCATTTGTCACACATATGCTGGTTATGTCGCCGGACACAAAAGAAGCAACACGCGCCGGGCTGCGATCATGTGTTTATGTGTGCTTCATAAGGTCCACCAATCCCCACGCCGGCCCACTCCACTCAAACATGCTAATGTACCTGTGCTCTGCTCTAATTGGTCCCAGTGATGCTCGCCCTGCCCCACCTGTGTTCACGGGAAGCCTACAGTCAGTCCTGCAGTCGGGCCCCTGCCATTGTGTGCGAGCATGCAGTGCTAATATTATGCAAATAAACACTTTGTTGTTTGGCAATTCTTGCACCGACCCGCCGCTGTGAAAGAGAGAGAGAAAGGGAGTAAAGGGAAATAAAGAAAAAAAAAAAAAAGGAACAAGGGGAGAATGAGAGGGGCTGCGTGAATTCATCAGTGTGATTACCTAAGGTGTGCTACTTCACAGGGGGTAATCTGCCGGCCTGTTTCATACCCTCCAAACTTCAGCGAGCCCACTAATGAGCGTTTGGAAAAAGTTAGTCAAGGTGGAGAGGTGCTTTGAGCGGCTATATACCCAAGACTATGGTCCTATTATAAATGCCTGAGCAGAAAACAAAGGATGGCTTCCTGTGTAACAACAGACAGGACACAGACTGTTTGAGTAGCACGTTTAGACTGAGTGCACACAGCTAAATTATGCTATTGACAGAGGAAACCGGAGCATCTGAAAAACAAATAATCATAGCACCAAAGTATGACTCACTGTATGATTTAGGAGCCACTTCCTCTACATCATTTGGGACAATATCCTAGATTAATCACAGAGACTCCGAGGGTTCAGGTAGTCGCACTGGAAGAGTCGCTTCTTTCTGAAGTGCTGTAGCGGACAGCCGCTTCCCTCCTATACTTTAAGAACATGTGGATTAGAGACCAAATCACCCACCTTTCTCATTCTCTTTTTCTCCCTCGGAGCTCAGGCCATGGCTTTAGAGAGACAGCTGCCATGAGTAAGGCTTAGGACAGTCCATGGGGATGGGGAAAGTGTGTGTCAAAGAACAATGAAAGTTCAAGAAGAGCTTGGTTATGATGGATAAGAGTGAAAGGGAGGGGGCACAATCCCCAAAAGGATATATGTACAGTATATATAGATATACAGTGTAACATTCCTCCACTTCTTGCCCTATGTCTCGATCACACAGCATCAAAACATAGCTTTATTCCCGTGAGTGGCCAGCCTTTTTATCTGCTCCCCAGCTTCCCACTGTGGGCCGCATCCTCCCATAATCTGCTGCTGTTTCATGTCTGGAGCACTGTAGAGGAGGATAAGGGACTTGTTCAAGCTAAGATCAATGAGGCTGTATACATAGCATATGTGCATGAGGACAGTCGGGTTTCCTTTATTCTTTTCAAGGTGCCATCTGATCTAATATTAAAAAACATTGCACACAGATGTATCGAGAAGCCAAATAGGGAACCTGGGAATTTGAATAATTACCCCTTAGACTGAAAAACTAAGAGTGTTACGAACTCTGTTTGACATAGAAAAACAGTATTATATATATATATATTTTACTAAACCACTTCTCTGTGGATCAGAGGAGACACAATGAAAACAGTAAACATGTTACATTATACATGTGTAAATACCTTGTTATTTAAGTCAGTGCCAAGTGTCTGTGCCTGCTAAATCAAAGCAGACTGATGTGTTGGCAGCTATTGCTGGGGTGCGAAACTATGTCAGCGAAGTGATAAGAAATCACCCGTGGCTGTTTTCTTACCTCTACACAGCTGGCTGACAAAATCTGCAAGGACTCATTCTATATCAGATGGGGGCTGAAGAAATTCATAGTTTGTGTTCCAAATGTTCTTTCTACTGTCTCCCCACCTTCCCACCCAAGTGGCACAGTGCACGCTAGACAAAAGGAACTGAAAAGTAAAATGGAGAAGCCTTGGGACACAAACAACACAAAACACGCAAGTTCAGAAACAATCGATCGGGCCTAAAGTCAACCCATGACCCTGACCTTCACAGGCCCTCCAATATCCTGAAAGAAACTGTGGGAAAAAAAAAAAAAAAAAAAAGAAAAGATGGAAAAAAAAAAAAAAAAGAAAGAAAAAAAAAGAAAGAAAAAAAAGAAAAGAAAAAAGAACGAAAAAAAAAGTTGGAGTGAGATAAATGTAGAAAGAGAGAAAAGAAAAATGACACCGAATTGATTGTGTTGGAATGAATTAAAGAGGAAGGGAGAGAAACTTTGCATTTGGAGCTGCTGATCAAAGTGCTACTCACAGGAAATCTCTCTTAATGAGAGCTACACAAGAAAAAGAATGGAGGAAGACAAGAAGAATAAAAGAAAAGAGGGGTAAAGCATGCCATTCCTGCACAGGAAAAGAGAAAAAAAGATGAATCGTGTACATTGCTTAGTAGAATTGTGTGTGTGTGTGTGTGTATTGGGTCGGGTGGGGTGGGAGAGTTGGTTGAAGGGTGTTTTCAAGATCGTTTTAATGTCTTCACTGTGGGAGCGTCAGAGGCAAGGCCAGGTTAATTAAACCCAAGGGAGAACCAGCTGAGGGGGCCCACATTTGAATATGTCACAGAAATAGCATAAGTGTGTCAGCCGAGGCCGGATGGCGGGTTTGGTGAGCAAATATGTTGACTATGCATTACAGGCTAAAAGGAAGAAGAGAGAAATAAAAACTGTCAGAGAGTGTGTGCATGTGTGTTGGATGGGGGGGGCTCCAGGATAATTTGCGTGGCACTGATGTTTAGCTTTTCTTTCACCCACGATGCCACCGGATTTCTCAGAGTTATTAATGTTTGTCATTAGCTGCATTACGCTGGAGGATAGTGACTGGAAAAAAAAAGACAGAGAAATTTTATATGGGACAAATATTGACAATAGCAGGCTCATGGGTATTGGAGAAGAAGAAAAGATGCAAACTATGTTAATGAATGGTAATTAACCACTAGGGTTTGTCTCTACTGAATCCCGGATAAATTGGTCCCCGAGTTGCAGCTAGAGACAGTCCTGGCCTAATCCTTTATTATAAAAAGATAAAGGAAAACGACATCATTAGCATATATTTGAAATGGGAGGGGGGATTAAAAAGTGGAATTATTTTTCTTTAATTCTTGAATTGAGGATTCCTCAAACCACTGTCAAAAATACGGAATAAAAAAGGGGGGAAATTGTGAAGAGGAAAACAAAGCCAGGAGAGGTAAAATCAAAGTGATTTGTAAGGAGATGAGAGGGGTCTCTTGTGTCAGATGCCAACTCAAGGACAGAGGAGACCAGGATCATGATTTAATATTCAAAATTAATTATAAGAGAGGTAGGAAAAAGGAAACAGATAAAAGGGATTGCAAGGAGCTCTTCTCTAAAACACTACGGCTCTGTGTGTGTGTGTGCTCATCCAGGCACTTATTAATGATGTCAACAGCAGGGGTTACTTGTTACTGATAGGAACCATGCCAACAGGCAGCTGTCAATCATGGGAGAGGTGAAAGAACCCTGCTGTCCAGCCGGGCACCCTCAGTCACCATCACACACTGACAGACAGTCCTTTGAACTAAAGTATCGGCCAAACACTAGAAACCATAAAGACAAGGAAAGACAAAAGGAGCAAAAATATGGCCAGACGTCGCGCTTTTTATTTACAATTGAAGACAATTTAAGATTTTTGAAGGCAAAAACTCTGATAACATAATAATCCAATAAATTAGCACCAGAAACGATGAGAGGCAAATGCGTGCATAAACAAAGCTAAAACCCTGCAAAAATACATCCTTGCAATGAATTGAAAAAATTAAACAAAGAAATCCTGAATTACACAACAGGATCTTTGATGTTTGATGAATGGATCATAACTGTATTTTACTTTCTCAAATTGTTGACTTGGCATTGTGAGGTTGAGTCCCCACAAGTAAATTAGTTTGAGAGGTAAAATAAAGTTTACAAAAAAGTGTAAGATAAACATAGCGTAAGCATTTGCCTTATCACCCCGGTCCTGAATTGAGAGTGGAGGAGAGTGGCTGTGCTGTAAATTAGCTTGGCACTAAAGGGCCCTGTCTGATAGACATAGTGCACTGAGTGCTAACACAGATGTCGAGGGCTCATTTACAAAAGCCGGGCTGCTGTGTTGAGCCAGTGGCCCAGAGTGAGTCGACAGCGTTTTTCTCACAAATATTGGTTCTGCTGCCCCGGCTCAGCTTGGCTCAGCCCGGCTCCCACTGAGCGGGAACTGGGAAGGGAAGGAAGAAGGGAGGGAGAAAAAGAAGAGGATGACAGTTTTCCCAGCCTCAGCCCAGGGAGTCAGGTTTTTTCGCTGACTGGTGTTGCGAGCGCGGCCAGCTCTTCTGTCAGCACTTTCCTCTCCTTCATCTTCACGCGCACAGCCTCCATTAGCTGGCCGGCTGAGGGGATCTGCAGGGGAGGGATAGATAAAAAAGAAGGAGAGGGGGAAAGTGGTAAAAGGGGTTTGTGAAAATGAGGAAAACACACAAAAGCATAACTATAAAAAAAGATTTAAAAAAATCTGAATTTTGACACCTGGCAGCTTCTCAGAAAGACTGTATGCTATTTGGTGGAACAAGAGAACCCCAGATGGGGCCTGAGGACTTGTGATACTTCTGAGGGACTATTCATTCTGAGTGTTTTGACAAAGCCATGCACAAGGCAGGCCACGGGACAACAGTTTCACAGCCAAATTCACAGTTCTCAGTGTCAAAGCTTCCATTTTGATCGGTGATAACAGCATGTCCGGAATCGTATATCCAATATCTACATTCTTTTAACGTCTCATATGCCCATTCATGAATTGAAATAGCAGCTGTTTCTCCAGTCCTGGAAGGAGAATGATCTGACAAAAACTGTGTCAGAGAGGAAGATACATGAAATAAAAGCGGTCACAAAGTTATTCAAACATACTTACACATGTAAAAGGTGTAAATATCCAGGTATCAACAACAGAAATGAAATACAGCTGAAACCAAGTATTTTAAACATGGTGAAAAGATTTATCTAGTCAGAAACATCCTGACTAGTCAGAATGTGTGCCTTTTGTTATGGAAGCAGTGGAAAAGGTGTGAGGAGTGAGTAGGCCTTTCGGCAGAGCTCATGCTAATTCTTATTCTTCCTTTGAATAGACACAATGATTTCATTGTCACCTCTACATCTCCTAAATAATACTCCCCTTTAACCAGTGATTTCCCTTAGATCAAAAAAAGAATTATTCACATAAACAACCAGGAATTCCCTAATTCTAAATCAATTTCCGACATGCCTGGAAAGTGAGTACATGAGAAAGTTACTCTGACATGCAGTCCTCTTGTCCCTTGACACCTTCTCTGGTTCATTAAAGGTAACGGGAGAAGGGAACACAAAGCTGTGCTCTGGGACGTATGTGTGCAGTAAGGAGTCTGCTCCGGCAGCAGCACTGGATGCATCAAAAACACAGCCCTATTCCTCAGAGAACCACACCACTGAAGTAACTGCTGAGACATCTCCCCCTGCCTCTGTCCCCTGGGGAGGATTCACTCCCTGTTTCACGCACACACACAAACAGGCATGCACACGTACACACCTTCCCAATCAGCTAATTGCACTTAGAGCCACTAACTATGCAAACAAACCCACTAAAATAGAGACACAGCACAGGGTTCTGTGGGACAGCAAAGTGGGAGACTGGATCATTAAAAGTCCCAACGAGGGAATATTGGTAAACAACACCAGCAGGTAAACATGGTCTAGATAAACCTAGCTCGTACCAGATGAGTTCCAAAAAATTTGGGGCGCTGTGTAAAATCTTAATAAAAAGAGATATCAATAATTAGCTAGCTTCAGAAGCTAATAATTTATTTGTGATACTTGCCATGATCCCCATTTACTGAAAAAATATCAGCTCATCCTGAACTTGATGGCAGCAACATGTGGTTACATTTAACTGTTTGGAACCGGATTTAAACATTTTAACCACAAAATAAGAAAGAAACCCCCCAACAAAATAGATAATAAAGACTCCCCGCATTTAGACACAAACCAGAGAATCTGAGATTAGTTCCATTTCAACAATTCAAAATGACATCTAAACAACAACCTACACAAAGTAGTAGCAGTGGAAGGAATTAGTACGGCCGAATTGTTTTTATGCCATTCGATATTTGAATTGATATTTGAGTTTTACTTTACATTAGTTGGTTCTGGAACAAGCACCCATGTGCTCACAAATGGGACGCGCCTGACCTTTCATCTACCTGCCACGTTGGCTGGGGACTGATACCCTGCAGGATGGTTGGAGGTAAGCTCTGATGCAGCTGCTCTATGGGTTCCCCTGGGCTGCTTCAGGCAGTGTTAAGAACTGGCACTAATGTTATGCTACAGTTGATTTAGCTGGGCCCTTGTCCCCTTTGGCGCAACTATCACCAGAACTAGCGCTCAGCAACACAACCACTGTTTCGCAAGAGACCCTGTCCCCTTTGGCAACACTAAAATAGCTACTGTAGCATTAAGCCATGCTAACTCACTGCCATTACTATTCAACAGGCCCCGCAGAGCAGACCTTTACTCAAGGTATGATTTTATGAGCATCTGCAGCCACAGACACTGACATGTCCGTGTATGTATATATACACTGTGTGTGTGTTTGTGTGTGTAAGTGTTTGAGTGCAGACAAAAAAAAAAAAAGCAAGAATAGGGGCTGCAAGCAAAGGTGTTTCTATGAGCCAATTAAATGACACCACCATTCTATAGCCTGGGGCACACCTGAAGGCAAGCAGCAGCTCAAAGTTGCAGCACTCCGGTGACCATTGTGCCATAGTGGCATTACATTTTAGAACTTTTTTTTAAATGTAAAAGATCGATCATCCCCGTTCTTTTGTCGTCTCCCTTGAAACAGGTTGGCACAATTATTTCCAAAGGCCCAATTTGTAAGTTTTAAAGGTTGTGTCAGCTGGCAGGATATCTAAATGAGGAGGGAGGGTAACTCATAGAGCCTAGAAGTCATGGGAGCACATCCATCTGTATATAAACAGCACATCTTTCCACAGTTTTTCATGAGTCAACACCATATATATATATATATATATATATATATAGTATGTATACAGGATATCTCTAAAGACAGACTTTGGTGCATAATTATAATGAACAACATTTGTCTCCTTTGGAGGATTCAATCTCTAACAAAATAACCTTTTGTGTAATTGTAAAGCCAAAAGCTAAATTGGAATGCAACACAATATGAAAAACAACAGAAAATGACTGACATGAGTTTTAGAGCGCCAAAGTGTACCCTGCAACAATTTGATTTTTGTGGTCCCTTTTCACCAAGTGATCTTTAATCTAGGCCACTAGTCAAGGTAAGTGAGAAATAGTTTCACTAGTTTTATCACATAGGAGGGAAACAGCTCTTTGATCTTTGATCCTCTCACTTTTGTTTGAAAATCAAATTTATTAAACTGGGGAATAACAACAACAGCATGATAAGTAGATTAAAAAAAGCACAAAGGCACCCTAGTAAAAATCTTGCATTTGATTATCTCCAATAATGAATATGTCACATTAGCAAAGAGGGGCTCAGGTAAGAAAATCACAAAAGCACCGACAGGCCTATTCTCTAGCTGTTCTTCGTAATTACCTTCCCCTACAGCAGAGATCCCTCTCTTTTTCTCCCCTTTAGGCCACCAGGGATTTATATGAAAGGGAATTGGACACCTGGGGCCACAAATACTGTAATTAAAAACCTCTCATTTTCTTGATGTGTTGTTTGGAAACATCATTTCAATGTGCAACATGCATTTGTTAGGAATCTGACCTAAATACACTCAAGATTAAACACAGAAAAGCGCCAGGTCTTTGTTTTAGGCTCCTACTCATTAGGTGAGAAAATGAGGTGATTCAGCCATGATATGAGTGTAAATATAGAAAGGTGATATCCATACAAAAGGGATGCAACCTTTAGACAGAATTCAACTATAGAAAACATCACAACCCAACAGAGCCCAAGGTAATAAACTGTGAGGACTCAAGATTCAACAGTGGCTTTGCTGTCAAACTGTTACAAAACAAAAAGGTAAGTCTAGTTTCCTCCCAACGTTGGACCCTTCAGTGATGTAAATACATATAAAAACTTACCTAGTGAGGAAATATCCACTTTTATGACAAATTATCTTTTTCTGTTGTTATAAAGTCCTGCTGGGTTCCATGATCGCCATTTAGAATCAGACCAACAATAACCTTATTTTTTCACCAGTGGAAACAATTTCCCAAAGTCTTAATGTAATGTCTATGATTCACTGGCCCAAAATAACAAAGGGAAACATTTGAGAAGGTCCTTCATCTTCCACTGATTTACTCCACTGTTTGTGCAGATAATTTTAGGGTCTGGAGTGACCAACAAGACTTTATTGTCCCTCTTTTTGACAATCAGAGGAACGTCAATGTCCTACACCTGATGTACATTCAGTGCAGCATCATCCGAGTTAGGCATAATCTTGTTAAGTGGCATAACTTTACCCTCTAAGTCTGAAACACAATGACAAAATGATACACAAATTAAATTGGTTGTGGTGACTTCAGACACTTAAATATGTTCTTTCAATGCAGAAAAGTGGATTTTTTTTGTCTGTATCCCTGCCCTTTAACCATAACCGACTGAATCGCCCAAAATCTTTTATTGCCCAATATATCTATATTGTTTGCGTTTTTTCTGACATGAAGGCTGTGCAAATAAAAAGTTTAATTACACTCTGATATTAACAAAAACATCGCCTTCTCTTCTCTTGGGAACCCCTCCACAGTCACCACCACTGATCCAGTGACATATTTACAATACAAAGGCTTCGCTCACGTCCCCTCCTCACACATACCAAACATACTTCCAGAGATAAAAAAAAAGAGTGGCTGATTTAATTAGCTCAATCATTAAATGAGGCTTAATTAGTCACCCTCCTTCAGAGAGAAGTGTGGGACTCAGAGCTGTTCCTTGTCATTACAGCAGCATAATGAGCCACACAACACAATACACTACAGCTCGCCCGCTCAGCTCCAACAAGAGAAAAGTTTCTCTGCACACTGGAACAGTCAGGAAAAACAACCACCGATGGGCTGAAAAACAAAAGTTAATAAAGCAAATTCCCATGAAAATATCAATATAACGAGAAGCCTTGCCAAGCAGTGACATTAATACAGTTTGCTAGTTAATGCTGTTAATATCATATGCACCAGCAAGCTGTGCCTTAAGTTTGATAAGAAAGTTTGGAATAACAGAACCTTACCCAGCTTTAGAAACCATCCATAAATGATGTTGATTGTTTATAACAAGTCCAGTCCAGAATGGCCCAGCCCATTTTTGCCGCTCTTTTAATGTAAGGTTCACCTGCTTGTTATAGCTTGGAGGCTGATAAGAAGTGATGCTTGTATGTCTCCCCTGGGTGTGATTGTGAGGTAAATATTAGCAGGCCCTCAGCGCCTCCCCACACCAGTAAACCAAACCGCTGTCCTCTCATAAAGGAATCAACAGAGTCAATGACTTTTTAAATGTTATTATGCTGTCATGAGGCCTGAGATAGGTATGTGTGCACAAAATGAGTCTGAAAAATTATCTGGAGGGAATGCGGGTGTTTGTGTGCATGTACACAAACTGGTCCTGTTCATTATTGGCCAGCAGCAGAAGCCAGTCATTTCCCTGTCTTCATAAAGACTCGGCCCATTAAATTCTACCTCCAGTCAATAATTAGGACTCCACAAATAAACCAAAGGCAATTAAATCAATGTTTCCCCGGGCCGGTGCCCGGATCCCATGGCCCACATGGACACTCCATCTTCTCCGCTGGCCTTATTCATGGTAGGTTGCGGTGGAACCACACAGTGCACCCCCTGGCCTGCTCATGATTATTATGCAGCATTGTCCCTTGATTCTCTGTATGGAGCGTTGCTTATGGTGGCTCTCTCCTGACAGACATAGGGTTTGATTTCATTAACTTGCCGATGGAAGTGAGGGTGGAGGAAATGATCGCAATGTTTCATTTCATTTTGAGTGGACATGTGGGGAGGCAGTAGGGGGGGAGGAAACGGAAATCTATGGCACTGCTTTGACATGAAGGGGGTACTAAAGTAGTACATGTACAGTCATGTATCTCTATATCAGTTTGCTATTATTGCTCCCTCTTTCTTGTTATGTTGACATGTGGCAGTGCATGACAGTGATTGCGAACAATAGTCGCACACACAGCCACATCTACACACAGATACCTCTCTGGAGTTTTTTCACATTTGCAACTTCTCACGCACACTCACACAGAGTGAATGATGGTTTTGCTATTGACAGGGCCACTGAGATAATAAAGTGCTGTCCCACTGGCAGCTCCATTAGGCCCTGACAGTGACAGGATGGGGCTGGTGCAAGTGTGCACGTGCACACACAAATACGTGGACACACACACATAGATGGGCATATCCTCATCCTCTTCCAGTGACAGGCCAGCCAGTTAAGGACATGGATCTCTCATCTTCTCTTTCATTGAGTCTATTTCTGTCAGTATCTTCTTATTTGAAGAAATGTGTGTGTGAGTACAGCTCCTGATATGATCATATCACTATTAGGGAAGTGGGTTATTAGTGTCATAGGCTGGGTGACAGGTTGGACCATTACACTTCACAGATGTTCTGCTCAGTGAGCCTTTCATAAGCTATGACAAAGAGTCGAGAAACTAAGTGGGTACAGAATGTTTTTTTTTTGTTTTTTTAACTGCATGAAGCCATGGTGCAGGCCGAGATCTAGTTGATCAACCGACATTATTAACACTTTCTTTAATCTCTTTTTGTGTGCTATGAAGATGAAATCTGACAGGGAGAGACAAAGCTTGGTTGATACGACAATGTGATTTTAAAAGCTAACGAGCGAGAGGAAACCACAAGACTGAGAGGAGAAAAAAATATATATAAATAAATAAAAAACAGAACAAGATAGACTTGAAAGGGGATAGAAAAAGTCTGATTCAGTGAAGGGGGGTGACTGCATTGGTCCCAGTGGTCCCCACAGGGACCCGGGGGCAAGTCTCAGCCTTGTCATACTCGACTCTTCTCCTCCTCCACTCTGCACACTAGCTTCAGCCCCCCTTCCACCACCCCTGTTCTGCCCACGGAAAACGTCGATAGCAGGCTGCCGGTGCCGAGGTCTCTGGTGGACACTAGCTCATTCTCCCGGCATCGACAGGCCCGCCAAATCAATATTTAGTTCCCCACTAACAAGCTGCCTCGGGGTCTGAGCCAGAGAGGGAGGGAGAGAAAGAGAGGAATGCGGGACAGAGCAGGACGGCAAAGAGAGACAGAGCGGGGAGTGAGAGCTGTCCAGCTAGAAGGGAAAAACATGGATTCAGAGGAGTACTGTGTGTGTATTAGTGTGGGAGGGGGAGAAGAAGGTGGAAAGGTCAGAGGAAGATCTGGGGAACAAGAGAACAGTGTCTGGTGTGTGTCGTGGTGCGGAGGCGACGCATGAGTGCCTGCAGCAGCTGCTGACATGAACACAGACGAGACACACATCCACTCTCGACACTCTCAATCATACACATATCACAGAGAGCAGACGTTGACAGTGCTCAAGTACAGCTCCAGCAGAGCACTTACAGATGAGTGGCTGTGTGCACACAAAGACTCCAGCAGTGAGGATGTACTTTCCTTTTTCTTTGTTTTATCTTTTGCATCATTGTATTTAGAGCCTCAAGGAGGATCGTAGGGATATGCGTTAAAATCCACCCTTGATTTACTGTACTAGTGTCAACCCACTGCTCTAATTTTTTTTTTTTTTGACAAAGCAGTGCATCTGCCACAGTAGGTAGCTTTACATTGAACTGCTGTCAACCCTCCATAAAAACACCCGTGACATTATCATTTAACAAATAAAAAATGTAGCCCAGCATGCATTTAGAAATGGAAATGTTGGCTCTGCCGAGCAATGATACAGATATTAATACAGATATTACCTCTGCCTCATTAATAGTAAGATTTTAAAGTTCTACCTGCAACTACACGCTAATGGTTCAGAATTCAGTTATTGTGCTTTTTTCTCCTACTAATAAGAAGTCGTTTGCTTTTTCAGTCCCACATTCTTCCATGTCATTGCACATTCAGTCAAGTAGCTTTATGAGGTTAGCATATGACCATAAGTTTCTTTCTCATCTTTTTTACATTTTTCTATTACTGTTTAAATAACACTATCATACAAATTTGGTTACGCTTTTGTGAGAGCTAAAGAAGCTGTAACTTTGTCCAGAGGATGAGTACAGTTTCAAATAACTTCAATGGTGTTCTGTTGGTCGCAAAAATTAAAGAAAAAAGAAAGAAAGAAATCCTAAGTGCAGCTACTGAGCCACATGAGTTAAAAAATATTTGAATATCTGATAAAAGAACGATGTAACATCAAAGCAGGTTGGTAAGCCTGACCTTCTGTTGGAGAATGAGGATGAAGTGGTCCATCCATTCCTGGTCTCTGGGACTCTCTGTGCAGCCCGATGCCCTCTGAAAATAAAACAACAAACACATATGTATGTTTAAACGACAACACAAAGACAGAAGGTAAAAGAAAGAGACAGTGAGAGAGAATTGGTATGATATTTAAAAGGTAATAAATATCAGAGCAATATTAGCTTTTTGTATATTGGTGACAAAACTGTCATGTCCTTATCAAGATTTAGCGTGTCCAGAAGGACCCAAATTATGATAGACTGGCCTTTCTGAGCCTACTTCAGAAAGGCAGAAATGCACACACAACCTTGACGAACCTCTCTAGAGACTCAGTGGCAGGGTATGCCAGTATACCTTTGCATACAACTCTTCTCTAAAGACTTAAAAGAGAAGCAGCCTTGTTACTGCTAATGAACAGGGTGTAGAGCAACTGCATGGCCGTGTACACCTCAGCACTTATGTATTACCTTCTCACTTCAAACCCCCAGCGATGCCACTAGAAATTATGTGACGAGCCTTTTAACTCCTCACGGGGACACAGGAGGGGCAGAAGATGAAGTTTGTGTGTGTGCGTACAGACTGGAGTGTCTACAGAATGGCGGCCCTAACAGGCACAAGCCTGTGAGATTTGTGGTGGCTGTATTATGCTTACTGCAAACAGCCTCAAGCACATACTACACAGAATGCTGTTTTTTTAGAAAAAATCTCAAGTGTTGATTTCACAAGTGTGCTCTGGAGACTATACGGGTAAGGACTCTGACAGAGAAAATAACTCTGCAATGTCAAAATCCATGTAGCCAAAGTCTAGTAAGACTAACAGTTTTTTAAGCATTGTCGGTGTGTCTGTAAGCAAACTAATGTAAAAATGAGAATTTCAAGCAGTCTGGTAAATAGGCCAGTAAACTGAATGGAACCACTTAACTTTGATGCCAACATGCCCCCTTGCTGGGAGAGAGCAGCATTGCCCTTGTGGAGGACTGTGCACTTTGAGTTTCCCTCTAGTTTCTTGTCTGTTGCAACAATTTTTTCCTAACAACTTCATTATCCTTCAAAGACAGCACTAAACTGCCAGGACATCATTAACACGGGAAGAGCTGTGCAGTGAAATCCAATGGATTGCTTTGTGGAAACTCTTTCAAACCAAAGGATGGCGGCTGTGGCTGAGGAGGAAAGAGCAGTTGCCCACTGGTCGGAGGGTCAGTGGTTCAACTCCATGTTCCTCCGGACCACATGTCGAAGAGTCCTTGGGCAAGGCTCTGAACCCAAAGTTGCCTACTGGTTGCATCTGGTGTACCAATTGGTGCAACCAGTGTGTGAATAGTTCAGTGTGTGAACCAGAGTGTAAAGCACTTCGAGTAGTCACCTTGACTAGAAAGGCGCTATATAAGTGCATGTACAAAGGTATAAATCACTGACTATATACGAATAACAAATGCTGTCATGGTATGACCCACTGGTTTGTTGAACACCGTTTTGAAGCCTAAAAATGTTCAGCTAAAACCTTTGTTTCTTGAAGCTGGTCATAAAAAGAAAGCTGTACAGCTGACAGAGAACCTGAAGAAAGTATAGGCCACCTTCATGCAACAACTTTTTATTCATCAGCTACTCATGTTTTAAACAAATTCATATCTATATATTCATCTAAATGGAAGCAAAAACATTGAAAAATTGATACCTGCATTGGCCTAACTTTTTCAATTGGAATGCTATTTCCACCTTATAAGTTTATAATCCCAGCTCATAGGTAAAACATGAAAAATGTCTTTTTTCCCTCCCAAACCTGATACACCAGGGAGCTTGTTATACAGACTCATAGGAAATTCAGCTGTAGAAACTGTTGGAAAAGGGCGGGAACAGTAAAAATAACATAGCAGATTACTTAAATCATCAGATTAGACATTTTTACCAACTCTTATTAATGCATGACAGTTGGCGTTGCCGACTGTTGTAACAGTGAAGACTGTAAGTGTCAGCATTGGATGCTTTGGATTGGGCCGAACTTTTGTGTTGAGGAAACAATTGAGATGTCTGGGGCATGGTGAGATTCTGTCATGATTGTGTCTCACAAATCTTGCTCTTACTTTGCTGTCTCATGCCTGCTCTGTGATCCCTGGTGAAAAAAAGCAGGAGCGTAAACTGATACAAAGCAGCTTAATGACAAACACTCAAAATGTGAGTATAAGACAGTAAGAGTGCAATTGAGACCATGATGTCCACCCTTGGTAGATGTATAATAATAACTGACCCTCCATTTCACATTACTGCGCAAGAGAAACTGGCCTGACAATTACAGCCTTATTACTTCTGGATCATTAATTCTGCAACAAGTTATCCAGGGAGTCTGGAGCAGCTCTAGCCTGTGTTGTGCTTTGTTACACACCGTAGAATGAATAGGGGAAAAATTAGGCATGCAGAATTATACAATCAAACGAATACGGGTTATATGTCTGTAGTTTTTTTTTTGTCCTAAATGTCACTTATAGATTATTTCACATATATGTGATTACACATAATTCACGTTTTCATCTTTGTATATGAAATTTTAAAAATAGATGCTGTTAAAACCATTTATGGACAATCTGAACAAACTCTGAATATGTCTGAAAGGAATAAAAGACAAACTTTCTTCAGTGCTTAGCATTTTGCTGGTAAGAAATATGTCTATAGAAAATATTTTTGAAGGAAAAGATAAAAGAACAAGCAAAGTTCTATTTTTTAATGTAAATACAATAAATTATTATGAATACTATAAATATAAATGTACAAGTAAATATTTTGGAGATATTGAAGATTTCAAGGGCATCTTGCACATCTTAAGAGTCTGATGTAAACTACAAAACTAGAGAAACAGAACCGTAGCCTCCTCTAAATTATTATTTTTTTAATTGAGGAGAAGAGTGGTCCAAAAAAACATGAACATAGTTTGTGCCAAAAAGTCCTTTTGTAGTTTATCATAAAAAAAAAGACAGAAGTAGTTTTAACGTGTTCAGATAACAGCTAACTGTTACAGACAGGGAAGATTACAAGTAGTTTACCCCACATCTACCAAACTAAGATATCTGCTTTAAATTCAAATGCCAAATTCTTTAAGCTTACATCAACTGTATGGTGCTTCTCACAACACTTGACTAAAAAGTTCCGTCATCAGAGCTGAAAACTTTGTAGACAAGTGAGAAACCCTTCACAGTCATCCAATGAGTGGAGCTGTTTAGAGAAAAGCTCAAATTGGCTTCAAATGTGAACAAGTGCCTGGTGCAAGCTTCCTAAACTTGCAATAGAGGGCAAGAAGTCCCCAGTGACGTGAGGCTGATTGTAACTTTACTGCTAATTGACATAAGTGGTTATGACATAAAAGACAAAGGGCCTCTCAAGTTGCTAAAAAGTTTTACACGATTGTACTAGCAGCTGACAGTCAGTTACAAAGGGTTTTCAGCTCAATGACTGCTTTCCCCTGAAAGTAAAAAGTTCTACTGACTCAGCTTGTACCAAATCAAATCATGTATTAAGGGGACAGGTGCTGCGGGTGTTGATAAAATCTGGACCGAGAACACAGACTTTAAGCAAGATGCCACATACTTCTCATGCCACATCGTAAGTTCCCAAATGATTAGAGATTTGCATTTGAGTGTTTTTCACTTTTTACTGAAGTGGATATGTTACCCGGCTCAATTGCTTTTCTCCATTTAATCCCTAATAAAAGTTCAAGCAACACCAGTGATTTTTAGCAGGATAAATTCTGGGAGACACAATTGAAATTATGTACAATCTACAGAAACAGTTGCATGATGTCTGGGAAATACAACCTTTAACCCATGACTTTATGGCCAAATACCCCAAACTATCCTTATATGTATTTTGTCATTTCCAGGTGTAACACCAAAAACCTTTGGGATGCTTAAAACTTTCTTAGTACCAAAATATTTTATATTTTTTTGTTTGTTGAGTGTTGGGGACAAAGTTGATTAAGATCCATAAGTTAACATTTGCACAAAATGCTGAACCACTGTCCCTCAGTCTTACCTGATCTGTTTCCATTATGTCAGCAAGATCATTCTCTGACATATTGAGAATGGAGGCAGCAATGGACTTGGCTTTGATCATAGACTTGGCTGCAGGGCCGCTCTTTGCTGCCATGGCGCTGGCCTGCCTCAACCTCCTCTTCATCAACTGCTGCTTGACCTCTTGAATGTCTAAAAGTATTTCACTGGCCAGGGTCTGAAAGGGGAGGAGAAAAATGAATAAAAAAAAAAAGATGATGAAATGGATATAGAAAAACAAGAGGGATAGCTCTGCCTGGCAGATGAATAAATGAAATTGATCAAGCATGCGCCAGAGAGGCCTAGTACATTATGGAGGAATATTGAGTTTGACACACTCAGATTCTCTTCGGTTTCGCCTCACGCTCCCCTGTAGGAATGTGGACCTGAGGGTCTGTTGCCCTGTCGATTGAAAGCTGAGGGAACACGGCTTTGATATTAAACACACCCCAAGTTTTGCTAAATCCTCCACAGACGGAGAATCATGCATCAGAGAGAGGTCGAAAGAGACAGGGAGCTACTGAAAATACAGCCATTCATTTATTTATTTGCTTTCTGAATGTATCGCAGTACAACAGGGCAGCATAACACTGTTAATAATTAAGCTATGAGGGGCTGTTTCAAATAGTACCCGAGTGGATGGCGAGCAAGAAACACAAGGCCTGGGATGGCACCAATGTCGAGCACTAAATGGGAGTTTGCTCTAAATACAGAGAGACAATTAAATGTTAAAACTGCCACTGTACACGAGAAAGCCAATAAAGTAAACTCCCCTTTGCTTAATTTTCAGCTTATTGATCGAGGCAATAATCTTCTGTATCATTCCCTTGTAAGCTTGCTGAAAAGCTGACCTTGGGTAGATGGTCAGATGAGGGAAAGTTAAGACACAGAAGAACTCGCAATTCACTGAAACAAAACACAAAATAAAGAAAGAAAGAAAATGAATATGAAAAGGTACAACTTGTTCTTGAACAGCAGACAATAAGAGGTTGTTGTACATTAACGCATAATAAACACTTGTAGGAACGGAAGTGACAGGGGTATTAACACATACACAGAGTTGAATGTAAGCAGACATCATCTCAGACAGGTGTACTTAGGTGAAGTTCCCTTGAGAGAGGCCTGCGTGAGAAGTTGAAGTCTGAAGTTGGCAGTATGAGATATTTGTCAATTAACAAGTGTTCACACAAAGCTCAGACTGTCAGAGATTTTCCACAATTGTATTCAAATTGTCCAACTAGGAGTTGAAAAGAGATGTTTTTTTTTTCATTTGCTTTTGACAGTCTTGGGTTTAATACATATACTATTAAATCCCAATAACCAACTCATACCTAACAAACTTGAGAAAATGTAGGACACCCAATTGTCTTCTCGTATTACGTCATAAGAGTTCAATGATCAATTTAGTTCAACTAAACTTGGAGAAGGGAGAAACTTTTTTTTATCAGGGGGGCTTCTGCTCCCACTTTGGTGCCAATATTCAGATGGCCAAACAAAAACCCCATTCATCTCCTATTTTAAAAAAAAAGGCAGCTTTAGGTTATTTAGTTAGAGAGCATTGTTTCCCTCTGAGGAATACACAGCTCATTAACTAAGAGTTGGAGATCCTATTGTATTATTTACAGCCCAATACACATTCACTGTCATGAGCCCAGAGTTACATTCAATAAAACCTGTGTGTGGAATAATTCAGACAGAGATTAAGGGGGGAATTTATCACCCATTCTTGACCCTTAAGAGATGGGTGGGATGGGTTAATGCAAGCATTCACACACATTCTATTCACAAACAGAGACAAAAGATTATGATTGCATACATCTGTCTGCTTGTGCTCTTTTTCCCTGGTTAGATCAAGAAACTTTAGCCAGTGGCCAATTTAAGACAGGATGCAGATTAGAAAAGGGAATGGACATCAAACAAGGTGGTAAAAGATATCCTCTTTAATAGCTTGTGACCGCTGAAAAAACTCACACACACACACGCAGAAAGGACAAATAGGGAAAGTAAAAAGAAGAAATGCTTGTGTTCTGTTAGATTGTCTAGGATGCTGAACAGCTATATTCTCGACAAATACTTGTCAAGTTTTTTTTTTAATGTCTTGTTCGTTAAAAAAACAAAACAAAAGCAAAACACATTCATTTTGAAGGGGATATAAACCTGTTGATGGGCCATTATGCTGTGTTTTTTGGTGTATTAACTATAATCGTGAGTTCAAGGCATGACTGATTTGAACCAGCAACAACTGTCAATTTGCACACACATACAATTCTGTTTGTGCTTGTACTAGATATCAGCACATTTACTGTAAACTATAACTCAAGGTCATTGTCTGGTTCCAAAGTTATCTAGTACCCCTGATCTCAAGAAAGACCAATCTGATGTAAAGAAGGGCATAGGGAGCCCAGTAGGTTGATCGACATATTTATAAAGTTCGATATAAAGACATAAGATGTAAATTCAGTGAGAAAATCAGCTGTTACACTTTCTTTGCTATTTCTGTCAAAGCATGCTGTTGTCCTTTTCTTTTCACCAATTATAAATGTCCCTCACAATTAAACGTGAAGGTAAAACGCCATTGCATAGTCTTCCACATCCGAGCTTTACAGCGATATCAAGTTATAAGAAAATGCTAAATCTAAACTAAGCACAACATCCTGTTTTTCTGGTGGGAGTGACAAGCCAAAATATTCTCTTCACAAAAATAATCTCGGTGTGTATCTGCGTATTGTAGAATAGTCACAACATGCCGGGCCACTGTTTAGCAGTTCAAGTGCAGTGCTTACAGCCTGGGGCGTGTACAGGGGCCAAAAGGGTTTCTGGCGCACAATATCAAAATCTCAACACAAATACACACTAACAGCACATATAGGCACAAAGAACAAAAAAAAAAAAAAACACTCATAAAGACACAGACACATATACACACACAAACACACACGCAGCCCTCCGGTCCTGATCAATACATGACAAGAGTAAATCTCCTCCGGACGTCAGGCAGTCCAATCAAAGGGCTTGGTGTTCTTATAGGGGATCACAAGAGCCAGGGGGAGACAAACAATGATGTGAATCCTCAACAACACAATGGCCTCAACAGCTTAGGGTTATGGGAATGGAGGGAAAGAGTAATACAAGCAGAAGTTCCATTTCTATATATGTCTTTATGAGGACAAATCTATTCGTAAAGCAGCTCTCATTTTCAGACTTTATGGGGGTATTCCTCACTGCATCAGTGTGTATAAAAGCCATTTTTTTCCTTCTTTTTTCTTTACGAAAAAACAGCCAAAGGTTTAGTTGTGAGGAAGAAATCAAAGCCTGAAAGAAGAAAGGAAGGGACTCAAACAAATCTTTGCCATCCATTTCCTTAGACTGAAATGAGCCACAAGGAGAGAAAGAACCTCCCACAATGTCTGTTTAGTGATGGATGAATAAAGTATTTTCTATTTGAATCTTTTCTAAATAAAGAAATGGGAACGCTGCCACTGGACTGCTCTCAATTTGCCACTTGATTTATGTGCGTGTGCAAAAATTCTGCCATCGTTATCTACCTGCCAAGCCTTTTTCTCCTTTGACAGACATATGTCAGCAGAACAGAAGTGATGGGCAGCCTTTATCAGTATCTGGCAGACGCAAACATAGATTGACACAAACACACTAGGTGATGGATTAGGCCTAGACAAAGACAAAATGGCTGTTACTATGGGTAATAAGCCTTCTGACAGTGGTGGCCTGTTTCATTAAATGTGGCAGGTAAGTGTGCATGCATAACGCCACATGCATACATTCCAGAAATTCTATCAATCTTCTGTTTGACACTTAAGAGGAACAGCTTAGCTGTGAGCAAAAGAAAGAAGTGCCAGCGTCTTTATGCGCTGTTATGTCCCCAAAGTCCAATGGAGAAATCCCTTTGCTTTTCGGACCATGAATGTGCTAAAATGGGTTTAATAATGAAATTTGAAAGTTGAATCTTTCTGTGAGAAAACTAATGGAAGAATATCAACAGACTATCATTTGCACTTTTTTGATAATTTCCCCAGATTACTAAATGCATCTTAAACAATACGTTAAGACTTAATGTCACTATAATTTACAAGATTTTAATGGTATTGCACTGACCAAATAAAATCATGGTGCTGTGTGTGTATGGCTAAATGCACAGGCAAACCAATAGACCGTTATAGCCCGATCACTATTGTCATCATAGCGTATCTGCACAGGAGCGTATTGAGTTACTAAGCAGAGAAATACGTGTACAAAAGTACAATTTAATTCACTGTGAAGACGTTATCTTTCCTAGAACATTTAATTCTGGTGTGATCCGTAACGCTCAGAGGAATTTAGTGAAGCTCTGAGAGCTCTGACTTCATAACATTTTTGTTAGACTACTTGATTACATTTGTTTAGAGACTCTCCCAACCACTGTGTGGGTTGGTTTGAAGCATTGTGTGAAAATGCAGCCCAACATTACAGCAGAAAACAAAAAACAGAGCAACCAACATTTTTACCCCCTCATTTGTGACTTTAATTAAGCCCAACACGGAATATCAATGATGAGAGAAGGTTGTTTGGTTAGGTGGAGTCATTTTGTTTTGTTCAGCTCATCAAAATGGGAGTTCAAGGTCTGATTAAGAGCCAGAAGTTCTGAACTGCAGGCAGGGAACAATCACAAAAAAGTCTCCTGTTGATTTTGTTTTGAAAGAAACATGCATCTGGGAAGGATCCAACGTAGAGCATGGTGCAAAAATAACAAGGCCACTAATGGTGGATAGTGACTAATACTTTTTAGAAAGCAGTTCATATCTTTTTCAATCATTTTAGCTTAATTTGTTGAAACCTAAATGTCTTCAACAATGAAAAAAAAAAGTGCAGTCCACAAAGAGATCCAGTTTACTCCTTCAGTACCGTGACGTTTTTGGGAAAATCTGAATATTTCCGCATCTGGAATAAACCAGCGAAAACACTGAGCTGGTCCGGGTGCTGTGGACAGGTGAACGCCACCATCCTGCTGGCACAGCATTGCAGTTGACAATGTGAACTCCAGGGCTCTTCAAATAGAATTTTTGGGCAAATTACCGATGAAGCATATATTCCTATACGGAATACATTGTTACTGTGCATCAGAGAAGGACTTGCAGTGCACATAATCAAATTTGTTTGCAGTAAGTTATACTAGTGGACAATAAAATATCTACTTTGATAACTCTGATACATTACATTACCTTGATGAAAGAATAAAGATGCTCCAGTTGAGAATGAGCCTGACAAAGCTGTCTCTGAAGCTTGTCCAAAGCATGGGTGCTCTGCTGAGTTAAACCCTCCATTTGCTCAGTGGCAGTCTGTTCCAGGGCAGCCAAGGCCTGTTCACCGGCTCCGACACGAGCCTGTAGGGCATGCAGACGATGCTCCTGTGAAGAAAAATAACAATAACCATTGATGAGCTGAAAGCCCAAAAATCCCTATTGGTCTGTAAAACGTTAAAAAGTTCAAGAGTAGTAATTCAATATTTTATTTTATTCTGGTGACTCATGATGATGTGATGACACTTTCATATTTACATTTTATGTTGAACTTAACCTCTCTGCAATAAGTAAATCCAATAAGTGAGTACAGAAAATGAATGTAATAGCGTAAATGCCTGCAGGATTAATTCTGGCCTTCTAGCAAGTACTCACCTTGACCCATGTAAAATGTCTAGAATATTAGGAGAGGAGACACTGCAAAAGCAGTAGTTCATTTTCCGGAACATTCACTGGAGTCAGCGTGTCTGCTCTCATAGTGGCCATGTTTCTGTTGACCCCTGCGCTGTTCTCAATAATATAAACTCACTAATGTGGTACTGACAGCAACAAGAGCTGAGGAGCCTACCATTCGTGACGCGTCATTCTATACATTACTTTTTCTATCAAATTTTGCTTCCCCATCCCTTGTACCGTCATTAATGTCTCCAGCAGGAAATCTCCCACTGTGAAACGTGTGAACGGCAACCATAGAATGTAGGTCTAGATGTCAGCAAATTTGCATAAACATCTTCAGTGTTCGAGTTTTAACTGACTTCACAAATGACACCATTTCTGCCAAAAGATGCATTTACAAATCTCATACGAGTAAACTAAAACCTTTATCTGCACAGGTAAGCACACAGCTTTGCCGAAGACAGTTTAATACAGAAATACATAAATCAAGCTAAAATGAATTTAAGAGGTGTAAAGATAAAACAGGATAGGTCACAACTTCTACAGAATTTTTTATGTAAGAACAGGGCAGAAAATTTTCAGTTGGAATGAAGGCATGTAAATAGAGGTTATCATCCATTCATGCATTTTCTGTACCTGCTTTAAAGATGGATGCAGTCAATTCCAGCTGGACCTGAGTTAACCCTCTGAAAAGGTCACCAGTACACCACAGGGCTCAAGGGAGGTTATCTTTTTTCAAATACCTGCAGTTTCCTATTTAAATGTGATTTACTTTGATTTTTGACAGAAAATTGAGTACATACTTTCCCTATTTAGTGGTTTCTGACTCAAGGAACCGATTCATAACGGTCAGTAACTGAATACAACATGCTTCTTATCATCCAAAGTAAAAAAAAAAAAATCATTCCTCTAATACAATATTGCAATGCTCTGCATCACTTGAAAACCATTTGTTTGATTAGTTACCTTTTTCTCAAGGTCCTCCTTCAGTTTGGCACAGGAAGCCTCATGCTTGCTTTTCTCTGTTGTTGCAACATTTAACCTTCTCTTTAGAGATTCAATGAGGGCCTTCCTGTTGGTGGCCTCCTCTGATAAAGTCTTTACCTGTATGAAAAGCAAAATCAGTACAAAGGGAAATTCTGAACAAGGGGGAGGAGTACAGCAATTTAGTTTAAAAGGGAACCCTAAAATGTGAAGCATATTCATAAATTCATATTCATATTTGTCTAAAGGCAAATTCAAATCTGCCGCTCAATAAAAAAACTGTAGTTGAAATGGATTTAATTTATCTTAAATATAAAGCCTAAGCTGTAACATATCATCCCTATGCTATAACAAATACACCACAATAGTTATCATTTCGACCGTTCTACAAAGAGATATCAAACCAGACGGACTAGTCTGCTTGGTGGACTGCTATTTCCCGTCTGTACCTTCTTCTCAAGCTCCTCTATCTGGTCACGGTAGCTTTTTTCCATCTCCTGCAGAAACTTCAGCCTCGTCCTCAAGTCCTCCACCAGCTGCCTTTTCATACTAACATCTCGTTCAGTGTGGCCCACTCTGAGAGCAGAAATGAAAGAAGGGTTTGAAGGAATTTACCCTCTTGCTCAGGCAGGGCCTCTATTACAGGATCAATGAAGGTAGCAGACATAATACAGACACACTGAGACAGACACAGGCGCACGCCAAGCTGGCAGGCCCGGTGTCCCCATGCGGTACATCAGGCACGACAGCTCATTATGACAACTAAATACACTGGCATGCTGCTTAGATGAGTGGAGGGGAGTGAAATGGGGATGCATATATAATTCTAACTGGCGTACATTAGAACAAGCACTCGGGTAGGGAGCGCTGCTTTACATGTGGCTGGGGAGTGCTTTGACAAACGGCATTTCGAATCAGCAGTGACACTACTTGAGAGACTGTAATCAAGCATTTAAATGTTTATTATTTTCAGCTCAGGATTACGGCAGTCATATAAAAAAATCAGCAGGGAGACTTTGCTTGGATGAGACTATTCATGAAGGGAATATGCCCTAAAAAGCACAGTTTGTTTGTGTGCTGCTCCCCTCAGACAGAGACAGCATCTCTGTCTAGTAAAAAGCGGATGTCATAACTGCTGAATACACGCGCCACATGTCACTTCCTATTTCAATAATCTCCTGTATTTACATGTTTAATATTCCTGAATTCTGCAGTGAGGCCCTGTTTTAAGTGGTCTCAGTATGTTAGCATGTTTTATTCTGTTTTCATAAAAGGCAGATATAAGGCATTTTTCATGGTTGTCTCTACCTCAGGGAGTTGGAACAAATAGAATAAAGATCATAAGGATGCAGTTAATTAAATGCTTTTGCTTTTTTTTCTTCTTAATTTCAAAGATGTAGAGGGTCTTTTAGCTCCCCCCCTCACACACTCATCATCTCGTGTGTGTTTTAAATAAACAGATGATGCAATGGTACAGCAAATGCTTTCGTGTGAGTAAATGTCCCTGCCTCTCTAGATGGATGAATGCCTGAGGGCGGACTGGTTAAATAAGTGTGAGCTTGTCCTATTGGAGTGACATTAAATTAAATGAGAGAGAAGTCTAGCCTGGGGACTTTGGAGAGGGGGAGTAGCACTGGCTGGTTACCCCACGGATTTGGCCATTAATGAGAAAACCCATATTGAACCTTTCAGATGACTGTCTGGTGTTGACTTAAAGACGGACTACAGCAATAAGAGCCCCAGCAGCTCCCTATGCCCCAATGCTAATGGCAATTAGATCGACAACATTTATTTTAGATGTTCTCTTCTTTCACACCCCAAAAAGAATAGAGGATAAAAAAGAATGAAAGATATAGGGAGCTTCTGCCTGGCCGTGTGATCTCTATTTATGAGCGTTAGTGGAAAAAGAGAAGGAGAGCCTCAAACTATATCCCGATCACTCGCACGTTTGTTCCCTTTGTTCTGTGCTTGTTGGCAATATTGCTCATCAAACATGCGTGTATTGTAATGATAACCGTCAGTGGTCTAAAGTATGTGTGTAGTAGAGAGCCAGAGCACACTTTTCTGTGTATGTTGCTAAGAATGAAGAGCGGGTGGATGTTTCATGTGGCTGATAGACAACAGGGCTAAAGATGAAAGAAGTAGCTTCATAAATAAGGCAGGGCCATAGTGCCGGATATTGACTGAGGACATGCCGGTGTACTTTGAAATTCATTTCTTTTTTTCCCCCCTTCTCTTCTTTAAGGCAAAGCAGCCTTACACCCCGTGTATGTGTGCTGAGATGTATATTTCAGAGATGTCTAGACATGTCTTTCATTCTGAGAAGGGGTCCCTCCATGGAGGCAAATGGAGTGGTAGTCCAGAGGAGAAGGCAAGTTATGTGTGTGCATGACTGATTGTGTGACAAGAGCCAAAAGAGAGACAGAGGCTGTCGCACAAACACTGCTGAGGGATGCTCACTCTGTCGGGCTGTGATCCTCAATGCTTTGGTCACACACAAACACATATCCGCTGTTTATGTACACATGCTCTGGATGCATTATTGAGAATGGCAGGCAGAGGACAGAGCATACTGGAGAAAGACAACCAAGAGAAGAAAGCCAAGCTGTTCTTTGTACCTTTCTCTCAGTTCAAACATGAGATGCAGTTCAAACCCTGAAAGTTTCCCTCACTGAATTGTGTACGGCTACGAATTAGGACTATGTAACGCAGCAAATGCGGCATTGACCGGAACGTGGAACTCATTGGGTCCTGTGGCCCACGGGCCAGAGTGGGAGTGGGTTTAAGTGTCATGGGCCAAAACGGTCCCTCCTGCAGCAAAGAAACAATCGATAACTTGCTATGATACTCATCAGCTGCCCACATATGCATCAGCAAACTACATGACACAAAAAACACCCACATGCACACATGTCCATACATACTAATTCCTTAACTTGTTTTCATCCACTTGCTTATGAGGAGATGCATAATTTCACAAGTGATTCACAGCACTGAGATACATGGATACGAGGCGAGCAGCAGACAGAGTGCTGCCACACGGTGGAATCAAACACTACAGATGAGCACTGCGGAGAATGTGTGAGGGTAAAATAGAGAGATAGGAAGGAAGAAAGAAACGTAAGAGAAATAAAACAAAGAGGTAAAATATCTATTGGAGAGCAACAATAAGAAAGAGAAAGGAGAAGTCACACTAATTAAGACAAAGGTGTGAAACTAACTTTTCCTGCAGCTGGCAGAGCTTGTCCTCCTTCTCCTGGAGCTGGCCGCGCAGGGCTTTGTTAGCGGCCATCTGCCTTGTGACCTCAGCACTTGCACTCTGGGGAGAGGGCAAATGTGTGTGTGTTTGTTAATGCGTTTGATCGTATGTGATGGGGGTGGGGAAGGTTTTCCTGACACAGCTGATGGCAGGTCAAGCACAGTATGCTTCCTCATTATAGTTACAGTGGGAGGGTGGAAGGTGCTAAAGGAGGTTAAGAGGAATACTATTTTTCTCAAAGTGGTAAAGATAAGGGGGGTAATTAGCGAAAAAAACATTTTTTAAAGACCTACACGACTGAATACATCTCAATGGGGTTTGGATAAAAAAAAAAAGTTCATTTATATGCTTAGAATCTAATTAAATAAACAAACGGCACACATGGTTCTAATTTTGATATATTTCTTACATCTCAACTCACCACACAACATTTTAAACACAGCTAACTTAAAAGCCAGTGTTAAAATTGAACTGCATGAATGATTTTCATTACATATTTGTTTGGTATTTTCTTCTTTTTTCATTGAAAAAAACGGATGTAATACGCTGTATATTACATCACATGTATTGTAACATACCATCTGACTGTGCCCTCTCTTAATTATGAAGACATATGGCTCATGATGACAGGTCGGCTTCTGATTATAAGAGTGATGGTTATTTAAACATGCATGTTCTCTTTGGTTTTAAGGGCTCCATCCTCTTGTGGGTATTGTACCAGCACAAGTGTTTGACAGTGTGCTCTCTCAGTATGTGCACCCCCACAGTGTCTCCCTCATTTCTCTTTTAAGCTGTCACCTGGCATGAGTTCCTGAGATGTGTGTAATGACAGCAGCAATCTGCTCAGTGACACTGATGAGCTGGCTGCTGAGAGGGTGATAATGCTGCGATACCACTCACACCTCAGTCCTTATGATGTATGGCACGTCGTTGTTATTCTCCATTTTCCATCTTTCTGACAGGTGCTCCAAAATATGATCAAATGATAAGAAATGCTAATTCATGTTGAAATCATGTGTAATTTCAGGTGGTGCTATCTGTAAATTAAACAGGTCAAGAATATGTTCTATTCTTTTTTTTTTTTCATAAATGATTCTAGGTAAAACCTTGACAGAGTTTTTCTTCAAGAATCTTTTAGAAACCTCAAGGACTGCAAAATGTTTAAAACAGTGGAATGTTAAATTGAATTGGGAATTGATAGTTGATCAAATACTAACAGATGTTTACTCTGCCAAAAAAACAAAAGAAAACTAAAGGTACGTATAATCCTGCACTGTAGCTTGTGTAGTATCTGAGCATCACATGGTAGGTAAATCATCCTAATTCATTTAATAAGGTACGCACCAAAGAGAAAAGTTTTAGGGCAATTCCTGAAGTTACCCACCCCCCCCGCCCAACTAACCTTAAGCTTGGCTTGAAGTTGTTTCACCTCAGCCTCCAAGGCCTGAGGGGCAGCGTTAGCTGCAGCAGGCATGCTTCTGCAGGAGCACTCTGTGTTTACTGGTGGTGTTGGTGGTGCAGTTTGTGGGGGGAAAGTAATCTGCTTCCACTGCTGAAGCTCCATCTCCAAAACTTTTTTCTGCTGTTCCACACCAGCCAGGTCAGAGGTTAGCTTCTGCAGATAGACCAACAGACAGGACTGTTGAGATAGGCCACTGGTGATGGCAATACTCACAAAAACAAAAGTTTTGACCAGCCAACATTACAAATGTAGTTGTTTTAAGATTGTGAAATGATGCACAAGAAGCATAATAATCACCCTCATGGTAAAAATAATAGATAGAATCCCTTTACAGAAAAAAGGTTATGAATCTAACTAAGCATTTGTACAAACCATTACAGTATACAAATAAATATTTTTTAAATAAGACTATAAATATCGAAATGAACTTCAGCCGTAACAGGACAAACATGTACTGTGTCCAGTTATCTATCATCTTTTATCCAGAAGTTTTTGTTTTCATTTGCTTGCATTGTTTTGTGTATTTTGTATTTGACTGAATTTTTTACTATTTCTTGTGTTAGGTTTTACATTTTAATTCAAAGGCAAAATGGCTTTTCCAAAGGTAAAATCTATATTTTTTTAAATGGCACTCATAAAGAACAACTCTGCACACTATATGAATTTGATGAATGTATGGGGAAATAATGCTCACTATTGCAGAAGCATTGGATTTGCTACACACAGAAAAACAGTGGTCTAAGCTTGAGTACCTTGTCTGTGATAAAATCCTTTTTATGCTAATTATGAGACAAATAATGAAGCTTCCTAGTCAAGTGAAGAACATTTCTCACTGTGCCTAGCATGCAAAATAAAGCCGTCCTGCAGAATGAGGGGAGCACCCTGGGATGAAGGAAGTTCAGTATCTGGTGAGTGGTTGGGTTTAGATTGATGAATGATGATGGCACAACTTGATCATGTAAAACATACAGTGTATCAGTGATTCTAAAGATAAACATCCAAGATAAACACTTTTGACCACATGTGTATAGATGGTTACAAAAAAAAGCTCCCCCTCTGATTAGGAGACATGGACAGGACTCGCATGGCTGCAACGTTGGCTCAATATTACAACAATTAGCTGTTCTGGTATCATATCAAACATCAAGAATGCTTAATGGCACAAATAGGAGACATGATACATGGAAATATATGCTGCACACAGAGTAAATGCTGGAAAACACACTGAGCCCATACACACACCCAAGTGAAACCACAGATTCCCCGGGGTTTGCTCTATGCTCTGCATACATAGAGGTTATTGATATCTGGTTGCTGGCTGACACCTTTTAATAGAATCCCTCTTGTTTTAAGTTTCCTCTGCTCTGCTGAAGACACACATGCCATGTCCCCAGGGAGGGGGGCAGAGCGAGGGAGGAGTAAAGAATGAAAAGTGGGGCTATGGACCCAGTGGCAGCGATGCACGAATTAAGAGCGGCATTGATGACACTTCCTGTAAGACAGGCTTTGATTTCACAGGCCATTTTCAGCCCTGGTGAGAGATGACACTGACATGAACTGATATACTGGTAATTCCATTAAGGAGGCAGATCAGACCTCTCTCTGAGTGTCTTCTGAGCAATGGCCTCACTGATGCCATTCTAAGTTATCATTAGTAGGGCAAATATGCAAACAGCGTATGCAGATTATCAGAGGTATATCTATATGCACTGATATCTAAGGAACACAAGGGGGTATTCCAAAATCCAAATTCCACAGTGATTGGAATATTTGCACCAAATATTTATTTTACAGCAATATGTAGTGCAAATATTTAAATTTAAATAACTACAGGAACTTTTTGTTGGGGTGTTCTTGCACTTACATTAGGAATAGGAATGTCTTTAAATGTCCTGGAGCACAAATTATTTAATTTGTACGGTATGTATTAATTATCCTTTATGGGAAAAGTAGTTGGTGTGAAAATAAACAGTAAAAAAAAAAACTTTACCCTTTCCTACAACTATTTCCTATTCAATTCCTTTTCAGAGCTTTCTTGCTCAAACTAAATGTTATTGTGAAATATATATTGTCTGCCATGTTTTGAATATTAGCTGAATTCGCAGCTGCAGAATAACCCTGTCAGTTTCAGGAGAGTTAAAATGTAATCTTAAAATAAATACAAGTGAATTGATTTTTTAGAGTAGAGACTAACTTTTAAGATTAAACTCCTGGGAATGTTAAAATCAAGAGAGGAAGGAAGGAGAAAGACAGTAAGTAAGCTTAATGAGGGAGAAGGAAATGGAGGGTAGCATAAACAAAAGGACAGAAGGGCCGAAGAATCAGGACACAGAGCAACACAAACCATGCTGCCACTCACATGATGGCCCCTGTGGAGGCTGTCATAAGCCAATTACAAGGAGAGTTTTAGTTAGAGTTGTCCAGGGCGACTGGAACAACTCCAAAGTCCATCACCTCTTGGCCTTTCCAGCATGGACCTAGCTTTGACCAGCCAGTCGTCTCCACCTTTCTCTGGTGGAGTGGCATTAATACTGCAGTAGCGAAGAGGAAACAAACAGGAAGGCAACAATTCCCTCTCTTTCCATTCACTCACTTAATTCTGTATATGTGTGTACACACACACACACACGCATCCATACATTTATGTATGTACGTATGTCTACAACTGGGTGTGTATATATACGCGTGTGTATGTATGTAGGGTTTGAGCAATCTGTGCTTAGTGGGTGCACTGGGCCACCTCCTAGGTGGCAATACTGTGTAAGATGCACTCCAACTTGTGTATACGAGATAAAAGATGCTGTATCAGTACCCTTTCACAGTAAAGATACAGACAAAAACATGTACTTAATCATGCATCTGGTGGGTTATCCTGGCTGCAGCTGTGTCTGCATTTACCAAGAAGACGTCTCCTGCCTACCAGAGTAATGACTACCTGTCAAACAGTGTGTATTTGGCTTAGTGTGTACATGTGTGAGAACATAAGTCGATGTTTATTGGAAGGCCTTGGCAGGAAAGTCACGGTTAGAGAGAGAAGTGCCTGGTGTTTTATTTACACACTATACCAAGTCTCAGAGATTCTGACCAGAATGCAGACACTAAATAACTAAATAGGTGGGCAGCATGGGACCCGAGAAAGAAACAGTCACCTTGTGCTTGTCAATGAACACAAGTGCAGATGTTTGGAAGAATGTAACTGCTAGTGACACAGGTCGTACTCGATAACTGGCTCACTGAAACAAACCACAGAGGGAAGCAGTGGCAGAGTCACGGAGATGCAGAGCATAAGAGATTCTCTTCCTCCCCTCTGCTCAGTGGTTCTAACCTCCACAGAAGAGACTGGCCCGTCAGCGTACTTATTAAGCACAAGATGGGTATGCTACTGTTCAACCTCCACTCCTCCAGAACATAAAAACAACAGAAAAATAACACAATGATGAAGAGGGCTCACACTTTCAGCTAGCCTTTTCGCGTCACTCATCTCTCAGTATGTCCCTGGTTACCTGTGTAAGCTGCTTGCTGGTGTTGAGTCTCCCGGTAACAGTGTTGAGCTGTGCCGTGATCGTCTCATTGGCCCTTCGCAACTCCCTGGCTGAGAGGAGAGCATCTTTCCTAGCACTTTGTAGGATGTCAATGTGACACTGTAGAGAGTTGATGCGCTGCTGTACAGAAGAGGAGGAGCAGCGCCTGTTCCTCACCACCTTCCCCTTCCACCTCCTTTTCGCTCCTCTTGTCCCTCGCTCCCAGGGCTCATGCTGTTTATGATCTAACAGGAGGAAGTACATGCAGCCGCCTCTGAGTTGACATGTACAGAAAACATCAAAATCCCTATTTAGAAGCTCCAGCTGGGAGCGTATGTAAAAAGGGCTGGGTGTGCAGTTGAACCAGTTGAGGTTGAGTTCTTTTAATTATTTCAAAGTAATTCTGGAGTTCAAAGAGGAAATAAATAATATGTTGTCAGCTTGTCAAATAATATATGTGCCATCTCCTTCAATTAATATTGGATTAGATCTTTACAGTTGCACCAGACAAAAAAACAAACTCTTATGGTACCTTGGGTCCGAACATCCGGTTGCTTTCTTTTAGACTCTCGTGCCAGTGCTTGTGTGTTTGAGCACCTGTAGGACTAGAAGGAAAGTTATATTGAGATGAAAAGCAGCAGGTGAATACAGTACAACAGTTGATGTGTTGTGTTCCCGAGACAAGGCTTACAATGACACTATGATCACAGGCTGTGCTTAGCCTAATGGAACAAGACAAATCGTACCATGCGCTTAAATAATTTACCTGAGCATGTTTAACTGACTAACTCGACTCTCGGTGTAGATATCACTGCTGACACATTCTTGCAACCTGCAAATGTCGCTTTTGTTTAATGATCGTCTGAGAGACCCAATTAACTCTTACAGTGAGGCAGCTGTTACTGTATAGTCATTCGTGTAGGCAAGTTTGTAAGTGACAGCTCCCAACTGCACCATCGTTTGTAGTGGCATCAAAGAAAAGACACCCCCCTTTCTTCCTTTATATGGCGGTCAGGTAGGATTCAATCAGTGCCAGGTTTGATCACACATGCAGAGAGCCGTTTGGTGTGTGACATACAGTGTCGGGCTGCCATAGCGATGAGCCCCGCGGAAGATGATGGGCATATTTAGTGGATCGCGAAAGAGGAAACTAAAAGGGGATCTGAAGAAAGGGTCTTGACAGCTCCCAAGTTACATACAGAACAACAAGCCTCTCTTCTTTTTTGCTTTCTGGCTCGCTTCACTCTGTCCATATAAAATGAAGAGAGGAGAGGAAGACTAAACATCTTTAAAAGGTCTTCGTCTTTCCTCTCTTCACGAATACTTTTCTCTCTGGGGTTTTGCGCTGTAATGTCCTGCTGTGGGTGGTTTGATGTTGACAAGTGCAAAGGGTCCAGGCCTATTGATTTCATGGTGAGGAGAAGAGCTAGAAAAGTGGGGTCAATGACAGCCACGCAAGGGACACATTTTATGAATGAAAATCTGTGCAACAAGTGCAGTTGTTGTATTTTTTACATTAAAAAAAAGAAAATTCATTGATAATAAAAAGCTACCCTTATAATAACATTTCAACTCACACTAATCTGAGTAAAGATTTGTTGAAGTTAATCCAGCAATGTAATTCAGTTCTCAAAAGAAACTGAAAACACATCTGTTTTTAGTCAGATGGACTGGTGTCGATTCAGAGCACACTTTTGGAAACCTTTGAGCAAGACTAAGGACCAAGGAGGGTGATAATAGCTCCCAGTGACCAGAGGTTTGTTTGATATCAGTATTTTAAGTATTTCTTTTTCTTTATGTGTTGATGAAATATCTGTGAAAAAATGTCTTGTCATAATAAAGCATTAAACCTGTAGGCAGTTAAATCATTTAATGGTTGAATACTCACATAAACCTCATTAAACTTTCCTCTGCCGTAGCACTCAGCATAAGAAATAATACCTTCTTAGCAGTCAACACTGAGTGAACAAGTGTTTTAAGTAAAAAAAAAAATCAAGTAAAAGAGCAAATGAGGGCAGACCAACCTTTGTATGAGTGTGCTGTCTGTGAGTCGATGTCCAACAGGGAACACTGTTCAGACTATCCGAGTACTCCTCACAACTGTCACTGTAAGGAAAAGTGAAGGGTATCACTAGCCAGAAGTTGAACCGACAACTCTGGTTCTGAAAGTACCACCCTTGGACAAAAATCCAATTTACCTTTTATGGTTGATTTAGTTGACATCAAGCAAAAATATGTGCATTTTGCCCCCCTGTTTCCAAAAGAAAATCAATGTCCCATCCAATTTCTGAGCTGGAAGTGTAAATGTGGGCGTAAATTAAGTGAAGAGCTCCAGTGTCTGATGCTGCTGGTGAAAGCATCAACATGTATGAGCGTGGCTGTGGCCTTCATTAGCCCCGTGTGTGTGACAGACGTGTGTGAGAGGCACGGCTGAGCAGAGATCGCAAAGTTGCATCTGATGGACGCACGGTAAGGGCTTCCTGAGGCACACACGCATATCCACACACACACACACAAGCTTGCACGCACAAACACAGAGACAGCCACGCATACAGGTTTATTGACAGTGACCTTTGACGTGAAGGTAGAAGCCAGTGACATTTACGCTGGCGGGTTTATTAAGGTGGGGCCTGGGAGAAGCAGCAGAGGTAAAGACCACAGAGAGGGGATCTCACTGGAACATGACATGGCTGGGGGCTAGTTAGGGTTAAAACCAGATTGGTGGGGGCAGAGGGGTCTAGTTGAGGACTACTCATCACCAACTACTCGAGCAAGGTTACAATAATTTGATTGTAAAACTACCCCCTTCATGTTGGTGAGGCAACTGAGCAGGTCTGACATAACATTAGCCTTATAAAAGTGATTCTTAATTAATAAACTTTGTAATTAATTTGAATATACATTTAATAGGCACCACGCACAACTGACATGGATCCTTCTCAGTATAATTACCTATTTCATCTATCTGAGGTGAAAATGAGTGACAGTAAATATGGACTGGCAGTTAAATGTAATTGTAGTCATAGTCAATAATGCTGTAGAGGCGTAGTATGGTTATAGTTTACAAGAGAGGGCTGCTCATGTCTTCAAAATAATCGGATGCCTCGAGCAGCTTGAAAGTGGACATTGTACAAGTACTAAGAAAAATATGGCTTTAAAAAGTCTGACATCTTTATTGGGCACTATGAGGCTAGACTAAAGCTTCTTAAGCAAAAATACTGTATTTCTGGGAGCATAAAGGCAGACATATCTGTGAAGAGGATCCCTGTAAGATAAGAAACACAGAAGGCTTTACAGTAGTGAATCAGTTGACAGGTGCATTAAACTAGACAACATCTCAGTTTAGAGCACTTCTTCACAAATCCGCTTAGATCCTCCTCTCAGGTAAAGCATTTATTACACTGCTGCTTATTAGCCACATAGAGACGCATTAGGAAAGCAGGGCATAGCTGCACCCAGTCCCTGTTAAATGACCTCATGCGAATTGAGCTGGGGTGGATTACAGTGTGATGAATTAGTTGGAGAAGAGATGGTGAGTAAGCAGGTCCGAGGTAAGGAGAAAAGATAGAGCAGGGCAAACCGCATGAGAAAGAAAAAGGGGAATAAATTTCAGTGAGTGTTTGAAATCAACCAACCATCACTCAATAGATGTTGGCTCAGTGGCTCTTTTGCATAAAACATACATGAAATAATTACTGGCGATGGTTCTTAATTTAGAGGGTGTTAAACAGCTTGTAGACATCTGGTACTGATCCGAGTCGGGTCATTCAAAATTTATCTAACCAAATTAAGGCAAGGAGAAGGGGAGAAGCGTGGGATGGAGAGGATGAGCATTTGTGTGTTGGGAGGTGGTTAAGGGGTGGCTGGAGGAAATAACAGCACACACACATTTATGATCTGACATGCCACAAGATAACCAACATAACTAAACGCAAGGTGGGGTAAGCTAAGCATATATGGCTGCATTCGTATATGAGTGGGGGGTCCTTTCAGGGGGATCCTTAGTGCTGTCAGGGGGTGTTAGTAAATATGCAAAGAACCAGTAAATTAAATCAAACTGCCAAACTGTCAATTTCTGGGTAGCGTGACTAGTGCATGAAAATGGCATCACTGGAAGGTATCAAGGCTTTGGCGGCCCCCTTATCCCTGGGCTTTTCTGGCATCAGTTCAACTTTGTGTAGAGAGGTGGCTAATTTTGCATGCAAATTTCAGTCAATAAGCTCCAAGCAAGGCGTCCCAGGATATTTCAAAGGATCTGACAGTAGATTCCCCCTCCTCTCCCCTTCCCTCTATCATTCTTGCTCACATTCTTCTTTTGGCTTCTGAATACCAACTAGATAGACAATGAAATTCAATCACCCATTTGCTTACGCTTTGCATATGCACGTTGTCCCCTCGATGCAGTGGGCCCCCACCCCAATTCAGCCAGCCCATCCGCTCTACTCCTTCAGACTAAAAATAATGAGGGGGGAGGAAGCGAGGAAAAAAGTGTGTCAGCGTGTGTGCGTGTGTATCATTACCCATCGACGCTCATGTCCTCCCACTCGTCCTTAGTGGGACTGGGGCTGCGGCCTTGCCAGCTGATGGCTTGATTGGGGCTGACTGTTCGATGTCTGTGCCGATGTAGTAGACTTCTGTGCCGAGTTGTCTTGAGTTTGACCTTGCCACTAATGTTGTCTGTGATCCCAGCTGCCCGTGTTGGTCCTGCTGCACGATGCCTATAGAAGTCCCTGGCTGCTCTGAGAATCCCTAGTTCCTGTCTCAGCTTGAGCAACTGATGATGAAACTTGGTAATCTCTTTTTGAGATGTGGCCAGTCGAGCTTCGAGAGCCATGATCTCACCACAATGTTTTTCCTCTTGGGCCATGGCCTTGGCATGAGCAGCCTCTTCTCGGACAGCCTCCTGCATTTGCAGATGGTCCAGGGAGGCTTGGAGTCTGCGGCAGTTGTGGGCCAAGTCTTTGTTGGCCTCAAGTAACTGCTCTTTCTCCTTTCTCAGCCTGTCTGTCTGCTCCGTCAGGGACATCATTCTCAACTCCAGCTGCTCAATCTAAAAGTATCAAATATGGGACCTCAGTGGTAAATAACAGGCATTGTTTCCAATCAACTTCCACATTTGTCATTTTCAGCATCAATAGTACTAAAAACATAGTTAATAATAACACAAGTGGAAATAAAACTATATAGTAAAAACTGAGTTCACTCTTTCCTAGATTCTATAAGATGCCTATAAAACTAAGAGAAGCTCCATTTCCTGCTTTGACCTGTGACACAGCAGACACATTTGTTTTTTTTTACTCACTAACATTTTCCCAAGAGTGTAATTACAGTTTATCTGTTCTAGAAAGAGGGCATGCAAGGCTATGGACATCTGAATGGCAGCCCCTTACCCACATCATCTTTAACTAGACAGCAACCAGGAGCACTTAGTCCCTTTGTCAGATCTTCAATGGAAACTGTTTAAGAGAACAGGGGCTGCCTGCTGGGTTTGTGCCTCCAGGCAATTTTTGCCTTTTATTTGGTTCTCACTCTGCCTGCTGGTGAAGCCTGGTGCCTTTCAAACAAAATTAGATGGCCATCCCCACTCTTGATAATTCACTGTTGTGAAAGTAACGGGTGAGGTGGGCGTGCAACATCTGAACTAATGCAGGAAGCTTTTAAAAGCTTGTGTAAAACAACTGCAACCCACTAACAGCTCTGATAGAAAAATGAAAACGAAACTAATTGATGTTTTTCCGGAACACGTGTATTGAATGTGACTAGTTTTTCTTTTTGCAGGTAAAAAAAAAGAACCAAGCAACTTTCTAACACGCGTTTGACTTAGAAAAAACTAAAAAGTGTGAGAAGACCTTTAAATTATCCTTGAATGAGCAAAACCACATTTTCCGACAGACATCTAGCTGAAGATGGCTCTCTCGGATTTCTTTTATTGGCAATGACAAAGAAGACTTAGTGATGGCATAGTGCTGTACCTTTTTAAATGACTGTTCCATTCGACCTGAAGACAGAGAAGGCTTTTTCGGAGTGCTGCTTTTGACCTGCTGCTCCGCTGCCACTTTGTGAAGCAATTCTGAACAGAGGAACAAAGCTTGTTATTATGACACTCTGTGTCAAATTCAGGCTATTCGATCAATAGACTATTAACAAAAGGGTACATTAAATCAATTAATAAAAGTAAGGTCTAATTTCCTTCCTGAGGAATGGTGTATTTTTTCTTCCTTTGTCAATCCCATCACTAATGAAGTGGCTTTGAAATTTTCCTTGCTCAACCTAACCACTTTTTTTGAAAAGCATATCAATTATACTTACACGGAGACGTTTTATTTGGTCGCTGAAAAAAGAGAAAAAGGAAAGGAAAGCACAGTAGTGATGCATTCTATGTGCAACCTTTCTCCAGGGACCTTAAACAAACCAAGAGAAGTGCTCGAATCCCTGGTGAACACATAGCCGCAGGCTGCACTGCTTTGTAGTCCACTGTGTGTCCCCAAAGGACATCTAATCTCCACAGACAAACATGCTGCTTTATTCTGGGAACATCAATGATGTTCCAAACATGAGATTTAGATGTTATGATAACAAAATGTATGTACTACTCTGAGACATTGGGATTTTACTGCTTATACAATCTGCGCATATACAAGCAGAAGCGTTTTGTGTCACCAACAGCGTCATTTGATCTGTGCCTGCCAAGATGGATGGATCTATTTTACTTGCTTGAAAATAAAAAAAATCAACAACAAAAGACAGCAATATCAACCTTTCAATTTCTCCTTTTAAGCACTTGAAATGAGATGACTAAAAATAATTTGAAAATGAAGCGGGAAACATCAAATATTAAGGACCTCTACTCTTCAGGTCAGTTGATCCACAGGAGAGTCAACTGGTTTAAAAAGGAAAAGAAAAAAGGGGCCATCCTAAGAGAAGGTAGAAAGACAGAGGGTAATGTCGTAGAGTGCTGCTCCCTTGCTTTGCACTGACGCCTCGCCCAGAGAAGTTTGTTACCTTGAATTAGCCTGCCCTTTTGTCTTCCTAACATGTCACATTCAATCACACGGAGCACCAAATAGGACAGGAGGACTGCTGTATTCACTGGGTACATAACCAGGTTGAGATACAATTATCCAGCTCCAGTTCTAGTGGCATGGGAGTTGGCACCTCAACACTACCTTGATGAGAAGACGTGGTGGCTCCCTAGTCACCCACTGTTGAAGGAGGTTCTGGCACTGCTGCATACATTAACGTCCCTCCCATGTCTTCTCATAGGATGTAGCTCAAAGGCCCCGTTCCTTTCATCTGCTGCCTTTCGTTAGTGTGATCTTAGCGCGATCGCTCCAACATTATATCCTTTTGATCGGGTCACAGCGGTTCCTCGGAGTAAGTGCTGTGGCCACTGACAATCTTCCTTTAATAATTTTGATTCAACTTTAGGCTGTGTCCTTACACAGGCTTTATAAAAAAATTAAAAAACCTAATACAAACTAAAATTGAATAACTACCACATCAGGCGTTTACTGATTTAAATGAGCATTCACTTACCAGGAGATATAAGTGTGATTATTCGGGGGAGTTACACCCTGGTATTCCTAACGAGTCTCTCCAACAAACAATAGACAAGACTTCAGTATTTTAATTAGTATAATCCTTTAAATCACACACTGCGCTTCGAACAGAAACCGTCACTGGTGGTGAAGAAAAGAAAATTGATCTGAAACAAATCACTTATTGAACTACTTTAAAACACTTTAATTAAAGCAACTGGTTGAAGTGGTTGGCATCTGAGAGTGTCACAGGTTAGATTAAAAGCAATGTGCTTTTGAACACTGAGAATGACGTACGCTAGTAAGATGGACTCTATTTGATCTACTGATCAATTTCGCTGGAGTTGATTAAGCCTTAATTGAGTTGACCTGTTAATTCGACTGGGAGCAGCATTATTAATTCTACTCATTCATACTTGTAACCATGAGATAAAAGGATAGCTTAAGATGCTGCTTTGTAGAAAACATTTTTTTTCAAAATAATTAGAGGTAAAACTTTGCCCTATTTAAAAATTGATCGTACATTACTGCATGGCAATACTATAAAACTAAAGAGATTCATTTCTAACATTTCCAAAGAGAACTGAAAACTGTTAGGAAAAATAAACCCACTTTTTTTTTTTTTACCCTTTTCCATAAGCACCACATTCAAGAAAAATGGTTCACCTTGGTGTTCATATGCAAGACACATTTGGAACTCCTTCACAGTGGCCCGGTCCATAGCTGCCTGGACTCGCAGCACGTCCAGCTCCTCTTCCAAACCCACTCTGCAAACAAACACGTGAACTTTTCTTCACATCCATTTTACATACAGTTTATTCATTATAAACACTAATGGCTGGTTTGAAATTTTATTCCTAATGGCGAGTTAATAAAAAAATTAGGGCAGCTGTCAGGGATCTTTACTTTTTTTTCTATGTAATTTGCCCATAAAATACAACCAATTAGTAATAACACAATAATAAATACTAATCAAAAACATATTTTTTATGAATTTCCACTTTGGTCTGCAACTGAGGATGCATGTATACTCACTTTTGTTTGTTTGTCACAGCATAAGACCTATATAATTTGCATTTTTTCAAATCTGAGAGGAATTAGCTATTTCAGAAACTTTGAGCGAATTTCGGGGTTTCTTATGAGCTTGATTTCAAAACCAAAAAGATAGATGGCATGGTTATAAAAAAAGAAATGAAGATGCTTTTTAACTCATCTGGCAACCAAGGTGACAACCAACTAGAAACACCAAGGTAGGAAAGTACTGGTACACTGTGCAAAAAGTGTGTGTTTGTGTGTGTACCTTAACAGACAAACAAGCAGTAAAGTGTGCCCAATTACCTCTCTGCAATTAGTTTGATTCCTGCTAAAGGCTAATTATGTGGAGCCATGCTCTAGACTTTGCACTTTCAAGTTATTATTAGGACCCCAACTGTGGTCTACAGAGGATACACACATGCCCATTGAGACAACCATACCTGAAACACACACCTAATTTCCCTCCCCTCTGTTCCACAGAGTCTGAGAAAAACACCAGAATCAAGCTCCAACTAATGTAGTGGCTTTCTTTTCTCAGATAACCTCATTACAAAAGATAGGCCTTTCTTTTTCTTCTTACGGAATGTTCCACTATGAAACCTTCGAGCAGCAAACAGTTGGGGCCAAGGTAAACTAGAGGCAAATAAGTGGTATTTAACATATCTCAGACATAGATGAAACCAATCAAATGTTGTTACATGAACCAGGAGACTCCTGCCATAAAAATGCTCAAACCGTAGCACAAGGAAGGAACATAAATACCATTTCAGCACATACCATCTAAAGGCCTGGCCTAATGGCTGACCAAAGCTTAAATAAGTACACAAATGATTCTCCCTAGAGGGGTGAGGAAGCAGATGGATATGTGTCGCTACTCTATAGATTTTCCTCCATAAATGAACTCAAGTCAATGAAGCAGCAGCGCAACCTTATGAGTCCAGGGCTTTAATGGGACCAATGCGCTGAAATATGCAGCATGTAGTGGGAGCCTGTTTCATCTCATGTTTCTCTTTTATGCCTTTTCAGATGCTGACAGTATTGATGCCAAACCAAAGTTCATGTGCAAAACATCCAGTTTAGTTGAAGGATATGCACTGATTCTCAGACGGAAAAGAGATTGGATTTCAAATGGAGTTCATTGGCCTGAAGCCTCCGTTTTCATGGCACGGCACTGTACCCATGGAAGACTTTTGCACCCTTACTCACCAACACAGAGTCAACACCTGTACATATCTGGTGTCACGTTTTTGGTGGTATAAATTTGATATCTTTGATCTTCACAAAGGTCATTTAAGAAACAAAAATTAAGCTAAAGCTATAGGAAGATTAAAAAAACAGTTTAATGCTTCAATTTGTGTTTAAAAGTTCAGTGTGGACTGTTAGACTGTTTGAGTTTAATTGTAAGCCATTTTAAGAAGTGACAACAGCCATCACTTGAACCTTACATATTAACCCTCCACTGCAATTTAAATAAAGCCACATTATCCTGTCATACAAAACATCTCACACAGGGAAAAAAGTTGCTTAAAAAAAAAAAAACGGCGGATGAAAACAAACTAAAGCTAGATAAACCAGTTTTGAATCCCTGTTGACTAAACTGGACTATGGCTTGGTAGGCAAAAAAGAATAATATGTTGATTGGCTGCATATATGGGCAGCAGACAGGTGATGTGTTTGGTGTCTCACGCCGCTCTTTTTCTCGTTTTAATAAACACCTCGGCTCTGGCCAATGCTAGCACCTCAGGCCTGAGACATCCATTCTGTCTAATTTGATCTTGTCTACATGTGCCTTGCCCAGCACACCTAAAAGCGCAGGCTTGGAGCCTTCATCCACTAGGGTGAGCAACACAACACCGTCTGCAGCCACATGCCAACCTCTGTGTTTGTTGCTCTTACATTAAAACACACGAGAAGAGCGAGTGAAATTGGTATAACCCCGCTGGCACCTCCATCACTGGGGAGAGACTTTTGTTTAGGGGTGGGAGTTTTTGTTCATGTAGATTAGGGGGGATAAGTCACTGCTATCGGCAGAAAATAGTGACTGCTGGATACATATAAGGTCTTCTGATGTGTATTTTAGCTGAGGGCTTTGCAGTGGCCAACAATGAGTATTTAAGAATTGGGCTCTTAATCTTTTATAGTTATGCTTTCCAGGCTCAGGCCAGTGATATGAGATAAAGACTTGTTGAAAATCTGTTCAAGAAATACCCAAAACCATCAAAAACATGTCTTTCTTTAGCGGGGTGATGATTTAGTTATGTATCCTAATAAGATGCAAAACAACATCATAATCTAGTATATTATTAATTAAAAGAGAGTAGGGTTTTTTTCTTAAAGATGAATATAATTTAATTCACTAACACCAATCAAAGAATAATCTTACTTTCTGTTGTGTTATATTTTGCTGAGACTATATTTGATGCGATGGCATTGTTAAATTTAGTTCATTATTACATATTATGGACACAATAACTGATTTCCCAAGTAATTAATAAGCGAAAAACGTCAGATGTCAGATTCAAGACATGCATAAAACATTCTGTTCGTGTGTGTTTGTGTTAAAAAATGTCCCTCCTCCAACTAAGTCCTGGTCCAGAGGGCAAAAGACTCTCATTACTTCTAATACCTTTTAGTGAATCAAGATGAAACGAAAAGAAATAGCAGAATATGAGCAACATTAGGGCAAACTTTATTAAACTTAATTAGAGTCAACGTCGCTTATTGGGGAGGTTCATGTCTATAATGGTCACTCTCTACAGAGGAGCAGTGCAAATGATCTCAAAGGCTTTTTCCCCAGTAATCGCTATTTAATTTATGCTTTGATGTCGTCTGAGTACAGCATCTCAAGACTGAGGGTTCACTACATGTGTTTATTCTGTTTATGGAGCCTAAATAATCCCTGCCTCTTTTTACCAACAGACCTTTAACAACAATTAACAAGCACGGACATGAAGTGCTGCAGACAGATACATAATGAGGCAGATAAAATGATCCCACTGAGACTTTTCCAGCCCACCCTGCCCATAGTTGCTTGCCAGCAATTTACCACAACCATAAGGAAATCATCCTTGGTGTCAATTAGTTTATTTCTTTCTGCCTTTTGCCTTAAAAGCACAAAGAAAGCTAACTTTTTTAAAGCAGGTTACACATTTAGTGTTAAGAAGTTGGCTTCTTTCGCTGGGTGACAGAGACACAGATGGATTATCATGAAATCATATATCATCCCCAATTCTAAAACAACATAAATAATAACTACTGATATTAAACAATGATAACGGTGACTTTATTGTATTCTACCAAGCTAAATGAGGTTCAAAGTACTATTTCATGTTAATATTTGAGCCAAAGATTGTTGCTTCCACATGTGATTCATACATGGTGCGAAAGCAAATTGATGACATACTGTAACATGAAAAATCCTCATTATTAAATTAATTCTGTAGGTGTGAGATGCAAGTTTAAAGAAGAAAAAAAAGCTGGCAAGCAGCAATTTTTGTTTAGACATATGTAAGTCATCAAACTAATCCACAGGGTGTCATCTAAAAGATAAAAAACCCAAAACAACCTGTTTTACCTTTATCCTGGATCTCTTATTCAGGCGCAGAGATGGGAGGGGTAAATGTTTGTTAACTTCCCCTTAACACTGTAGAGACCCACTGTGCAGGAGTTATCACAGCAATATTCATACTGAAAATGGTCATCTGGGCCTCAAGACACTGTAATGTAGGTGCTATGTTTGGAGAAGGTGAGAGGAAGCATCTGTGAATGATGTTATGACAATAAGGAAAGCAAATGAGAGTTTAAAGAGAGACTCTTCTCTAAAGGCTGCCACTAGGAATTTAAAGCCCCAAATTTCCTAACTGCCATGAGTTAATTAGTCATTAGTGGATCACTAAAAACACTTATCTAGCATAACCTTCTCAAGCCCAATTATTACAACACGGTCAATGGAAAAACAAGCTTTAAACTGCTTGTCCCATGAGTTTCCAATAAGCTACTTGAAAAGGAACTCAAGCTTTGTTCAACTAAAATTGACACACTTTTCTCAGTTCAATTGAGACCTCACAAAAATGTGCATATCGTGCTGCAGGGGAGTAAAAAGGTTGGATCAAAAAGGTTTAGCTCATAGCCCCAACGACACAGATTATTCACTTCATTCAAGCTTTGTAAAAAATATGAGTTAAGACATAGAGCAGAGAGCTTCCAGCGAGTAAATGTAAAGATCTCTGCAAAGTTAACATCAGCAATCCGGGGAAGGACTGGTTCCAGGACCAACAATTGAGTGGAGTTGGTCAGGGGTCCGTAAAGTGGATGAGCACAAACCCCAACGGACAAGCAAGTTACACACCTAGGAAAAGGCCAGCAGTTACACATCCCTAGTGGTTTTCCTTCCAGGTCAGGTCCAAGGACACAGCATGTTCACAGTGGTCTGTTCACCTCCACATGCCCCACCCTCAGACCATCAAGTGCTGGGCTCAGCTCACTTCTAGTCGTGGCCAGGCAGGCAGGCGGATGGACATCCCTTAACAGGCACCATTGGCGGCACTACGGCTGCTAGCTTGTAATTAGCTCGGACAGCTCAGGCTTGGAGAGAAGCAGCCGGGCTATATCATAATGAGCTCAGTTGGGATTAGGAGGACAGGGCAGGGGGGTGAGCAGAGGGGAAAGCAGTGGAGGGGGGCAAGTGCCAGAATTCTGGCCTCAACCTACTGAAGAATCACAGAGGGCCAGAGGGAGGCAAGTGGGAAGACAAGCAGGATGAGGGGAAGAGAAGATACACAGGAACAGGATAGAAAAGGGAAGAGGTGAGGAGATGTGAAGGCAGGGGAAAACAGGAGAGGTACACAGTAGCTTTAGGCTAATCTTTGTGTAGTATCATAGATGGTCAGTTCCTTCTCTAAATCAGGCAAAACAATGGCTACATTACAGAGTGAAGACAAGAGCCGACGTGAAGCCACATGGACAAAGGAGAAATTAGTAACAAAGACATAACAAATTCAAATGAACTGAATCTCATGCAGTTAGGTGAGGGAATGCTTTCTCAGGTGGACACCCTACTTGTAAAACGGACTATGGGCACGACTGCTACATTTTAATCCGGTGTTAATTGTCATAAAAGACAGTTCCATCAGTTTCGATGCTCCATAACATCCTACGGACTTTTCAGTTTCACAAATGCCTCGTTAACACTTATACTGCCAATACAGCTGAGCTCATGACTGGCAAATATTTCATTATAAAAGCAGTTATTTCACAAAGACGTAGCCAGGGATCCTGATAAGATGCTTTTACTAGCTGCAAGTTTATGTGCAGATAGTAGGCAGACGGGTTCACAAATGAGCAGTGTCTAATAATCTTGCCTTTGCCCCTGCTGGCTGGATGATGTAGCAGACTAGAAAGAAGCTGGGAAGGACAAACTCAAACTTTAACACCTGCCAACAAGAAGGGACACCGAGAGTCTGCCAGCGTACCTGTGTGTATACATGTAAGTAAGAATGTTTTAAATAAATGTCTCTACAATAAATAATCCAGAGCTGGTATTTACTTCTCTGGCAAGTATTTTTGATCGCTGATCACTTACTTCTCCGTGGAGAGTTTTCTGGTGAGATTTTTCAAGTAGGCCAGCTCATTCCACACAGCATCACTGTTCTCTTGTCGAAGCTGCCAGGACTCTGGGCGGAGATTCCTTCCAACTGGCCTAGACACACACATACAGGATGTAAACAGATAAAAGTGAGAAAGTAAAGGCAATCAAACGCAGAAACATAAATTGCATAAATAACTCTGCGTGGAAATCAGATATATAACTTGGGAAAACTGTTGGTACTACACATCACCTTGCTGCATTTGGCCAATTCACATGGGGTTATCGAGGCCCCTTATTCTCTCTCTGTTTTTGTTATTCAGCCATATTTAGCAGTATTCAAATGAGCAGCCTTGACTTTGACATTTCAGTGGCAAATCATGTACACACGTATGCATGTTTGTTTAAAGCCCAGGGCACTGCCTGTGTGGCAGGGCAGTGGAGCAATCCCCATGTGCCATGCAAATGTAAATAGTGGCAAAAACACACTTGCAAACGAGGTCATTGAAATGTCTACACCTCACTTATGAATACTTAATGACACTTTGTGCTCAGTAGCTGCTGCCTCCACTGAACACAGCGGCCCCACACGCATGCTAACGCACCTACTTGCACACCCATGCTATCCAGAGCTGGATCCCCGCACACATTTAACTCATCAATCAACCTTAGCTCAACACGTTCAATTCCAATTAGCTTTTCATTTGAAAACTGAAACAGGATCCAGAATCCACAAATTGCAAATGTAGCTGATGAGAAGAACGCATTTGTTGTCTCTCTGTCTCTTTTCCACAGTTGCACAGGCACACCAGTCTCTCGTTTTCATTTAATCAGTGTGATAGGCTGTGCAAATCGATTGTCTGTGTGTGTGTGGGCGGGGGGGTGGGGGGGTCATAACGACTCTGGAGAGCTTCCTTTCCTTAGGTCATTATTGGCGACATGGATGTCACCAAGTTATACTAATGTCACCAAGACATACTAATACTATTTACTACCAATACTACTTAAATGCTGGTTATCTAGGAACTCAGATCTACCGAGCATTGATGGGTCTTTTCAGTTAATACTGCAACCGCCCCAGCGAACAATTTGAGGTAATTTGCCTACTGTGTGGTGTAAGAATATGCCTGTATATCATATGAATGACATCTAAAGGCTTATGGTAGTTTCCCTAAGGGAAAGTCTACCTAAGGGATTGCCTTACAGTGCAGTATGAAGGCTGAAATTAATAATTTTTTTTCTATTGTGATGAGATGGTGAATTTAGTCATATCCTATGAGAACAAAGTATCGCAAAAGGAAGAGATAATTGATCCACAGCCAATTTAAATTTTCTCTATGATTTTGAGCTCTACAGTAGTGTATGTAAAACTATACATTTTAATTTGTTTACAGTCCGCTTAAAAATGTTGACTATAGAGCCAGGAGAGAGTTATCTTATACTGGCCAAAGTGCATGTTTCCCCATGGCACCCTCGTTTCCATTATTAAGCAGGAGGAGATAGTGAGAACTTTTCCACGCTGCTGCAGCTAATTGCTCTGAATCAGGGGGAATCTGTTTATGGGCGCAACTTTGATCAGAGTACGGATGCTTTAATAACCTTTAATTTTATTTGCTCACCCCCATCATCCCTCGTCTGATTAAAAAACTTTTTTCCTCATCACTAATGTAAATAAGAAGTTGGCTTTTTTCACTCTCCTTCATGCCATTTTGGAAAAATACGGTGATTCAGTAATGGTGAGTGGCAGGCTGGTTGAAAAGGGACTGACCACCTGCTTACAGCCTGAATACTGATGAGCCAATGGATCCTTTGTCTGCACTGCGATTGGATGGTATTCGTATCTTGAGTCAGACAGGTTAATACACATCCAGATGACATCACTAATCAGCTGGAGCTTTTGCAACCAATAGTCCGACTCCATCATTTACACAAAAAGAATCACGAGGAATCTCATCTGAGACAAGAAACATCAAACAGTTTTAGTTTATGCGGCTTACAATAACACTTAAAACGGCCCATAAAGATATAAAGGAAAAACTGCAATTAAAGCATTTCTTGGCTCCAGTTAATCATAAATAAATTTAGACAAAAAAAAAAAAAAAAGACAACATACAATAAAACCGAATGAATCAAATAAAATATCTAATTGGAACTGGCTGAGTCATATCTGTTGGTTCATTTAAAATAAGTAACACATTTGTATTTCTTCATTCAAAAATGCTCTTCTAAAACAATGTTGTATGGGAAAAAAGAAAGTATTTCTAGTAAATTAATCAATGTGCTAGTTGAAAGACATAAATAGGAGAACTTTTTCATATATTTTTTCTTGTTGAAGAGTTGTTTCAATATGAGACTTTTGCCTCTAATCCAAAGAGAGAATCTCATCAAACATTTTTTTCATAAACAGCGCTTTAAAAAAAACTTTAGAGGCCAAAACATGAGTAGTTTGCATTGGATTTAGATCAAAATATTGCTCCAGAATTTTGGGTATCTTTTTCTAAAAATGTATATAAGCGATATCAGTTTAAAAAATTTAGAAACAACAAAGACTACCATGAGGAGATCAAAATGTCTGGGAATCATTAAGATCTTTTGAAAATGAGAGAAAACAAGCTGCAGTTGCACTAAAACATACACGGATATTGACGGACACAGTATATTCTGTTACAGTTCATAAATTAAAATAACCCTACCATCCTGTCCCTTTCCATAAAGACAGTGTCACAGCATGGAAGCTACTTGGAAATCCTTTAACAAGCTGGAAATGCAATGAGACTCAACGCCTATCCCTGCTGACTTGTTACGGCCCTGATTCCTTCATACTAATGGGAATGTTTAAGTCATTTTCTTTTGTTTCTCATTCAGGCTAGCATTACCCCAATGGGTTTACAGCTGTTTAAAGATGTGGCTTAATGCCAAATGAATGCCATTATCATAACACGTAGTGACTAGGTCATGGAAGACTCTATAACTGAAGGATAAAGCTGCCTTATTTAATCAGTTTCATGTCAAATCATTAACGATATAACATAACAAGCTCTTGCTTAAGTCCTCAGTGTACTTAACCAACTCATTGTTTTGTTGATTATAGAAACTTTCATATTATTCCTTCAGAAAAACAGAGTTAATATGCAAACCTGGACAAAAGTTCACTAGATCACCAGGCAGACCCCTTCTCTTGGATAACTCATTTTAATGTGCAACGCTTGAATTTCTGGTGTGGAAGTTCTCTCAACAACTCCGTCTTTGCTGTTTCAGACACATGCTGTTGAGCCGTGCTGAGCTTACAGGAGCCGAGTCAAGCCTAGGACTGAACATGCGCTTTCACCGACTCCACTTTCACATGGGTTCACTGTTTTCTTTAATTAACCCGGAGAGACAACAGCTGACAAAGTTAACACTGTGCTCCCACCCAACCACCAAATGTACGCACCTCTAACTACACATTAAATGGTCACAACTACGACCAAGAAAAAAAAAAAAAAGGGAAAAGATAAAGATGAAAGAAAAATGTAAGACAGAGAGGACCGAAGACATCACACAGGCCTTTTTAAACCAGGAAGATGTGCCCTTACTGCGCATCGTGTCGTGTGTGACGCTGGCGATCCGGAACATGTGGTGGTAGCCGATTTGCCACTGATACTCATTAGAGTCACGGGAGGTGGAAACAGGTGAAATGGGCACACATGGTAGTGTTCTTAAACACATAAAGCCGGCATGATGTGCGTAACAACATACTGATTAGGGGCTTATCCTCCTCTGTTCGGCATGTGTGAATTCCCAGAAAAGAATGGGGATGTGTTAACAACAATGTATTTTTGTTTTAATCAGTAAGGCACAACATTACTTAAAAAGGGCTAGATAAAACAAGAGGCACATGTTAATGACAATTTCCAGCACACTTTCTACTTTCTGTTAAGAAAATCCTGTGGTTTCAAGTAAAGATAACAGGTTAAAGCAGGAAATGACTCTCTTCCCTCCTCCCTCCACAGGCCTTCTCAAACACCTTGCACCCCTAAGGACCAGACACCTCCAGCCTCTGGCTCTCACATCTTAATGAACACTGAGGGAGTAGAGACGCAGAAGCACACATACAGCTGGAAGAAAAGGGTCCAAATTGACTGGGCTTAAAACCTCTGAGCTCTTCAAAGGCAAAAGGAGGTACTTCTCCCTCTTTCCCAAATCCACCACTCAGATCTTGTCAGACAACATGTGGAGTGGAATGGGACCTAAAGACTATTTGCAAGCAGTTTTAGGGGGTTGTAGTGCTTCACATGGGCTTTTATCAAAAAGCAATGTGAGGCTGTGAAATGTCTTTTTACTTACTGCAACCGCACAGGACTACGTTTCATCCAAGTTCCACTGTATTGCAAGTTTTGTATTTTATGGATGTACTGCGATTTTACATAATCACATTTTGTATTGTCAGTGCTACAAGTCTTCAATAATAAAAAATCCAAACCGTATACTCACAGACCACTGGATTTCTCCATGTCTTTGAGCTGGTCTTTAACTGTCTTGTAGTTGGCTTGAATCAAACAAAGACGTTCACGGCGCTTATTATGAGCCTTCCTCAGCTCATCATTCTCCTCAGTCTGTAGGAAGAGAGACACAGGAAGGAAGCCTAAGTCAGATAAAATATCAATGAGAAAATAAGTCAGCCTCAAGTATACCAATACAGCAATGAGCCAACAAACTTGAGAAAAGCTGCTCAGCTGCTCACAGAAGAATTAATATGAAAAGTAAAAAGCTATATTTAGTGTTTTAGCAGGGTCATCCTATGTGGAAGATAAGGGATACACTTCCTGTTGGATAATTTTTCCTGAATATATAATAGCTATAAATAGGGCAACAGCATATGATTTGATTTGATCATTTTCATACTCAAAACATTTTTCAACATCTTGTGCCCCATGAATGGGGACACTGACACACTGGAAGAAACACTTGCTGTTGGAACATCATTCCATCATTTTTACAATGCAGGTTATCCTCTTTTGAGTTGCAGTGACCCTCCCTCTAAGGAACAAATCATGCCAACAGATTCCTCTAACCTTCAAAGAGGCCCTAGATCTTTACACTAAAGAGGGGAGGCTTATCATTTTCCTTATGTGACCAGTTTGTTTTGATACTGATCTAAGGCTTAAAATATTGTACCTGACAGAAACCAACAGGTAATATTCATTTAATCTTTTACTTTCTCTCTCAGATGTGCTTCCATTCTCACAAAGGTGACTGAGACCATTAAGAGATGGCATTTATATGATGAATCAGAGGTGCCAGACAGCACAGAGCAGGCAAACAAAAACAAACCAACGCATACTCTTAAACCAGTAAAGTAACTTACTTACTGGAGACTAGCATGTGTTGTGATATGGGGATTCTGGTAGTAGGTTTGTTACTGACACTATTGTTGACAGCTATTAAAACACAGTAAGATTGGGCTCTTGGTTCATAGAAGGAACAAGAGAAGAAAACATATAGATTTTTCTAGTCTGGGGCACCCCTCCTTCCCTTCACATTGACCTTAACTACGAGGGCAATGGAGAAAATACTTTAGGCAGGCAAGACAGACAGAGGTGGAAGGAGAAGAAAGGAATGTAGAAAGTCAGCTCATAAAAGCGGAGGGAAGAGAAAGACAGAGAACAGAGAAATTAGAAAGACAGAGGGAGTGTAGCAAAAAAGAAAAGTGAATGGGAGAGTGCAGGACAGGTTTCTGCTTGAGTGGCCAGGGCTTGCGAGAGTTGTCGAGCGCTTTCTGAAGGGAAGAAGCTTGTTTACCGCTGATATGACACGGCTACCCTGCAGAGAGGGAAATGTGAGCCCTCAGCCCTGTTATTATTAACAAGGACAAAGAGAACAGAGGGAGCGCACAAACATACACCGGACACACAAAGAGTGTCAGCACACACACACGCAATGCACATCCAAGCTGCCAATGTGACAAGTATGGATTTTCCCTCGTGCGTATTATTCACAAAGGACATCTGCAAGACATCCTCGGCCCCCTCAAGCATCCCCCAACCTCTCAAAAACAAGGCCCTAATGAAAGGGGGCAACCCGGGGCAGTGTTAACTGGTGGAACTAGGAGCAGAGGGAAGACACAGAATAGTTGTGGCCGACTGATGGGGTAGTGTAGGTGGTGGGAAGGTGGGGGGGGGGGGCAAGTGGCAGGGCATTAGCCACATCATGGCTTCTCAGGCTCCTCATAGAGCTTCCCCTGGGCAGCCTTGCTCTGGTCATCAGGCCACAGAACCTTGCGCACCGATCAATACGCCCCCTTACCCAGCCAGCATACACATCTGTGGACATTCAAGCTGAAAAATAATTACACAGCAACAGATACTTCTTACTTGAAAGTGTAGTGAAGAAAAAAGAGGGCCACTATTAAGAGAATTGTTTGTTTGTCTCCTGTTAGCTGTAAGGGTCAACATGTCAATGGTATGGCTGCCATACCCAATTTGAAAGGCATTCTGTTGGAGAGAAGTGGACAGGATAAACAGCAGAAAGATGGACTGGTCAGAGCAAAGTATTGTGAGAGACTGAAGGTAAGATCTCAAGTGTAGCTGATAAAGGGCATGTTGCTTATTGGCAGAACCAAGTAAAGGACACAACCGCTAAATGATGATGTGAACTAATGCCCTCATTAATATGGTTACATTCCTCTGTGCATACCTTCACTAAATGCACCTCAACTGGTAGACAAGTAAATGGCTCCATTAACTAAGACAGTCATGCATGCTGTCTGAATCTATGTTGAGCATTACTGTCGAGGTGTCTGCCAGTGATGTAATTCAGACACTTCAGATCTGACAAGGAAATGATGCCTAATGTGTTCTGGGGGTTGTATTCAGGAGAGATGACCTTTGCATAATCACTCACTCACTGGTCAACTACAGGGATGGAAGCGATACAGAATTAAAGAGGACAGCTTTAGCAAAAAGTACAAGCTGAAAAAGAACAGAAGATGTGCTCTGTTCAAAAACAAGAAACATAAGTTAGAGGTGAACACCGGTTGCACTTTTGCTTGCAATCAATATAAGAGAGACGGGAATAAAGAGTCATGTCAGAAGAACATCACAGAGTACATGAAGGTTAAAACACCAGTGAAGCTGATTTGTTTAAGGAAAACAAAACACAATGCTTTCAGCAGAGCAGTCTCTCTCCTGCTGCTTCACTGCCTATGAACCCTCCTTTTGTCTGCGCACACACACATGGATGTGTGTGTGAAAGACCACATAAGAGAAGGTCATGAAGGAGACAGTGGCGCACTGGTACAACTGAACCGCTGAATATTATAGGAGGAATCATATTTAAAGACAGTGGCAAAAGAAACAAGCAGCTCCATTAGGTCTACCTGGTGGGTCAGTACATAACTGTGAATGAAAGCGTCTTATTCGGTGAGTGGTTCAATGTCACCACTTGTCACTGGAAAGCGGCATATGAAAATGGCAGAGCGAAAGTATGAAAGGGCAGGACCAGGACTTAAAATGTCTCTAACTGAGAAATGAATAGTTCATAGACAATAACTGAAACTTGGTTATGAAGAGTTTAATACAAAAAGGGATGGGGGGATATGTTTTTGTGAACTATTTACCTTCAGTTGCAGCAGTGCCTCAAGATCATGGATTTTTTGTTCTGCTCCTATTCTCATCATTCTTCTCGACCCCACGCTGCTGGCTGGGGACAGAGACCTGGACCGTTGCACAGGTGTATCCTGGGAGAGGAGAGTAAAGAAGATTAGAACTGGAGCACCCTGCACTTACAGAGCCCAACACAAACCCACACAGTAATTAACATGTGTTGAAACATTGAGTGAATGCCAATAATGAAATTATCTATGTTCATTCCGTTCCCCTTTCACCTTGGGTAAAACGAGAATGCCGTCTTGCTTGAAACACACAAATAAACATGCTGCCAGAGGAATAAAGCAAGCTGGAGCTGCAGTCTGCAGAAGCTGAGGGGAGGAGGCTCACATCTGAGTGTGTCTGTGTGTTTGGAAGCAGGAGTTGCAAGCTGAGAGCAGAAAAGGTTTCTCCCTACAACTGGCTAATGAGTATGTTCATTTCCATTTACATTGTTTCTTTGACAATAATGATGTCCCATTAGGGGAGACTAAAGGGGCTATAGATTCCGGAATGTGCTGGGCTTCATTACAAGAGGTGGGCAGGGAGGCCGCTCTAATTGCTCTACTAGGGGCCTCCAGGTTACACTTGATAGGACAACTGGAAGAGCTGCCGGTGGAAGGGAGTGGAGTGTGCTAGCCAGCTTCTTTGGCAAAAAAAATAAATAAAGAAACAGAGAAGTGCTGGGGCCGTGCTGTACAAAAGCTGTGGGAACAATATGCTCGTGGAATTTGAATATTAGAGGATAGGAGGCCCCATGTGGTGCCAGACAGGGCTGACCAGATGGCAGGATAAAATATGCAATGCGACTAAATGCCCAACAGTCCTTCGGCAGAAGTGGATGATGAGCTGAGAAGGAGGTGGTGAGGGCAGAGAGAGGAGGTTAATGATAGGATAGTAAATGAGTATCACCCATCATCCAAAACGGTGTTATGATATGTGATGGTAATGTCTGTTTATTAAATTCATTCAATGTAATATTTGCATCCTTTTTTAATCTGTGACACACCTGTTAATGCTGGTGACTTCCTGCATGAGTAAACAAATCAGATCGTGGCATATATTTAAGCATTAGAGCAGCAGCTTCACTGAAGCTTCTCCCTGAGCTGCAGCTGAAAAATAACATATCCTATATGCACTTGAACAACAATCTCCACAAAAACAGGTTTGTAGGATCTGTTTGTCTCTCTATCTCTCTCTCCTTTTAAAAATAATTAACGAGTGAGATTAAAATCTTTCAAAAAATACAAAGATTTTGACGGATAACAATAATTCATATGTATGTAAGCATGTTTGGGAATGTGCCCTTGGGCTACAGTTAACTTCCGTGACCTGGTGCGCCAGGTTCCACTAACATGCCGGTAAGGCCGCCAAAACGTGTGCTCTAACTCAGCCTTAATGACTCTATGCAACTAATTAGCAGATTGATCTGCATATTCCTGACGAGTGGCAAGCCAACTGGCTTAGACTGTATGTTCTAGTGGGAAACATAGAAGCCAAAAGGGCACTCCAAACATAAACTTAAAAGTAGAGATGACCAATTATAATGAAGTATAACTTGCTGGGAATGAACTTAAAAAATATAAATATTGTGCAGAGTGCTATTAAGAGGTACTCTTAATAGCAAGAGGTATCTTCAGATGAGAACGATTTTAGAAACTAGTTTCCGCCCTTGCATGAAGGAAAAATAATAATAAATCACGGCAATGTGAACGAATAACTCAGATTCGGTGCAGATGTTTAGTCCAGCCGGTCAACTTCCTGCCACAAACCCAGATGACACATAAATGCCTTTGTGCAAAGACCTGTCTTGTCAATTTGTAATTGTACAAAAAAGGCCTGAAATAAATGAAGAGTAGCACACTAGGCAAAAATAAAACAGATGGCCACATTCTACCACAGTTCAACAGCTGCTTGGTGGTCATGACTTGACCTTTGTATAGCACCCTGTAAATGCCTCTGTAAAAATTAGAGCGTAATGTAAATGGAGGGGTGTGCAGTGGGTGAAAAATTAGGACAAAGGCTTTGAATCTAAACAGAGTTTGCATGAGAGCAGGAGTAAAACTCCAGTTTACAGAAGGGTCAGTATCACTGCAACTCTGCCACTTGAGGAAAGAAGAATGGTTTTAAATCTCTCCTGGTTTTGTCTGTCCTCATCTTTCAGAGAGGGGTCGCTGTCATCAATGGGCTTCTTTATTACTGAGGCAGCATGTCATATGTGCCCCTAAAAAGGCTCAAATCTACAAATGATGGGTACACGCAGGCTGAACACAACGACAAATAGGTAAAAGCTTGGATACACGCATACTGAAAGCAAATTAAAAGGAAAGGAAATATTTTTTTTAAATCGAGCAACATCTGACAACTGTGAAGCTGCGCTGGGTGGAAGTGAGCAAGCAAGCTTTAAAAACAGATTATTCTTCCACATATTTTGAGCAACATCATGTTTCATTATGGACAGCTATGACAAGAGTTAGTATACCAACTCATCCTATCTGCTGATACTATGAATAACAAATCCTTTTTTTCCTTCCAGGTCAACTAAACTCACTTCTCTGAAAGCGTGAAATATGTTTTAATTTGCGAACCCCTCGTTACATTAGCCATTATTCTCCTTTAGTTTTGGGCTGTTTGTTGGAAGATCAGCACATTTTCTTGTAGGTGTTAACAGTGGCCTCCATTAAGGGCCTATTTAATCAGTTTTTTAAACTATAGCTTGCAGTTTCTTTCCAAATAAAGTGTCACAAAGCCAATTATAATGCTACTTTTCTGAGGAGAGTCACCATCATATTTGCATCTCAACTGCAGAGCACTAAGAACCACCTAATTGCTTTAATTTCCACAGTAAGGCTGGCCAAGAATGATAAAGTCGTTATAAACAGCACGTTCAACTCACTGGGTAGTGAGATAGTCAAGGATGGGGGGGAGTTTAGAATCTTTTCTTAGGCACTGTTTTGCTGTGATTACTGTAAAAAGGGATGACTATAAAAGCAGGCACAGTCAAAATTAAACTGAATTGTGAAACATTAAAAGATATTTATAATATCAAATATCACTGCTATTTTCTCTTACATTTATAATTCTGAGAATGCTGGGCAACCTTTACTTGTCATATGAGCTTTGGACGATTTCAATGAGTTATTATATGGATATCTATGCTTCATCTTTTGGTGTATATCTCTTCTCAATTTTTTAAAATATTCAGTGTTTTCAAAATTGTAGGAAAATCCTTAAAAACCAATAAAACCTTGGAACTCTTTAAACCTCCAACTACTTCAGCATAGTGTTTCATCTTAAGTAACTATCAAAGCAGTTCTTAATTTAGAGTTTGAGTAGTGACCCTCAGAGTCAGAGAAACTCACTCGACTCTCTCTCATACACGACAATGTTAGAAAAAAAAAATCTGGAAAATGGTGATAGAAAAAGTCTGAAATTGCTCCCGTCTGCATGATTCTGGTTGAATCTATAAATGAAAGGCACTGGGAAAAAGAAAAATCAAAACTGAGAAAAATCATATACTGTAGGAATAAAATCAGAAAATGAAAGACTAATAAAAGGTTAAACTAAAAAAATGTATCCTAAAAGAAAAAAAAGAACTGTTGAAACTAAAACATAATATTATCCAAAACTGAAGAAAAAAAGGCCACGTTTAGTCTGAATTGGAGATTATGTCATTTGTTGTCCACCATGTTCACATTCTGAATATTTCCTGTAGCATTTCAATGTGTTGTTCAGGTAATTGTTGCTACTTTTTCATATGTTGAGCATCTTCTGGTGCATTTATTCATTAGATAATCATTCTCACAGCCCTTTAGTAAGAAGAGATTTCCAGTTTGTTTAGTTTTTTTGGTCAAAGCAGCTGTAACATGATCATGTGCAGGACTTTCAAATCGCAGCCATTTTCAGTATGCAGTAAGTGAGAGGGGGAATATGTGACCACCGGCAGAACTAACCATGCTTTTAAATCATGTGATCCTCTGACTGTCTTGTTAAAAGATCAAAAGCTGTGTCCAGTTTCTACTGGAAAAAAAAAAAACATTCACTGACATGATAAATCCAATTATGATGCATGAAATGTGCATCACAGCCCGATTTTGATTTGAGACATCAGCACAGGCATCTAAACAGACGCATTTCTTGATAATAAGTAGTAGTTAAGTAACAGCAGACAGATTGGGAATATGAGTTATATGTCTTGAGACAAAGATAACCTTTCAGGAAAGAAAGCCTTAATACTATTTATCTATTTTAGACAGTAGAATTGCATTTTACCCAGAAACTGAAGGTACAAATGTGCTTCAGATATAATGAGGAGAGCCATACAAATTGACCAATGTGACTTTAGGCCATCCCTAGAGTTAGTGAGGCCATCTAGAAACTTGTCCTGCCAAACTTCTGAGTGGGATACTGAGAAGATCAAAAGCTTCTTTCTTGTTCATAATACACTGCTGAAGCGGTAAATTAGCCAGTGCCTGAGCCCAAGGCATGCGTGAAACCGGCAGCACACGCCGGCCTGGTCGCAGTAGGAGGGGCATCTGACTGTGTGTGCTGGGAAGTTCAGGACAAAGGTTGGCAGAGTCTGGGTCGGATGAATCACATGATTCTCAACAGACTGCTTATATCCCCTTCTCTGTGGCTTTGATCTAATCCGAGCAAAGTGGTAATGGATAAGCGTGGGCAGGTTGGCCGCTCACCCACGTGCTGTCTTTGGTATTATAGTCAGGAGTGTGTGTTGACCTACCTGCTGCCCTCTGACAGTGACTGTAGACCTATGATGGAAACGCTTGTCCGTGGACTTGGGATCTGAACTTAGACTTGAGGACGGGTCAGAGAAAGGGCTAGATATCTGAACCGCAGCATCAGCTTGCCCCGACACCAGCGGCTGTAAGAAATAAGACAGTATAGGTGTGTATGTTAGTGAGAAAGAAAATGAAAGGTGAGCAAAGTGAAGATGCACCTTCCTGTAGCTTTAGATTTGACGTACAGTAGAACCTCTACTTAGGATTATTTTAACATACAAAGTAGGTCCTGGAACAAATTAAATGTGTATGAGAGGTTCTACTGTATCAAGAAACAGGAAAAAAAGAAAAGAAGAAAAACACCTGTTCCAAGACAAAAAGGGAAAACAACCTTGGATCAACAGCATGTGACACGTTATGCCACATCATTAAGTATCTCACCAAAATCTGGTAGTAAACCCTATTGCTTCCACATCAAATAGCACCACAAGAAGCCAGATGCTGCTAATCGAATGCACTTGACCATCAGCAGGTGTGATTATCTCTATAAGAGTAGAGGTTTTGTCAGCCTGCTGGTCTGGAACATTCATGTGTATATTAAGACTGTTCTCAATTACTCAAGGAGTCCCCAACAAGGAAAATTCTTAATTTCTTTCTTTATTTAAATTCTACTCAGACCTGGGCCACCAAAGGAGCAAATTCCCATGATGCAAAACAACTGGCCTTCAACAAATGGCCTTAACAAATTCAGTAGTGTTGATTTTTAAAATACCGTCAACCTTGCAACAGTCAGTTGGAGAGAGTTACACAAAACTTCAGTTTTCAGCTAAGGTAATAGTATTTTAATAAAAACAAAAAAGAAACCAGAATTCTTTTTTTTTAAACTACTTACAATATGTCAAAGTAAAAAAAAAAAAAGTCCTATTAGATAAAACTCCTTTCCTAAGCAGCTGCTGAGAGCTTGACTCGCTGGTTAGACCTTGGTCTGATTATGCAGCCTGAAAGCACCTTACACTACTATTAACTCGTCTATGCTGTTAACGAACTTTTGCAGAATCTTTTTAATTGCACAAGCATTTAGTGTGATTTGGTGTGACGCAAAGTTTTTTCATAGTTTCAGAGATGGTTCAATTTCAGCAATTGACTTTCATCCATTTAGCTTTTCTCTCCATTACCTGCACATATTCACAGCCATTAAAAAAAAAAGTTTATTAAAATAAAACACTAAACATGGCCTGCCGCTATCAATAACACTTTAACTCAACGAACCAATTTGAAGTCCTTTGACTGACTCCGACCTCTCTGGATGTGGATAACTCAGAGGCCAGGTCGCGTAGCAAACTGCGCAGGATGTCATCACCTTTTTTTCCCAACAAGTCCTGATTGCATTATCAGAAACCTGGCATCTGGGTGTGACCTTGTTAACTGCCAGGGTAATCAACTTTAACCAAAGGGGAGGAGAGGGGATGATAAATTATTAGTGAGGAAGATTTTGTTCATGTTTTATTAAATTGGCCTGTCAAAGGGGGCTGGTCAAATTATCTGGGGCCTCGTTTATTGGAGGCCGGCCATATTGGCGCATCTGTTACAATTATTTATAATTTCCAGGCAGGCAGGAGGACAGAGTGGGTTTTTCGGCATCAGCCACATAAAGCAATTTAGAAATTAACTGATGTGGGAGTGTCTGACTTTTCCTCTTGCAATTTCTCTCGTCCCCATCCTGATTTTCGTTTAGCAGAAAACAGTGAAAAATGGAAACTGAAGGAAGGAAAAAAGGATTTAAAGCGGAAAAATAAACGAGCAGCTTAGTTAAAACTAACGGACAGGAGAGATCAGGAGATTAAAGGAAGAGAACATGCAAGTGAAAAAAAAAAGGGCAAGGGAGGGAGGAGGCTGCGGGAGGGAGCAAAAAAGAAAAAGCCGGTCTCAGTAATTACTGAACACGATTAGGTTCTTGGGGGAACTTGTCTGGCACTCGTGGCCCTCGCTGGTGAGGATGCGGCAGGCAAGACCATATGGAACGAGGCTTGTGATTGTGCTCCCTGAAGCTCGTGACCCGTCTGCTGCAGAGCCCTTGAGCTGAATTTGAAATGAGACTTGCCAGGCCTAATGTTCTACACATGCACCATTTATGCCACAAAACAAATCTGATCACTGTTAATTACGGAGTGGCTATAATCAGGAGGGGCCCCTGCCCCTGCCACGCACACACAAACACATCCGCATGTATACACAAATACATGCACACAATCTCTTTTACATGAATCTGTGAGGGGCTATAAGGTGTTTGTACCAGGCCAGGTGCACTTTGTATTCAGGATGGTGTTTCTTGAAAGAATGTGCATATATGTATGAGCATTTGAGTTGGCTGCTAGTGCGGTGGAAAGGGACAGAACACAGAGCGTAGGATGTAGGTGCATGTATGTTTTCTGTGTACGCAGCCCCAAGTCCTCCCACACAGTTTGTTTGACCTGGGTGACTGTGCTTGAACGAAAGAGTAGACTTCTCTGCAGCAGCACATGACTGTGCTTCAATAATGAGGCGGGCTGTGCTACACAGAAGCTCTCATCTAATGAGGGCGGTCGAGCTTGTAAAACACACCGCTGGCATCTATGTCATTAGTATGTCTCTGGACCTGGACATGGCCCAACTTCAAGCACACACTCCAAGCAAAACACATGCTGACAATAGTATTTACTGATAACAAAAACACCACACAAGACATAAGTGGATCGTTATACGCAGTTTGGCGGTCTATAACTCTACATTATACATGAATTCTACACCTATTTGGAGTTTTTTGCAATAAAGGGGTCAAATAAGCCGTTAGTAGCAATGTATGTTACAGTTGCTTTCTGGTGAGGAAAAAAGAATTATGTACTTTTAATTAGATTATATTTTATATTCTATATCATATTTTCTTGTACCTGAGGATTAAGGGCAAAAAATACCTTCGTGTTTAATAAATCATAAAATCATACAAAAGGCTCAAAGCGTCAACTTTATTGCAGTCAATAAAATCTAAAGTTTGTCACAGAACATAAACTCATAATAAAATTTGTTATAAATACCCAGAGCATTGACTAACAACATGCAGCCTCTCCTGATTCTTTGTTTCACTGTCACAGATGGAGTTAAATCAATTTGAGGTTTGTTATTAACGATGATCAAAAGAAAGAGTAAATCTAAAAGTGACAGGCAAAGTTGTGGGTTTTCTTCTACAAGCATGTGTCTGCGCTTAATCTTTCAGTTATACAGCTAGCAGTATTTTAATATAATACGTAGAAGCAAAACAAACTAAAAATTGAGCAGGATTCTTTCGGTTAATAAAAACAGGGAAGATTTTAAATTTTCATAAGAAGCACAGCAACATAAAGAGGATACGACAAACAGAGCTGGTCGAAAGCCTCCAAAGGGGAACAACCATACGGAGATTTTCTTAAACCATAGCTGCATAATCTATTATGCAAAATAAAGAATCTAATGAAACAGGTGATATATTTTCAATCAACATTTCGCAGGAGATTCTTTCTATTAAACGTTTAGTTATCGATTATGTTTCTTGTCCAAACCTGATGAGAACATTTGAGCGTTTTGAATGACTGCCCACATAATCAACCACGTAGCACTCATTCAGTCTGGTTATGCTTCCAGAAAGCCCAAGGCCTTTTAATGGATTGTAATGTTGGTCTTTAATCACCACTGAGCCCTGACAGTAGCCAAAACTAGACCCCTGTAACTACTTTCATGCAGTTTGGAAGAGCTGTAAATGATCAACTACATATATATATATACCGTATATATATATATATATATATATATATATATGTGTGTGTGTGTGTGTGTATTTTCTTTTGTTTGTTTGTTGAATGAATGAATAATCTTCCCCTAGATTGCAACCACCCAAAATGGTGGCCTTAACCTCCTGAACCTGATCACAAAAAAGGTATTTGATTAATTGACAGTTTCTGTAATATAAAAGAAACAATACTTGAACCCGGACAAAGCAGATCTCAGTTACAATCAGATGAGAGAGCTCAGACATCCACTGCAGGGCCAACACAAGACACACATCCATGCACACCCACACTCACTGCTACAGCTCATTTAGAATCATCACTTAGCCTGGCATGCCTGTTTTTTGGACTAGGGAAGAAAGTAAAAAAAAAACTCACATGTAAAAGGAGAGCATACAAACTCCACGCAGAGAAACACACCACCGGATATTTGAAGCCGGAACGTTCCCCGAATGAGTGACAATGCTAACCAACATGAATCTGTAGGTCTATTTAATATATTCTTTCCCCCCGGTTTTTGTCTCCTGACAGATAAATGTTAATTTATCTGATCTATTCAATCATTGAAAAATGTACAGCAGACAAATTTGACGTTTAATCAACAAACAAAAAAAAGTGCTGGCATTAAAAAAAAAGCAGTGTAGCGTAATCGACCGAATGGAACAGCGTCTTGTGGAGGTTCCTGTAAAGAGTTAACCTGGCATAAGGCAGGAGAGAACACACAATCAAAACTGGTGCACAGCATGTACACAAAACACACAATGGCTGTTATTCCTCTCTCCTACCCTCCTTCATACCCTTCCTAACCAAACATACTGAGGGAGGAGTGTTCAAAGCAGTCGCTCTGGTCCATATTCAAATGAGCACTGCGTCTCTCCTCTGTGCTCCTGTTGCTCCAGTACTTTGATCACCTCCAATGGTAACTTCCACCAAAACATTTAAAATTAAAATGGAATATGCCCTAACAACCTGAGCATTGGAAATTTAACAGGTGTTCGTGAGGAAGTTGTTAGAGAATTTGTGATTATGTGCTCGGATACACACACCTTTAGTCAAACGTGCACCCATGCAGACACAGACGAACACACAGCCCATCAGTGAAATTACAGAGAGGCAAGCAGAAAGCCCTCCTGACTCAGAGCCATGTCTTGGGACACCTGATAGAGTTACTTTGATGTCAGTAAGTAAGAAAGTTAAAAAAACAAATTAACCAGACAGCAGCTACATGTGTTCGGTAAACAAAAGTTGTTGTTTTTTTATTTACTTTAAACTTTATTTTGGTAATTACTTTTCAGTCATTAAATCCTTTCATTCACACCCAAAACTGGGTCTGAATAAGTACCAATATGAATGTCCAACAGGGGCTAAAATTAAGAAAATTTGTTGATTTTTTGAATGAATAAATTCAGCTCTCAATGCAAATAGTCAGCAAATAACTTAAGTTATGGCACACTGTTTTCAGGAGGAAATACCTACGATGATATCAGCAAATACAATGAACACCTCGGACCAATTATGATGCTAAATCATTTCAAGTAGATATATTTAAGTAAGAAACACTGCAACAATTTATTTATTTTCACAATTTCACAATCATCTATTTGAATTGTATAAATTTATCAAACCGATGTGCATTACTTTTTATAGATAAATATTCTAGGTTTAATTCTCAGTACTTCATGTTGCTACAAGCAAAAATGGCCTATTTAGAATGGAAGTGCTTCTTCGGTATGCTAAAACACACATGTGTATTGTCATAGTCATGTACATGCAAACCAACGTGCTCACACGCCTTGCACACACATCCTGACTGCATCTCCTCTAAATGTAGTATTAATTACTGGCAGAACACTGCAGTACTGTATTTAATTACTGACTAAATGAACCATTTATACTTTACTGCTGGTTTAATTAACCCGGTTAAGTGATTGTAACTCACTTAACATTTGAGCTGATATCTTTTGACTTCTACAGTCTGGGAGCAGCAATTTCAGAACATATCAGCCCATCATATTACATAAATACGATCTGTAGAGGCACAGGCATTACTCTAGTACAGAAAATGTTATCTCAAGCTGAGATTGGACAAGGTTTCCTCTCAATCCATTCATACTGGAATGTTGCTGGACTGAGGTCTGCAAACACTGCTCTGCTGAGCACGTATAGAAGAAGTCACCCAAAGTGAGAATCTAAGTTGAGATTCTGAGTTGGATTCAATGAATGTGAGCCTTAGATCATAATGTTGGAAAGCATGGAATATAGAACTATCACTGGTGAACATGCCCACATGGTTTCATCCTTGGTCTTTATCTTCCCCCAAAATGTATGATGACAAAATGTACTTCACTCACACCTTTAGGCAGTTGTCAGTCTGGAAAGCGTAACATTAATGCTACTTTTATCAACCAAGCGTGTGGTCCACGCTTACCTATCAGCATATCATTAAGGGTTATTAAAGGTCTCTATCGCCTTGGAGTAATGGTTCAAAGGTTTTGGACTAAAGTCAAACTCCCGCTGACTGACAGATGTAGGGCTGTAACTAACATCATCCTCCAGAACATTACTGGGCTCCAATTAAATCCCCCTTTCCCATCTGACTGGTGTGTTAAAATGACTTTTAGTTACTTTGGTGTGAGAAAAGAAAGAATATTGAAAAATAAAGTAAATCAAAGAGGGCATGTGTGCATAAATGTGAGTGTTAGAGAAGGTCAGAAAACTGATATAAAAGACAGAAGTGTAAAGAGAGGACGACAGATCAAGAGTGAACTACAGCAATATCAAAATTATGATTCAGAGATAAAGACTACCATCTCAGGCCATGTATGTCAGTTATAACGGTGCACATAAATCCACCGTCACATTGCTGTATTTCACATTATGACACATTTCACTGATGGCAGCACCATCATAAAAAATGTGTACCAGATACATCACAAGACTGACATTGTTTAGGAAATCATAGGCATATATACCTTGTTTTCCAGAAACCAGAAGAATTCATATGAAAGTTCAACAAATCCTGCAGCAGAGGCCACATGAGTGAACAAACTGCTTATCGTGCAGTTTTTCCAGACTTTTTTAGGGCGATAAAAATAAAGCGGGGTCTTTTTAGGGGACAGAAAACAAGACATGAGCTTACCTTAAAGTTGGTTTGTCTGTTCGGAGATGGGTTCAAAGCTGTTTTTGGTGCCGGTTGCTGCTGTAGAAGTTGTATTTCTGCCTGTAATTTCTGAAGCTGAGCCTGGAGTTCTAAGATGTGTTGGTCTCTGTGAGCCAACTGGCTGCTGAGCTCCTGGTGACTCTGACGGAGCTTGCCCTCACTTGACAGGAGAGCCTGGTAGCACTGACTCAACTCCTTGTAAAGCTGTTAGCAAACACAATTAAGACAAAAGCTTGAACAAGCGGAAAGAGGGCTAGTAGAAAAGTAAACAGACAAGGGAATCATACAATCAGTCAGATGTGACAAAGAAGATGGCTAAATCAGGTTGATGTTATGAAGTGGAAACAGTTGGATTCATTAAGGAGCACTGTTTTAATCATTTTGATCTAAAGACTTGTGAAGTGCTTTTTGGTTCAAGACTGAGGGGAATTCAGCAAGTGCCTTTAAAAATGATGAGTTTGATGTTTGCCGTATGTGCCTGTGAATACCTGCTGATACGAGGTGGTGTCAGCAGTGTGTGCCTCCTCTTGGTTTCTCAGGACTCTTTGTGTGTCTAAGTTGAGTCCCTCCAGTTGCCTGATCAGGTGGCTCTGCTCTGCTGCATGTTGTGTGCTCTGTTTGTACAGAGTCTGCACCTCAGCAAAATCACGACTGCCAACACAAACACACAGAACACAAGGCACCAAATCACATCCTACATGATACCACATTTCTAAAAGAAAAACACTTTACATCACCATGGAAGGAGAACCATTTAAATTCTTTGTTGTGATGTTAATAAAATTCTTCAAACCAACATGGGTTTATGTTTTAATGATTGTTTTAGATTTGGAAAGAAATTAAGTGTAAAATGTGTGTTTTAAAATGAAACTAATAATACAAAAGCATTTGTATCTTATTGTAATAAAAATATAAATGTATGATTCTATTAACCAGAGGTTCTTTTATTTTAACAGTATTATATTATAACTAACTATAAGTAACTATATTATATATGCAGACTATAATAAACTAACAAATGTATACAGTGTTTTCAATTCTAATCAAATCACTTGATCTCTGAAATAGCAACTATCATCACCATCAAATTACAGTTAAAATATTATGTCTTGTGTGTCCCCAAGTGGAATTAAAACAAAAAGCTCCTGTTATTTATAGGCAATCCAAGGACATTTAATGGGTTCACTAAAAATGTAAGAGAAATCTATACCCTCAGTGTGACTGACGTGTCAGAGTGCCTCTGGCATTAAAACAGAAAAGTAGTTAAAAAAGGCTGAGATTACCACTAAGGCTCCTACAGTTCTCACAGTTTTTTTTTATCATATCGACTAAAGCTTAGCCAAAGCCGGCCTGTTTCCCTTTTCTTCCTCTTTTAAAGCACATCCACTATGCAGGGCTTATCAAGTGGCTTTAGGTGAGCCAGAGTGGAAGAAATGTGTGTCACCCCCCAAGCCTCGTAGCAAGGTGAGCAATATATCAACACTTCCATGCAGTAACCCATGTAAGGCAATCCAGTCACACATCTGCTATATATATATAGCAGATTCTATTAAATCTCATATTAGGGTGTGGTTTTTTGCATGTATGTACATGCTGCTTTAGATGATGTAGCTCACCGAAGTCCATCAAGTTGTCCCTCTTTATTTGCGAACTCCCGCTCTTTAGAAGAAAGCAGCGCTGCTAGATCGTCATTGTATCGCTGAACAGTAGTTAGCTTTTGATAAGTATTGTGCTGTTCCTCCTCCAGATCCTGGTGAATAAGAGCAAAAGCAAAAATTTCAAATTTCTTAAGAAAAATGTAGAAACCAAGATGATTTTGATATGCTAACTTTTTACTGGTTTTAAAAACTGACAAAAACTAACAGATTAAAAATAAAACTTTAAAATGATTAGTTATTGGTTATTCCTGGCTTAGGATGGCTCACCAAAATAAAAAAGGTAAAACAGAGACAGAAACAGCAACTGCCATAACTGTGTTCTATTTGCCTTGCATTAGGTTCAGACAGGGTTTTTATGACAGCTTTCCCTTAATGAGGTGCCTTCATTAGAGCAGGGCAGATTACATGACATAAAGACTCACAGGTTACTAAACCTTGGATAATCTATATGCTAAATTAATTAGTCACTGACAATTATAAGAAAAGACATGAAAAAGATACCTTAACCATTAGAGTGGAGTCTTTAAACATACAGAACTGCTAATCTATATTAGTCGCTGCTAATATTCAAAGCAGCCCCCTTCGTACTTTACCGAAAAAGTAAGAAAACTCGGTGAGTGTATCTTCCCTAAACATGCATGGCTGACTAGAATAATTAATGCCTGGACAAATCTTTTAAATTTTAAACTGATTTGCAGTATGTATACCTTGCCCATGCCATATTATCCATTTCCACTGTTCAAATCACAGTCTGATTTTAAAAACATAATCAACATGGTTGTGCATACCCGGACCTCCTTTCCATCCAGGTCTAAATACTGGGCCCCTAACTTATTCAATACTTTCTGTCTGACTATTTGACTTGGGGAGCAGTATGTTTCACATATTTAAGGCAAAGATTGTGAGGCTCTCGTGTAGCTCTAGCATTGGCAGAAAGCTGATTTCTGCAAGGAAACAGCAACAGGTTGAACGTGAAAACAAAGGACAAAATATTTTATTGATTGCATCCTGAAACATTGTCACTAATGTGATGAGATGAGCACATTAAATTGAAATTGAAATAGTTGGAGAGTGGATACATAACTGCTTGTGTTTGGAGTGAAAGTATGGACAAAAAGATAAAACTACAATCTGTGCATGCCAACAGCTTTGCAAACTTCCTTCAGCTGCGCTTGTTCAAACTTTTTTTCAACCCGTCATCTGTAAGGTCAGAATTTTCTCCATGTTTTAAATAAACCTACATTATTAAATTCTAGGCTTTTTTACTGTGATCCATTTTATATTTGTGGCCGAGGAGAAAAAGGGTGCGAGGGGAGTTTAAAGTTTTGTATCACTGAAAAGACTTGTGTTCATACCTTTAATCTGGCCAGGGCGGCATCCCTCTGGTCTCGCTGACTGTTGACCTGCCTCTCTTTTTCCTCCAGGTCAGTTCTCAGGGCGGCACAGAGTGACGTTAATCCCTCTTTCTCCTCCTCTAGAGCCTGCACCACCTGCTGCTGCTCCTCCTCCTTCTTCCTCCACTCTGTCTTCATTTCCTGGATAAGAAAAGGTGTTTGTGTGTGTAAGAATGAGAATGGAAGGGGGTCAACAGGGCCAAATAAACAACGGTGACAAAAGGCAAAAAAAGAGGAGGAAAATGTATTGGGGTTCAAAGTAAAGTGAAAAAGAAAACCTTGGGAGATACAAAAAGAAATGAAACACAAGCAACCCGTGGGGTTGAGACTGAAATGAATACATAAACAGCGGACAGGCTTTTCTGCAGGAGCCCCCTCCACAGGCTGCTGACTGACCAAGGTCATCTGTGCTGTAGGACTGGGCCCTTGCGACCAGGTGTTGGCTGGTATGGGCCGAGGTTTTGCTGCAGGAGCTTGCTCATGTGGGTACAAGGGCCAGTCTGTCAGCTTTAATGATAGGTCCTAATGAGAAAGGTGTTTGCTGCAAAACCCATTAGGCTCAACCTAGGTATCCTTTGATGCTGTCCCCCACGATTTCTCACAAAGAGACCCCACCAAGACCATGTAAGGACCATTCCTTTATAAATAAATCATAACCATGTCCCATCTAAGCATAGTTAGGAAGAAGCCACACCATCACATGTACACTTTTCACTTTCCACCACTGAAGGAGGCATTAAGTATTTATATGCAAGTTAACAACCTGCTTTCCTTTTGCTCCCTCTTTCCATCAAGACACACAGACTTTCCAGTTAAGTATTCTCTGCTGTCAGTAGGAAGAGAAAAAGCTAAAAGCTAGAAAGGATGAGACAGAGTAAGGGTGAAGAATGAAAGAGAGACACAAAGACACTGAGATTGTGTTCAAGAAGGCAGAACAATCCTCCCTGTCCTCTAAATGATTCAAATGCCTGAGGCTTTAGCCACGGGAGACTTGTCGTGTTTGATGCCACACAGAAAAGAGACTTTTGAATCTGAGGCCCACGCTGCCACAGAAAATTTGTTCTACCAACCTGAAGATCCTGACTCTTATTGACCAGTTGCTCACGCAGAGTTGTCAGCTCCTTCTTTAAAGCACGCTCCTCCTCCTCTGTCGTCCTCCTCTGAACCAGGTTGTTTATCTCCTGCTGATGCTCTGTCGCTTTCTGAGGCAGATGGACGGTTGCAGAAAAACAGAAGAAGTTAGACAGAGCACAGTTTAAGGTGATAGAATTATTTATCCATCATGTCTAAAAAATTACTCAATTCACGCAGACAGGGAAGAGAAAAATGTGCATGTGTGAGAATTTTGTTGCTCTCAAGAGAAAGCCACCCCACATATTTATCTCTTAAGATTATTCTTAGCCTTCTCTATTAAATAGTCACAAAACATTACAAATGGTAGTCATTATAAATCATTGTCAAGATTGAATGGGACAGAAACCAGCAAAAACGCTTTCATGACCACCCACTATCTGATTATAGGTATTTGTTCACTTCTCGTCTTTTGGCTGTCTCAGGCCTCAGTAGGAGAACACTGAATTCTTAACACCGAATCAGCTGAGGTTTGGCTTTGGCTTGCGATCCACAGCTTTCTGGAATTACACTCTCTCAAATAACACCATGCTTTGGGATGCAATTAATTTCCATGTTGAGGGAAATGGCTCAGTTATATTCAGATAGTGGATTTAGGGTTCCCTTACAACTTCTAGCTTGCCATGCTAAGAATAGAGGGGCTTTAATAGAGATTTAAACAGTAGTGCAGGAAATAAATTCCAGTGTTGGTAATGAGATAGGAAGGAACAATTTAAACCCCTGTAGCACTCAGCTGAAATAGGAGGGGAAAAGTGGAGATATTGTAAAGTTAAAAGGCCTGGGACAGAAAGATTAGTATTAGAAAATTCACAGTGCGCTTCAAAAATGAAAGCTAATTATGTAACAAAAGTAGAAAGAAAAAGATGGGGGAAAAAAGAGGTACGAGGATTAAGAAAAACATCAAAGTGGGAGAATTGATACATTAGGAAAAATGTGAGATCCCATGTGTGTGGATTCATTGGACCATCACATCTCCAAAAACAGGAGGGGGAAGCAATCAATCTTCTGGTCTCATACTGTAGAAGAGATGATGACTGTTGGAAGGACAGATGATACAGTAGAGAATCCAGTGCTACAGGACATGTATGAACCAGCTTTACAAATTAGCCATGATATGAAGTCAAACATGTTTTTAAATCTTTACTAAGTACATAAGGTTTTAAGTTTGGAAGGATATCAATAAATACTTTATTGAGCACAGAACCAGACCATGTATTCACATCTGTGCAAAAACAGAAAAAACATTGATTTGTGTTGCTTGATTTCGCCACTGAATAGCCCTCAATCTAAAGAAACAAGAGAAACTTTAAATAAATGTTTTCAGTAAATACATATCAGCATGTCCAATGAGCCACTATTATGGTTGCTGAGGAGGATGAATGTCAAAAAGCAAAAGCAAGCTGATGACTCCATTACAGCCAGTCTCATTAAGAATGAACTCTATTCTGAATGAGGGACACTAATGAAGGAATCACACAGAAGGGATGATGATTTAAAATAAATTACATTAGTGATGTCATTATCATTTGCCATCCAAAAGCAAATATTATTCAAAAGGTGGAGCCAAAAAGCAGGTAGGAGAGATATAAAATGCTTAAGGCATAACATATAAATACATTCAAACACACGAGACCACAAAAGACCACACTACAATTAGTAAAACAATAGCAATAAAATATTTTAAATATATTTTTAGATGTAAGTCTTGAAATAGAGTGTATAACTATGCTGAGTTAAGACTTTGATGAGGAGAAAAAGGATGAAGTAATTTAAAGTGTGTAAGAAGTGGCCTGAACACCTGAACACCAACTGAAGATCTCTTTATCATTAAATATAGAACATGCATTAAATACTGGATTCAACACACATATTATGAGCTGTCAAAGATGCTTTGCTTATCTCAGAGAGACAGCTGTTTGTACCTGTTCCAGCTCCTGTATCTTGAAATCTTTGGACTGGAGGATCTCCAACACTTTTCGATCCTTAATCTCAGCTTTGTGTTTCTCTCTAAAAGAAATTTAGAAAGGAAATATAATAAGAGCAAAAAGTATCATATTGTAAAATTGGCAAAAATATGTCAATTTTTCTTGTTTCTTAAAGCAAATTGCTCAGGTTTAAATTGATAAGAATCTTGAAGGCTGGGAATTATACTGAAAAAGAAAGGTTTGCTCAGACATTTACCTCTAAAGTCTTGCTACAGAACTACAATCAGCAGTACTAAACTCTGAGCTTTCTCTGGGGACCACTAGCACCCCTTTTATCATAAAGAAATTTTAGGAATACAAAAAACAAGGCTTCAGTGGGGAACCTGTTTGTTTCAACTGCATTAGACCACCAGAGACCACCCATTCCCTTTGCTCATCAGTTGCTCCTTGTGTGCCTTCCATCTTTGAGATGTATTCCATCGTCTTTTTGGCTGTTCCGATCAACACGCTCCCCCTGGTAGACACTCGGATACATATCTGTTGTCCCTGGAGGGGCTGGAACAGGGGCAGGCCCAGTTGCATCTCCTCATGTGTTGGGCTGTGTTCACCATGTCCTGAGCAACCAACCAATCACTCTACAAGATCCACACAGTAAGGAGCTGTAGGGATGAACGGCTGTTCCCAGTGGGCACCAGTGCCTGACTGGAGTCGACACAATTACCATGTCAATATCCTCCTGTGCATCAGGTGATACAATACACATACACTCTGGGTTCGTGTTCCCCCACCAGTCCCTGAGGACCAGCATACTTTGATGGGTTTCCTAAGGGGCAATGAGGAACTGAAGAGGGCGTGAAGCAGGAATTACAGGCATACGTTCAGAGGAGCTTTCTGCATGCTGCTGCACCGTGCTTTACCTTTTGATAATGTTCTACTAGCCACTGGTGGACTTTAATTTCCATCTGTATGCCTGTCTATCCAGTTATCTACATTTTCCCCTAAAGATCAGTAATATATTCGTCCAAATGTGCATCATCAGGAAAAAGCCTGAACCTCTGTCTTCTCTGGAAGTTCCCATGCCACTGTTTTTCATTTGGCTTAGCCAGCCAGCAAAAGAGGTCTTACTCCATCTTACAATTTATCCAGTAAAGACAAGTATTTGGCAGGACTGTTTCAACTGTCCAGCATGTGAGGAGCAGAGTAAGAGTGTTTTTTCATTAAAAGGGTTTCCATTGTTTGAACTGCGAGACTGGGGATAAGAGGGCTTAAATCTGCATCTGCACCAGATTCCATCATAACCCCTGTAGAATGGCCTAGGTACTTTTCAAAACCCCCTTGAACGACTTTCACACATATTTTTCCACACTCGTGAGATAAAGCAATGTTCAGCTGTTGAGCCTCTAAAGGTGGCAGTTTGAAAGATGAATCCACTCACCGTTCTACCACCAAACTGATAGCCTGGGTCAAGTCTGGATTTGCCACTTGCAGGCGTTTCCACAGAGACCACACAAACTCCTTGTCGGCCTGTTTAAAATAAAGGATGAGGCAAGTCAACAGTTGTTATTTATTATTGGGATATATGTTTTGGATTAATCCGCTAAATTTCGTTATGTTGAATCTCTAAAACGAAAAGCTTCAAACCATCACTGCTCTTCTGACTTTATAATAAAACATTAAAACAGATGCTCTGTGACATTAGCATACGACAGTAGGGGAAATCAATCAATAATTTAAGCAACTTGTACAAAACATTTTTTCATCCGTCCTGCTTTCTCTAATCATGAGCCTCTCTTTGCAGCAAACTCCATCACAGAGATGTGACCTTCGACTCAAGGGGAGCGAGCATTGACACTTGTCATTATGCACTATTTATGACTAGGGAGCGCAAGGATCCAAATCAAAACACAGCAGTGGAGCTTGTATGTTCCTTATTAATCAATTTCTCTCCGGATATGTTTTCCACCACAGCTCCAAAGTAACTAGCCCCAAAGAAACTCAAAACTGATGACAGAGAGAGTCATCTTCAAGAAGGAAAACCCAGCCAGCCCCTGACACATTTCCAATTCAAATTGTCCTGCTGGTTTCTCAAATATTTTTAAGCTACATTACATTTAATGAGGGACTTCTAAAAACTACATTTTCTGACATTAAAAGACAGAATTATACCAAATCGACTTAATATAAAATTATCTGATAAATTATGTTCACATCATCAGAAGATAAAAGTCATCCCTCCCATTGGAATCTACTGGTCTCCAATTAGTACACGAATTTGAACCCCCTTTTCAAAAGTGTCTAATCAATTATTTACTGAAATGGCAGCATCAGACCTTGATAAGGCCATGAGCTGAACATATAAAGTGGAAGGACTCTAGTTCAGATCTCTGTCTCTGTATGCATCGGAGAGTGTGCATACAGAAAGGGAACAGGGTGATGGGGGATGGAGATCTCACAAAGTCAACGCTGGAACGCAGCTAATGATTTAATTAAGCGGCACGGTTTACTTGAAATATGTGGTCTCCCTCTGTCTGGCCTTTGGCTGCCATTAGCCGTTTCACTGACAAGTGTTCAGTCAGGACCCTCATCAAGGGCTCTCCTCAGCTGTATGTGTACTTAAAGATGCATTGAGTGTGTGTTTGATGATCACTGAATTATTCATTTTGAATCGAGATACCGAAACACCATGGGCTAAACATACCGGAGAGAGTCACTGGAATTCAACACATATTAGTAAAATTAGCATGGTCTAGCAGGAACATTTGCGAGCTGACAGATTAGAGTCTTTGTAGTTAATGGCTGTCCTGAAGAACATCAGGCCAGAGACTTAAGACATCAGTGGTATTCAAATGTCACAATTTAAAATGTACACTGCACGACTTAGGGTCCTTATTAGATATACAGAATCACTGATGTTCTATTCTGGACAAGACCACCAAGGACGGTTTTCGTGTCAGTTCGATTAGCTGCTACAATTTATGGTATTATAATGTAGATGAAATGGTTTTACCATTTAAATCTGAGCTCATGTGGTCATTTTCATTTAAAATGTTTCTAGGAGTAAAGACCAACTATGAGTATACACGTAAAAACATATGAGAATCTAAGTAGGTATCCAATGCTTTCTACAATTATACACCTGCAAAAAAATTGGGGACATAGTCTGGGTATAAACTCATGCATTTATATCTTTTACTCTCATTTCAAAAGATATGCTTTATTAATGTGAATTTGAATTGAAAAAATGTAAATGTATCAATCATGTTGCTACAACAACCTACTATCTACTTCTAGATGAAAGACAAGTTCATACACAAAATAAATCAGGTAACAGCATCCCAGCAAATGCTGCTGCCTATAATACCAGGTGATATCTAGTCTGATAAAAACTGAAATGTAAAACCTCATTACTGAACTCCATACTGGTCTGTCTTTTTGTACAGCTTGGTAACACAGATATGCAAAATAAGATGTGGTGGGTCAGTTCACTCATGCTATTAGACACCACCTGGTGGTTAGGATGCAAGGCCTCTCTAAATCACTGACTTCAATGAAGAAGAATAAAGCTCCTCAGGTCTGCCTATGAAGAAATATTTGTGCAGAACATTCAATAAATTATATTCATGACACATATATCCTTTTGGAGCAAACCAATTAAATATGTTTCATGTATTCACAATAGATTACAGGAGCAAAATTGCATTAAATAAATCAGGAATTCTCAGCAGTGGTAGTAATTCTGAGATAAGACAGTATATTGAGGACAATATCAAGTTAAGTTAAAAAGCAAATCATTCTATCCTTTTAGTGGTAAGGTTAAGAATTGCTATGGAAATGGCATAACTGATCCAGGTCTTGACCATTATTTAAGGAAACCTGAGCATTTGTTTTTCTCTGGTGCTCATTAAACTTTTTATCCAAGCCAGTGAAGAACTATAAATGTTAATAGATAATAGCAGTTTAGTCAAATCATTGACATTGCCCAGTTTATCTGCATTTTCAAACTGAAATCCATCTAAAGGCTCTTCACAATAATAAAAGGACACAGGAAAAAACTTGCTTATGCCTTTTACAAATTACAAACAAAAATATTCTTGTTGGACCATACAAACTTTGAATAACTGAACCTACATGTGAGAGACAAGCATAAAGAGGATGGCTGCATACAACTTAAAAAACTATATTCGCTTATCACTTCCTAATGTAGTTTTTACCAATACATAAACATTGAAAGATACTTTAGAAAAAACTACAGAAAAATGAAGTCATAATAGTATCCAAGTACTCAACTTATTTACAAGCATATATTAACATGGTTATCCGTACAATTGTAGCACTTTATGACACCATTTTCATCAGGTATAAAGAGTACAGATAAGAAAATATTTCAATCCAGCATTGCGTGGTCTATGTGTGCATTTCATTCATACCTGACATTGTATTAACTCGTCTGATAAATTATTAACCTGCTCCTCCAAATCCAGGATGCGAGAGTCGTCACTGGAACACATTTTCGGACTTTAAAGAAAGGAAAGCAAAAGTTAGCATTTATTTGTCAAAAACATTGCAATAATTACAGTTAAGCACTTTTAGATACAGAAGCCACGGGTTCGTCTTTTATCTAAATTATGCTTGTTTAAGTTACATGTATCTGGCATATACTACTCCCCGAGATTTTTCAACAAAAGATATACCGTTTAAACTTCAACCTTACCTGTTTCTTTCACTTCGTACCCTATCAGTCTGGCGTTGTGTTTCTTGGACGGTGCTATGATAGCTAATGTAGCTAATATTAGCTTCCTAACTTTTAAGCAGTCCTTTCTTTAGCATGTTTGGCTTGACAGTTTTCCGCGTGAGGTTAGCACTGCATATAACGTCACGTAATTTTAATTGCATTATATCTATGATGTAGAAAGTATTTCTGTAATGTCTTTCAAATAAGTGAGGAGAACATTCACCAGCAGTTGACACCACTGACAGTAACCACGGAGATGGCTTCTTCCGTTCAAACAAGCCCGCTGTTTTACGTTTCTGTCCCTTTGCGTCACAGCGTTACGATGTTTTACGACAGTTATCTTTTTCAAACGGCATTACGTTCTGAATTTACACTTAGGCGGCCTTACATAGGAAAAGTATTTGGATTTAGGTGTATCTTAAGTTATATATCAAACTAAATATTTAATTTGAAATAAAAAACTCTCGTTTTTGTCTTTTTTCTGGTAATATAGTAAAACTAGTAAAATAGTTATAGAACTGATGCATGCAATACTGTAGGAATTTTCAAAGAATATGTAATATGAAAAACGAATATGGATATAAGCAAAGAAATGAGCGAACAGCTTTTTTAATTGAGTAATGCCTAAATATTCCCTCATACTTCAAATAAAACAAAATATATCTTACTGTCAAAAGGGTAAACAAACAGGCAAAGACAGTTTTTAATAAGCACAAAGGGAAAAAAACTAAATTCCTCATCAATTAAAGGGTCCCACAAAAACAGGAAAATGAAGGTGTTCTTTTGATTTAAATTGAACATGAGTCCTGTGTCCGTACATATTTTATCAATTAAAAAATATCAAAATATTGTAATCAATGAGAAACGGAGGAATAAAAATAACACACGCAGGTTGACAGGAAATTTCAGTATTTCAATGTTCAGAATATGTGTTATGCAACTATCATCGGTTCTGTAGACAACATAGATCCCCTGTGTCTGCAAGCACTGTTTTACAAGGTTATAAATCCCTGTGGTTATATCAATGTTCAACAGCCGCATGCATGACGCTGACGTGAAATGACACTGACATATAATATTGATGTTTATTTGGCAGTTCATGTTTTTCATGTTCATGTTCATGTTGTTCTTGTAACAGACTTCCATCGTAGTCTTGGAGATATTTGCCCATATATCATGTTTTTAATGATCCGTTGTACCATCAAAGACATTATGCACAATGAATCTTGACTCCTGGGAGTTTTGAGAACTGGATACAAGCAAGTGGAGTGCAAGGAAAATGAACATGTTTGACATCTGTTTTGCAGTGAGACAAGACAACTCCATATTGTGTGGCTAATGTATTTAACTGTCCAGCCAGATTTGGAGCTCGGTGCAAGAGAGGAAAATGAAGAAATATGATGACTGGCACTCCTCCTGAGTCAGACAAATGTTGGCTCATCTGCTGACTGCCACACATACACGCACACATGTAGACTTACATACACAGACAAAGAGAAAAGATGCAATTGACTTAGCATGATTAGGCTGTTCCTTGACCCACAAAACACGCCTCTCATTAGGATCCTCATTTGCAGGGCAATTTTAGAGGCAGTAGACTGGTACATAATGCGCAACATCTGCCTGCCCCCTGTTTCTTGTTCAGACACACAATCTGACACATGGCATCTATGAATACGCCTTTCTCACTAATCATGAGAAATAATGACCATTTTGCACCTGCAACAGGGTCTGAGTCTGGTCCTTGTAGCTTTGCTTGACAAAACCTGAAACTTCCCAAAAGTGCATTTTTTCTCTCACAGAATTGGTTAAGTAACTTGCAACTTATGCACCAAAAATGTATTTAGGTGTATTTTAAATATTAAAATTTCATCTTAGAAAAATGGTAACATCAAATGATCATCCTCAAAACACTTTTCATCATTAGATGTGTGCTATCTGGCCTCCGACGCATACAGTTACATATGCAGACATGTCCAACCATGTTTTGACAGTCCCTGCTTCTCTTTCCTGTGTCTGAGGCAACTGGTAACTCCCTCTTTTAAGCGTTTGTTGTCTCTCTACTAATGACAGATTAATCCAGATCTAAGAGTATTTGGTGTTAAAAAAAAGTCAGATCACAGGTAAGCAGTCTTTCATTTAGTCATTTATGTGTTTCCTGCATTTACAAGACGAAAGAGCACATTTTTACAGACCTATTTCAGGACTTTCATTATCTATCTCTTTAATCTTGATGCTTTTATTGGTTACATGTAAAAGGCTTCATCTAATCTAATCATCATTTAAAAAACTGTACATGTACATCAGAAACGTATGAACAAATGTTTTGACAACAAAATATTTACAATACATACAGGAAGTTCCACTTTTGGAAGTTTCAACTGGACTGCAAGATATGTCTGCGGACCAACAAGATGACATTTCATTAAAGTGCGGATCTGTAGAAAAGAAAAAGAAAAAGTATTTTTGCTTCAAGAATTCTAAAATGCAATAATTTTAGGATCCCAACATTTTGTATACATGAGTGCTCTGCTAACATAACCTTGGCTTGAAACTTTTTGGTCAATAGAGAACCTAAAATCTAAATTACTCAACATAAGAGATTTATTTTGGAGGTGGGAGCACCTTTCAGATTTGTATTTTTTTGCAGCACAGTTTGGGAAACTTACAGAGGGTAGACACACTAAGGAAAAATTATCTCAAGTGCCAATGACAAAGCAGCTGTCATATTTCAACAAAAGATTAACAATCTGACTGGCCAAAAAAGAAAAGAACATCTGTGTAGACAGGTGAAATAAGAACATTTTAAACAGCCCAACAAGAAGAAGCAATATAAACGATGGATGGATCACTGTTCAGAAATAGTTTACAAACTATCAACCTTTCTTTTTTAATTGGGAGAGGACGTGGGAAATTCAGAAGTGTGATATGCTGGAAATGGGTAGAAAAAGTCACATAATCTTTAAATGTTATGGACTATTGTTTATTGCATGTGATGTCCTGCTTCAACTTCTCTATGTTTGCATTATTTTAAATCCAGCGATGGAAAATTCTCCAAAATAGATATAAATTGGAAAATGACTCATTGCTTTTGGTATGAGATTATAAGATGTATCTAGTATACTGTAGATGCAGAGGTTTGACTCATTCTAAAGAGGAGGCTTTGTTCAGTAGTTTTCAAATGAGCGTTTCCTCTTTCAGCAAAACATTGAAAGATGTAAAGAGCAATGTAGTGAAGAGTAAACTATAGGGACCATCTAATCAATAAGTATACAATAATTCACTGATTTACAATAATCTGTTTGCAGAGCAATGGAAATTAAGCAAAAAATAAAAATTGAAATTAATGATTGAATCATGAAAACATTCATCCTCATCGTTGCAGTTACAGAAGTTGTGGGTTTGTGGCTTAAATGAGCGTCTATTTATATATCAGTTACAAGTTTACAGTGACAAAAATTTGAAAGTTCTGACATAGATCAAGTTTTTGTTAGGATTTTTTGAGCATTGAATGAAGTGAATGAACCCATTGCTCTAGCGGAAAGAGTTTTCACAGTGGGATGACTCATACGACCGTAAAAATATTCTGTTTAGTTGCAGCGATCATGTGCATAAATAGTCATTACTGCACAGCATGGTGTACCTACATTTTTGGATGCCAAAGAATATGACTCAGCAGTAGGGTAATACAGGGACAAATGTGAACTGACTCTTAATTTAAGTTGTCCTTTCGGGCCTCTTGCATCTAATTGCCCAACTGTGAAGAGCCATGAAACAAGATGGTTCTTGAGCTGACATTCCTAATAAGCATGCGTGTCTCACTTCTGTTCTGCTTCAGTGGAGTGACAGAGAAGTTCAAGTGCTAGGCAACATTTAATCTACATGGGGAAGAAATGACACAGGATTCTGATCATGCAAATGTACCTGCATGAAAAATTCAAGAACCAAATGACAAGCTCTGGTGTGCCAACGCTGGAAGGAAGAAAGGCACACCTTGAAGAAAACATGACACTCCATGGAGAATTGGGAAAGCACAGTCTCCGCCTGCCATCTAAAGTGAGTGGGAAATTGTCTCCATCAATGTGCCCCGGCTTTGATGCAGAGGGAGGAAAGTACCTGAGAAGAGTCACAAGTCCCCAGCTTTAAAGATACAGTGATTGTACAAATGCCATTTGGGATGTCAAACCAACAGACTGTTTAGTAGAACATCTCTCCGCCTTCATGGAAATGAGACAAGCTTCAACACGTGAGAGTTTACGGTAAAGCCTTGAGCACAGTGGCTTTGTACCATGGCTGATGACTCTGTTTGTCGAGCTGTAGTCTCAGATTAGATCATTAAGAACTGTTATCGCACAGGGTGCTTTTTGAAGGTGGAAATTTCCTTCCTCAAATCTTTGAAATTCACACTATATTCATGTTCAGTCGGTGACATTTTAAGCCTTGTTTGTACACATTTCCATTAAAGTGATGCCCTGGGGAGGGATATTATTCCTCTCAGTGGAATCTGTGGGAGAATTGTCAGCCACTCTTGACCTCAAGCATGAGCCAACCTCATGCTGAATCCTGTGAGACCTTGGACTGCCTCACAAAACCCCAGGACAGAGACACCATTGATTACCACTTCTTCTCCACCATTTCAGCCTCTAGACATACAATATCTGTGTACCTAAATCAGACCAATCCAGCTCAAAACTTTCCCTCACCATAAACCTTGCACTCTGTCTTCACTAACATGCACATTCCTGTTTACATGTGATGCAGATGACCTCCCGCAGCCCCACGCTTTCCCCTCTCCCCACATGCTGTGTGTACAAGTGCACTCGTTCATGTCATAACCCAAGTGCCAACGAGATGTGGAGGACCTCTGTTTGACTCCCATCTGATGACCTTCTGGTCTTATCTTCAACAGACGGAAGCCTTCATAAAGGAGGAATTGATCCTCGTAGCGGCAGTGGCATGTATGTTTGTGCGACTGCGTTTTTTGTGTATCCATGGTGCCATGAACTGTTGAGCTACACTCACTAACAGCTCACCCAACTTGTGTGCCATCTCAACCCAAGTTAGCCCCGTAAAGGGTGTGTGTGAACAAGGAGTCAGACAATTTCCCTCAGGCTCCTGCTCGAAAGCTTGTCCTTTGCTTGGCGAAAGGGTAAATTAAGGTGGTGAGGTTATATTTCCCTCGAGTACAAGGGAAGAGACCAAGGACATGGGACATTGATCGCACTGAGTAAATGTTGTCCAGTTGGAAAACAGCTTTTAGATGAGAAAAGTATTTGTCTTACCACCAATGCTTTCCTCTATATGATCTAGTAAAGATCAAACTAAGAAAACAATACATGATAGCTTCTCCAAAGCCTTTAATTCAAGTACTAGTGCCACCCTCTCCCCCCCCAAAAAAAACTTATGTAACTTTTCTTTCACATTCACAACATTTCAGAATTCTGTGGGTCTATGGGGTCATTCTATGTGTCTCTAAGACCTATAGAATGACTGTGACCGTGGCTAATACCAGACATATATAAACATAATATAATATGTAACTATAATAGAAACAAAACTTACAAGCTATTAACTAACTCTTGGCTGTTTGGCAGAACAGTATGAGCTACTCTTCTGAAACTTCTCTAGCGTTCAGGATGGTTGCAGTGACCTTTCCAGACTTTTCTATGCTTCAGTAGTGACTGGAACTTAATGAACAAGAGCACCTCTGTGGATTTGATGAATCCTCAAATGCAGTGCAGCAGCTGATGGCCATCCCAGGAGGTGGAACTCTTCAGCAGCAGGTTCAATAGCTCATTATCAGTGCTCCCGCTGGGTAATTAGTGAACAGTGGGATCCTGTCACAACGAAAAATAAACATATTCCACCTTCCTATCAAGCTGCCTTTACAGTAGTTCATGTCTGTGCAGCACTATTTCTGCAACGATAAAGACAACAGAAACACTTTATGACAAAGAAGAAAGTCTAAAGGCATAGTATAAACAGTAGACTACTACATCTTAACCAAAAATGTCTGAATTTGACCAGAACATAATCTACACCATTCCTCCAATGACACTAAGAGACAAACAAGCTGTTTTATCAGTGTAATCACTCATATTGAGTGTCACTGAAGTTTTTCCACTGTGGCACAAGCACAACAAAGAATCTGTTACTGAATGGGGTAAAAAAAAAAAAAAGCTGGCTACCTTATGCCTCTTTACAAGATCTTTATACTCGCTTGATGTTATTGATTTTGCACAGAGGAAACTAAGAGTAGAAATTTATGCTCTGTGTTGCTTTTTAAAGGTAATGTGGCCACAAAATATGCTCAGATGTTTACAGCTGTCAACATGAACTTACTGCTGGTCACAACAAACTGTGTGATGGAGTCAATGTTTGTAGGTTAATTTATCCCTGGTCCAAGTGCCTCTTTGCACGTTATCAATGTTTTAGCAGATCTCAGGGCTTAAAAAACGGTCATTTCAGTGATATCTGCAAAACAGAAGAACGTTACGGACTTGAACATTAGAAATACTCCCTGGGTCACCGTATTACCCATAAATCATGTTGAAATATGATTCGTTTTTTGGCGTGACTGCCATATCGATGAACATTAAAGCACATCTGTTCTGTTAAAAGTATGTGAGATGGATGACTCAACAAAGCAGCGTAAACACAGAGGCAGTGACCTTAAACACAGTATCTGTGACAAATCTTTCTGCAATTTCTTTCACTTATTGGTCAACACAACTACACTAAGCCAATAACATCCAATGGCTCAGCTGGTTTATCAGACTCATAAAGTGCAATTCTATGTGGAATTTGAAACACTCTGACAACAATAGCTAGCTTTAATTGACAATTTATAAAATTAGGCTATTTTAGTTAATTATGTAAAGATGTAGAGTGTGGGGGTCATGTCATGATTTCAATTGGGAAAAAGCTGAAGGAACTTTGTGCAATAAAACACGTTATTGAAGTAGTTTATTGTAATCACAGTCAAGCCATATGAATGCTTAACCGTAACCCCCTAATATGTGAGGCAGATCTTACTCAAGTAAATCTAAAAGTATACTCTAGTGGAGCAAAGAGAAGTCATAATAAGGAAAATTTGAAAAATGGAAAGAGAAAAAACATGTAAAATTATTGAAAGTAGCACATTCCCTCCTCTGAAGGACTTGTGAACTTTGTCTCAAAGTTTGACACCAGAGAAAAGCTTTTGTCCTGCCATTGTGTATGTTGGTAACTAGTATCTTACCACGAAATAAAGATAACACAGCAGTTCAGTATATGTCATAAAGTGGTGCTGAGGGGGGTTGAGTTTGTCCTCCTATGGCACCTGTAAATACCTCAATATGCAGGAGGTCAGAGAATGTCTTTTTGCTATTCTAATTGAGGTGATAATGGGGAAAAGCATTCTTTACTTGAAGCTCCAAAACACACCAGGTATAGTCGAAGGTGTCAGTCCAAGTTATCATTGCAACTGTTTGAACCATTTCAACCAAGTGAACGTGAACTTGGTATATCAAAATGAATTTTCCTTCCTTGCAAAATATCACACAACTATGCATTTTTTTGTACAGAGACTAAGACTCGGGCTTTATGGACAGTGAGTTCAAGGTAGCTGTTGAGCCAGTCAACTTTCAATTTCGATTTACTTTCCAAAGATGTTACCCTTTTAGCTGTCAGAAACGATATCAGACAGTTAAACACTGACCCATTCACTTATTCGTGGAATTTTCCTAATTATCACACCAAGAACAGTATTTCTTCAGAGGATGAATACCTGTTTGTTTGTTTGTTTAGAGTTTATCAATGCACTGAGGGGTTCATTGATAACTGCTCATGAAACATAATCACCAAAGCAATACCGAAGAACAAGTCTAACAACTATAAGCTCAGAATTCAACAAGAAACTAAAAATATAGGGAAGCTACACATTCTTTCATAACTATAAGATAACATCTTGTCTTTGACATGTAATTTATTAAATTTAAGGCCATCTGCTTGGATGTGAAATAACTGTCATATTACTAATTGTTAGCTGCAGCTGTATATATGTTTAATCAAAAATTGCTAAATTGGAAGCAAATCCTGGAAACATCAAAGGGGCTGAATTTGGTACAAAATGTTTACAATCACATTTTTCTTTTTCTTGCTTTTTTGTGTTTATCCTTTCTTTTCTTTGAATGCTTTTCCCATTTTTCTTTAACATTCTTTTTTTTCTGAAAAATCCTTTAAAGGCTTTTTGTTTTGTTGCTCACATAAGTATGTAATATCTCATTTAATTAGCAATCTAAGCCCTCAGACAAACAGGCATATGGTCCTCGCTCTCCCACGGCCTTGGCCAAGGAATGAATATGCATATCCTGGGACCTCAGTAGCTTGTTACTCTGAAATGAATTCTACACAAGCCTAATCCCTGATCTATTATTTACCCCTTGACCAAACATGCAAGTGGGGCTTCCAGACGCTTGACTTGATAGAAATGACTGCCCTGGGATTCGGCTGCCTGTCTCACCCCAGTGGAGGAGCCACTTTGAGGCAGGCAGGCAGTCAGAGGAGCACAGAATGTTTCTCTCAGAGCTTCAGTCTATCCTCAAACACACATTCGCACACACTTCTTCAACTCTTGACTCTTGAGATGTCTTCGTCAAATGTCGAGCAAATCCTCACAAAAAGGACAGAAAAAAAAAAATCTAGCACTCAATGAAACTTTAATGAGCTCACTTATTTCTGAGGGATATGAGGGACAACTTAGGAAATCAGTGTCACATCCCGGCTGCACATAGAGACGCCATAAACTGTTTCCAACCGCAGAAATATTGTGTGCATGTGTGGATACATGGGTATGTGAGTGTAATACGCAGACCTAAACCCTCGAGTTTAGAGAAAGTGGAAAATGTTTTCCTGGCAGATCATAAAATCCTGTGCCATCTTCCTTGAAAACCTGTAAGACTTTATGAGTGTTGTATGTATACTTTCTTTAGTTTAATTGTGACTTTTCAAGCACGTTCTACCTTTTTTTTCCATTGTCACCGTTTTCCTCGAATTATGCCCTTTAACTATAAACGCACAACGATGAAAACTCCCGTTTTTGTTTTTGTAGTGTTGCACAAGCTCTATCGCTTTCCTATCTTGGGGCTAAGGGTTTTTTTTGGCACATTTGTATTGCGGGAAGATGCAACTCGTCATGCTGACATTACGCCGCGAGTCAAGTCAAGAGGCACGATAAGTCTCGGGACTCGCAGTGACTGGGGTTATAGTCACACACCGTGTGTGTCAAAGACTGGGCTGCATTCGCCTAACTTTACACAGACAGCCACCTTTTTTCGCAGCCCCGGACGCTCCGCAGCTCCTCGGCGGCGCGCAGTGCTGACTCTGCAGAAGGAAATCATCGGGGAAGCGTGGGAAGGCGTTTCGTTTTTTTTCCCTCAAGGTAGGACAAGCAGTTACGACCCAGTCTTTGCTAGTGATCCCCGCTGTTTTCCCTGATTTCTCCAGCTCACGGTTTTTGGGGGAAAGCAGAGGCGACAGAGTGTCCTGGTCGTGCGTACTGCTCCCGGAGACCGACGCGTATCCAACCGACGCGCGTTTTTTCCCCCCCTTCTCTCTCTCTCTCAGCGAAGTAACCGTGACACTGCGATCCTCGTGGATAAAGAGAGTGACTGTATCACGGGTGTTAAACCAAAAAAAAAAAAACTTCCACAAACATCGATCCAAAGTTTGTTGAAAGAAATACGACCGTGAATCACCACATAAAGCGCAGAGGACTGAAAAGGAGAAAGTTCCCCACTTGAGGGCGAAATCAGACTTTTTTGAGGACGCCAACTTTGAAAAGAGCCCCGGGGTCTGTCAGACACAACATGCAGCAATGGTAAATATGATTTTCATGCTTATACTTTATTAAGTTACCAAAGATAAACAATAAAATATCAAATAGAACAAAATATTAACATTTTTTCTGGACAGCTTCTCAGCTGTTCAGTCATCTGAAGTTAGAAGGGAAGGGAAATTGTACAAAGTCATTCTGAAGTTACTTATTTTTTTATTTTTTATTTGTAGGTTATACTTCCATCAATCAAAAAACCTTATTAAATTCTTCCTGTGATCTTTCTCTCTCATAATAAATGTGATAATAGAATCATTAGCATGTAAAGGCCTTCATCTCACCTGAGACACAAAGGACTTTTTAAAAAACTTTAAATTGATTTCCTAGTTTTAATCTTAACTAGATCCGCTAGTTGTCTTCTTTTCCTATAACAGACTTTTTGTCTGGAATAAATTAGTTTTCACCTGACAAAGTGATCATTTGTATAATAGATAAAAACTGTTGTGTTGTCATTTATTGAGCTGATTAATATGTCTCATTCATAGATGGAATTGTTAAAAATGTACCATGTATGTTTACTTAAAGTTGAACCCTTTTCAATTCATGGCCGGCAGTTATAATAACAAGGTTACATGTCACGGTGAAAAAATCCCGGAAAAAGCATTCTTTAGAAATCTTTCCTCTGCCACATGTCGTTGAATGTATTAATTTCCTTACATGATCTGTTTTGTTTCAGTCGATGTTTGGTCTGGTTGCAATTGCCTAGGGTTCTCTTGCATTTCCCAAAATACACTAGTCCTCACATGTCACCTCCGAGAAAAATTCAAGCAAGTCCTGGCCAACCTGTGACAATGAAACACAAGCAGATGAATGCAGGTATTTCATGTCAGCGAAATATACTGTTTGGACTTATCTCCACATTTCAGGAGAGAGGGAGAGGGAGAGAGTTGTAGAAAAACAGTGAAAAAGAAATTGGGATGAATGGCCCCACTTAAAGGCCACACGAAAGTATCCTCACACTTTAGTCAATGAGATGTATGTGAGATTAATGTTCAACGTGGTCTTTCGGGCTGGCCTGAGAGTGTGTCAGGGATGTTTCATGAGCTTTTTCTGCTACACTGAAGAATGCCAATTTACATTCCCCAAGTGTCATTTCATTACTTTTATCTCTGTGCTGCTGTCTCTCAGACAGACGAGCCAGAGATCAGAGCATGTCACATTTACTTTGCTGCACTCCAGCTGAGAGGCTGCTAATGCTTTTAAAAATATTTTTCAGCCCTGCCATATAAGTTTTTCTCTCTCTCCTTTGTGTCAGGGAGCCTGACTCTAAACTCCTCGTAGTCGTAGGTGTGTAGGTGATCACGACTTGATGACTGTTTGTCACTGAGAGAAAATAAATAAGTGTCTGTAAAACTAAACTCCACATCAAAACAATATTATACTTAGTGTCCTTGTTGTGTGGCCAATAAAAGCCCCATCCCCAGCCTACAATACCGCTACGTGAGGTTAAAGAAAAAGTTTAATTTGTCAGTGCGGCTGCAGCTAGGTCGTGATTCCTATGGGTCTATGAGAATCAGAGATGGGAGAGGGTGTGATTGCGTGAGTGTGTGTGTGTGTGTGTGAGGGTTGAGAGCCACCGGTTAGCCGGTTCAATAATCTGCTGGACAGGTGGGCCTGTGACGCCCCCCTTAGAGAGGCTGCTAATGAAGAGAAGGGCTGCTTAGTGGTGCTCTGCTCTGACCCCACCAGCCTTCCCTGTCCCCCCCGCTGGCTTCCTCTGATTACTGCTCACATCAAGAACCCCCCCTCCCCCCACTTACTCCGCCTTATTCTCTCTGTTTCCCCCGGTTGTCTAACTTTCTCACTCTGAACCTCTTCATATCAAAACATCGGGTTAAAGGTGTGTCATTCTTGTGGTGCTTTTATGTATTTTCCACTCTCTTGGTTATTGTAGCCATATCTTTCTATATTAGATGTGATTAAATGAATGAGATAATAACAGCATGAACCTTATGCCTGTCATTTCAATTTTGGTAAAGAGGGTCCTCCTCAAACTAAATCCGTTCACATCAGAAGCACAGGTTAAAGAACACGAAAGTGCAAAGTAAAGGAAGTAAAGCCATAATAAAGTCGTTTTAGCACAGGATAAATCTGGGCCTTCGCTCATGCTAACATGTAAAGATAGGGAGGAGAGTTGAAGGAGCACTTTCCCTACGCTCGGCAGATGAGAAAAAGAACCATCAAAGCAACATTCTTGCAGTGTTTTTATTTATCCAGAGGTGGATCATTGCACTGATACGGCCCGGCTCTGCTCCATCTGTCCTCAGCCCCAATAATCTCCAGAGTGACTGATAGTGTGTCTTGGCAATGACAGAAAAGGTAATATTTTGAAAGGGGGGGTAGGGTCATATACCTAGTTGTGGCCTGGAATAAAAATCTTTGAACAAGACACTGTAACCTAAGCTGCAGGCTTTAGTGACTAAACAGAGACACAGTGAAATGTTAAAACAAATTGGATCGCAGGACTCCTAATTTAATAAAGAGCACAGTGTGAGACATACTCCATTTAAAACAATATACATGAGAAGGACATAATTGCATTTTTTGTACCTCGGTGCACAAAGTATGAAACTAAATCTTCACACACTTACACTACTGAAACATTATGAAATCTGGTCTGTGTTCATGTGTTTCTTAACTTAAAAAAGAGGCTTACCTAACAGTGTGTAATTAAAAGATTTAGCAGTTGTGAAGACATTAGAATTTAAGATGTGCTTGTCTGACACAGATTGATATCTCTTAAGAGCTTTAATCTGCTAAATGATGGTATTGTCTGGGGTGAGAGGAGAGATCACACTTGGAAATGGCAAGTTAATCAGATTAAAATCAGTCTCAGTGTTATGAGCTGTGTTTAAACTGTAAGATGATATTTGTTCTTACATGCATTACATTAGTATGCCCTCTTTTTCAGTAGAGGCTTCATTTAACATGTTAAACACATCCCCTCAAATAGGGGACTGGGAAATACTGAGTTCGAAAACACGAAAGCACCAAGTGTGTGAAGCAGTCGCGGTCCCTTTTTCTTTGAGGAAAAAGTTTCGCACGTTTTTTGTATTTGCTTTAGAAATGCACATTTGATGCTTATTTCTGTCTTTTCAGACAGTCATAATTCTTAACCTTTTTACACTGTAATTTGGGATAGCCTTAATTGATTCTGTCCAGAACTAATTACCAGCAACCGTGTAAAATAAACACATCAGCATCACTGGATGGCAGCTGTCCAATTAGTTGGGAAGTTACATTTCACTTGTAATCCATACGTTCTTCAACAGGCCCAGAATATAATTCATGTCGACGCTATAGAAATACCAGAGAAGCTGGAGCTGTAACGAACAGGAGTATAGTTGTAACCAAATGGCTCAGTTGGGAGGTATAGGGTTATGTGGTATAATTTATATTTTATAGCTCCCGCCTGCACGCAGTGCAGTCCAGAATAAAGTTGTTCGATTTTGTTCCATGAACATGGAGTGAGAAAATCTGGGATTTCACTTGTGATGGAAACTCCAGACACCAATTTTTTCCCTTGTATTTTTGTATATTCCTGTTGAGTCTCATTTCTTGCCCTCAGATAAAAATACAAAGTTCTCACCGCTCTTTTGTGAGGAAAAAAAAAAGTGGAAGCTGTTTTGTTCGTGATTTTGCGCATTTCTTCCCAAGTTTTTTTTTTTGTGGTTGTGTGCATTAGTGGCTTATAACAGAAGGACTCAAAAGGGATGAAAAGATCTCCTCAGGCCATACAGAGTGATTTGATTAAAAGAGAATAATTTGCCCTAAAGGTGTCTTTCCTGTACTCTCCAAAAATGCTGGTGGAAGAAATTTGATATGACAAGATAAGTGGTGGCTCATGAAAAATTCCTGAAGACTGAGACGTAGCATTTTGACTTCGGAATTATTGCCCCCAGTGTCTACTTCTTTGATAGTAACTGTGTCAGACATTGCTGTTTTATCTGAATAGCCTTTGAAATGATTTCACTGCATCTAAATCCTGGATTCTTTCTTTTTATGTACGTAACATGGTCTGGACAAAGTAAACTCTACAAGTCAAGACAATTGAACTCTCGGGTTTATTTGACTCCAGACTAAGGCCATCATTAATCCTGCAGGATTGCAGTGAATGTGATTAATGGCTGTATGATGCTATTTCTATGAAGTACTTTAGACAGGTTAAAGCTTAACCCCACTCAGATAATGTATGTAGCCTTGGCACCGCCTTCATTGGGCTATCGATGGAAGCTCCTTGTGTGGTGATCTTGTTCACATTTTTCCATTCGGTTCTCTTTTAACCTTTATTTTTGCACAGCTCCTGAACAGATTTTAGTGTCTTTTGAGCACTCCTTGTTTTCCAGAGTCAAAGATTTGCGTCCTCAAGTATGTTGACACGGGTACTTTACATTTCTTAAGTGATCATCATTTCTTATATTATTTTCACTTAATTTCTACAAAATCTCCTCCGTGATGTTCTCTTTCCAAAAGCGTACAATAGCAATCAAACTGCTGCAGCTAGGGATCCTAAAGTTATTTGTTTATTTCTTCTTGTTTCAACCATCAAATAGACCACTTTTGTGAACAAAACTACATTTAGTTCGCCATGAACAGGTTGAAATGTGTCTTGTTGGGTTTACGACTTTGTGAATACTGGACACAACGGCTATTTATACAGACAAGACCTGGAAGGATCGGTGAGTCTGTCCTGAATGGCAAAACCATTACATGAAAATTTCATTATGCATCTTGACAAGAGTAATTTGGCAAGCTTAGAACATCCATTAGTGGATT